GGGCTCGTCTGGCGTGGCTTCACCCAATCTGCAATGCAGAAGCTCGATGCCTGTATCAAAACAAAGAACCGTCGCAACGACTGACCACATGAAGAGATGACTGGAGTTCAATTGCATGACAGCGCAGGCTAGCGTCAAGACATGGGAACCACGCTAACCGAATGGCAGTGCAAAACCACTGTGACAACATTTTACAGCAAGAGATACAGAGAAAGGTCTTCAGACCCAGAGGGTGCAGTCTGAAACATTGCGCGGCTTGCGTTGAAAGGTTGTCTAGCGAGAAAATGCGAGGGAGCGCGCGTCTTGAAGGAGCGGAGGTGGGGGGGTGTAAGGGCAAGCCAGGTGCGGGCCAACATACGAGCCACCACTATTTGCATGCGACTTCTATACGCAGATGACCAACAAACCCGGGCTGCAAAACAGGCATCCCCCCCAGAGGCCCTTTGCGGCTCTCTCATTGACAGCGTTAACCCATCAGGCCGAGCCTCCTCCAAGTTCTCGGGCCGAACGGCTTTGACTTCTCCGCTGCGAAGTCGGACATTCCTTCCCAAAAGCATCCGACGGGGCGGCATCCAAAATTCGCGTCAGGCTCGACTAGCTGAAGCATCTATGGGTATCTCGACCAGTCCAGCGATTTGCCGAAGCGTTCCAACTTTCCAAGACCTGGGAGCACACTGGCAACGAGCTGCAACGAGTTTCAATGGAAGCCGTTACTTGCATCAGCCCCGAGGAACCAATCAGCAAGACAAGAGCATGTAGCTGACTTCAACAGAAATGCACAAGGAGCATGCTTGCGCAGAGATCTGATGTGACAGAATTTGCTCAAAGCAGAGAGGGCAACTTGGGTGCTTTTGATATCTGGGGGTCGGGCGCCCCTCTCCCCATTCAGCCTGGCGGCCTTAGAGCCATTCAGGAAGGACATCATTTTCAGGCTCGGTCGTAGAGTCGTAAGGTGATCACGGTACATCCCGGAATATCCTTCCAGATCTTTTCCAACCCAAATTTGGAAGCTCAAAAAAATTCGAAAACTTGGAAAACTTGGAATGTAGAAGTGACCTTCACATTTTGCAGTCACTGCCGAGTATTGTTGGTCACCGGAGTGAACTGAATTGCCCCGAAAAGCCCAGATTGAACTGAGAAAGCCACGGAGTCTCCCGTCAGACCTTGCACGCGCACCGAGGAACCAGGAGCCAGTCCTTTTGCCAGCTCGGCCAGTTTCAGGTGTCCGATGATTTCATCTCTACTTAGGAGTTCGAACTGCACATGTCTTTGGGCGCCGCCTGCGATGGGCTCGGTGCGTCGAGGCCCTGGCGCCTCACACACTCTCACAACGGTGTGTTTGACCGCTTGTCCTCCAGCCAGCTAGCTTCAGCTTGTGTCGAGTCGGAGGGCTACAAAGCGGAGCATCTTCAAAAGATGCTTCCAATATTGCTTCGTGAAGCACGCAAGCTCCCAGAAACGACAAAAAGTATGGCTGAACCCTGCAAGCTTAAGCATGAACACCTGCCACTGACTTCCTCTGGCGCTCGCTTATTGGGACAGCGAGCTTCGCGTTCTTTGACATCTTTGCCCGAGTGCTCGCTGAAGCAAGCGGCCTTATGTTAAAACAGTTTGTAGCTGTGGGGTCTTGTGGTTTCGTGACATTGCACCGAGCCGTGCGAACAGGCTCAAGCTTCTCAAAGAGAGCACAGACATTCTCAGCTCCGGATGGCTGGCTTCTTCTTGACGCAGCCACTGGACTTCGCAGACGCCGCTCGCTTGAGAGACGCCGCTTGCTCGATTCCTGGGTTCTTCTTCCGACCCTCCATGCATGCGAGATATGCGAGGACCTCCTGCTTGAAGGTCTCGGAGAAGCGAACTTCACGAAGTAGATGGGATCTTTTCTGGAGCCAGCACGTCTCCGTCTCCGTAGTCACCGATGCCAGGAGCCCACCCAGCCGGCCCGGCACCAGCTCCGCAGCCACCAGCTCTGTCGGTCTCTTCCTCCTTCGGCGCTGTGGCACTGCAGAGGCTGCTACTCCTCGCCAAGCTGGCTATAGCCCACGTCCGGCACCTGCAAGTTTTGCAAGGAGTACAGGTGGGTCACCGTTAAGGCTGGGATCCTTTCCTCACGGGACCCGGAGAAGATGCAGACGTTCTTCTTCGTCGGGCGGGCATCTTGGGACGACTGGAAGAGCTGCTTGAGCAGGTCCCTGGTCTGTTGTCCTTCCTTGCACATGAACTCACGCACGAACTCCTGCATGCGGCTCTGCTGGTCCATGAACTACCTGCCCTCTTTGGCCATGAACTCCAATAGATACTGCATGACGCCCTGCACCGTCGTGCCGCCCTGCATCATCATAGGACTCCACCTTCACCACCGACTCCTGAAAGGTGCTCTCTGCCGGTGCCGGGCTGTCAACAGGCCCAGGGGATCCTTCACAGTGACCCACCTGTGCTCCTGCACCTCCGTATTGCCGCGGACTTTTGCAGGTGCCGGACGTGGGCCGTAGCCAGCAGATGCAGCTTGGCGAGGAGTGGCCTCTGCAGTGCCACAGCGCCCAGTTGCCAACCTCGTTCGGCTCCTTGGGCGCCTTCACGATCTGGGTCTTACGTGGCAGGTTGCATCTGCGGCAGGTGCCGGCGAGGCCGGCCGCCTGGGACTCGCTATGGTACTCCAGGGTCCCTATGCCGCACGACGCGCAGAAGTGAACCGCTGCCCCCGTCGCGCCAAAACGCTTGCAACAGTTGGTCTTCGGATGTTGGCCAGCATTAAGCTATTACGACAAGTGGAAAATTCAAAAGTTTGGTGCCAACCTGCTCGTGGACATGTCCTGCTACGTCACTTTCTCCACACGAAGTAACAGCAACAGCACATTCATTGAAGCGATGAAGCAAGGAATACAGCTGACTTCAGACTCGTAACAATTCCTCAAGCTGTGGCCTCTGGTGCGGGTCGTCGTGGGATGCTCGCCTCGGACCTGGGGACGGGCGCAACCAGGAAAAACCGACGGAACAGGGGCAAAAGTCCCATTAACCATTAAGGAGGCCCCACTTGTAGCAGCTACCGCGGGCTGTAACAGGAACAAGGGAGGGGTTATGATGGGATTGAAAACGAATGCCCGGCCGCACACCAGACCAGGAAAAGAAACACGATGAACACTACAAACAGATACCTGCAGTGGCGAGTCGTATCGGAACTTCCCCACCCAAACCTCACCCGCAACCTTCGCTTGGTCAGCACACTTCCTTGCGTAGTACTCGCTCCATTTCAGACCGATGTCATTTGTTGTGTCATTTCAGTTGTAACCTTAATGTTGCTGGATCTGTTGATTCTCTTTGGCTTCTCACATAGGAGTCTCTTGAGTTGCAGGTCTCTTCCTGCCTTGGCAACTACATATGTTTGTGCACTCCACTGAGTGCGACTCTTTTGCACTGGTGCAGTGGCAAGCAGTAGGAGGAGCTTTCCTTGGAAGCTCCTCTTTTGGGAGAAGCTTCTTCTCGCTTTATTCTAAGTTTGCCTTTGACTTCCACTGCGTTCTCTTCTTGTGTGCTTCATCGAGGCTCACAAAGTATCATCATGTATCATCGGCTTATTGTACTTCACAACTGAAGCAGCGCTGTTGTCCATGTCCCTTGACTAACTAGACTCCAGTCGACAATCATTTCCAGCGTTCACAAAGTGGTTTATGCCTTGCGCTTGTTATATGCTGTGCCATCATCAGAGTAACTAGTGCTAGGAAGCTCCATGACAAAGGAGCACTATCACTTCAACTTAACCTGTGGTACGCCAATCCAACCTAGAGAATCGGCAGCGCCGTAAAGAGCCTGACAGGCAGGAGTCCTCCCTGCCACGTTTTTCCTTTTTTTATGCGACCCCGATGGCAGCATAAAAGAAAGCACGAAACATGCAAAAGCACGCCAGTTGTCATGCCGAAAGTTTGCTGTTGCTATGGCAGCCAAACGAGCCCTGCTGGGCGGAACCTGTCGGAAAGCCGAGAGCAACCCAACACTCCTTACTGCGAGCTTTGGACATTAGAACTTTATAGCATTGACAAAATGTTTGGGAGCAAAGATCACCAGGAGACATCGCAAGTTGAGTGGTCTGAGTTCTTGGCTCATGGTACCCATCCGATGGCGTGTCTGGAAGGTAGATCTGGCAGGTAAGGGCTACTGAAGAGCAGCATGGGCTGCAAGTACGGCTGCACAGCCACGACGAGGCCCCTCCCTGAACTCGAACAACAGGAACCGAAAACAGGACTCGGTCTCGAAGGATTAGCTTACGCTGGACTTCTATACTCAAGCACAAGCTCCTCGGAGAAGCTTTTGCGACTTCGAACACAACAGGTGATTTATGGCACTTTCCGGTTTCAACACTTTCCAACCTAAAGCTTACAAGCTTCTAGGTATTGTCTTGCGCATTTCGCGCAGTGGTAACATGGATGTTGTCAAGGTTGCCACCCGTCTGCATGGACATGTCATTAGGCTCCTCGTCACGCTTCTCGAGCACGGACCCCGTGGCCTTGCCATGTGCAACAAGTGGTGGAACGTGATTCACGACTCTGTGCAGGCCATACCACATGAGATTCAGGAAGGCAAACGGCACTGCGCCAAAGTCACACAACCAAATCAGGTCCTGGATGCATGTCCAACTTCTTCCAGGTATGTCGACACACACGACTTTTTTGTCGCAGCCTCCATCTCAGCCGCCTTTGCCGACTTATTCGAAAACAACATCATCCAGCTCGTGCGATGTCGCTTTGGCCATGTGACTCAGGCTGGAGTTGCTTGACCTCGGTCGCCTTAGTTTCCCAGGCCAGCAATGGCTCGTCTGCGGCATCTTACAGCATCTTGCAGCAGCATCTCTAAAGGCGCGTCAGGTCTCCACAAAGCGCAACCAGGTCACGTTGGCGTAGCGGAGTGTTGTCCGACCCGTTTTTCTGACGCGTGGCGGACCCCGTCGCCGCTTTACCACCGATCAGAATGTCCAGCGGTTCTGGGGAGCTTGGCAGCTGGGCGGCTTAGCTCTGGGCACCTGGAGTCACTTGCAGCACCGCCAGGTTGGCCTCGCCGACCGCGGCCTGCAACGGCCACCGACAAACCCGATCCCACTAAAGCCGCCAAGCATCCGCTATAAGCCTAGCAACGAAAGGGTCTTAAACAATCAACCGCTCTGGCCCTCCACAGCCTGCAGGCTTGCTCTTTTCAGAGACGTCAAGAACTTCCAGTCTAGCCCTCAGGAGCCCTGAAGAGCCCTCAAGAGCTGCAGAACCTGGAGAAGGGAAGGGCACCTGCATGCGGGCTGCCAGAACGGCGCTGTAGCTCAGCACATCTGGAGCCTCGAAGCTGCCGCAGGCGGAGCGCCCCCATCCTACGAGCCCAACCCCCCCACCCTCCCCCGGCGCGATAAAGCTGCATACATCTGCATACGAGATGCCAGCTCGAGCCCCGGCATGTTCTTGAGCAGGACCAATGCCTGCAGCTCAGAGACGCTTGTGTACACTTTTTCTACAAATGTGTGTGTGTGTGTGTGTGCGTGTGTAAACTGTAAACGACGAACTGAGTGCACAGAGAGTACTTACAGAGAGCACAGGACTCAACGTTGCAAGCGCATATCTTAAAGAAAACCGAAAGCAGCAGAGAGGAGATGGGCGATGTTTTTGCGAGGATGACTTTTTTCTGAACTCCGCTCTGCCTCTTCCCATCTCGGAGAGGCGGCCAAGGCTGTCATCATGTTGTTGATGCTGTAGATATCTGGACAACAAAGGCTTAGAATACATTGATGAAACTACTTCTGTTTCGAGCTGATCTCACATCTGTCTCCCGAATGTCTTCTCATTGGAACAAAGCATAAGCAGCACAGTGTAGACGCGAGCTGCACCTGGATCGATTTGCTTCCTCATCATCTCAGTCAGCAGTTCACCTCGAGGGGCACACTTTCTCTGTCCGAGGGCAGATCATGGCTTGGATCGACTCATCCCTGTTCAGATGAGCTGCACGTGGCCTGCCAACCTCAGAGTCTTAGGGGTAGCACGACTGGCGATTGTCTTGGACGACTGTTGGATGAGGGCTGAAATGGGTTGAATACATTTGAATCCCCTCTGCTTACTTGCGATCGAGTCACATGCTGCTTTCGTGCAGGCAGTCATCACAGTCGTGAAGCTCCAACAGTCTGGCTGCAGCTGGAAAGCAGGCATTCGTCCTGCGGATTTCCGAAAGGCCACAGGATGCCGGACTTTAAGGGCCTCCGCCTGTTAGGAGGCTGCTGCCGCTGCTGCCGCTGCTGCCGCTGCTGCCGCTGCTGCCGCTGCTGCCGCTGCTGCCGCTGACGCTGCCGCTGCTGCTACCGCTGATGATGATGATGATGATGATGATGTTGATGATGTTGATGCCGCCGATGCCAGTGGGACAGTGATGCTGTGCTCCCGTGCAGCATACTGCTTGTTGGCGCGGATGTGGCAGACGGAAACTTAGCAACTTGCAACTTTCGCTTTCAGCCTGCCTTCAGACTTGCTCAGTCATCTAAGCCCTGTCCTAGCAACGTCTGTGCAGCCGCATAGTGGCTGCCTCCAGCAAGGGCATGAAGAGCTGCATTCATCGTCACGACCTGAGAGTTGCTGCAAGCTGTCCCTTCACCTCCCGAACACGGGTTCAAGTTCATCCCAAGCTCTCCACAGTCGGAGACAAAGCTCTGTCAGGCAAGCTCTGCAGCACCTTCCGAGCACATGCGCAGTCACTCAGGTGTGCAATACACTCTCCTTGCAAGCATCAAAATCAGCAAGCATTGTCGCACGTGCCTGAAGTGCAAGAGGCCATTGAGAGCCCTCTGCAAAGGCGGAGATTAAGGCGTTGCAGGTAACAACCGTCGGCCTGTGTCGTCAGTCTGTCAGCTTCAGTTGGCTTTTTTGCAGTTTTGCAAAAGGTCTCGTTGTTGTCACTGTGCCAAGTGCTGCAACAGCCACCGAACAGCGCACCTCTCGCGAAGAGTCAGAGCTTCGAAGGCCTGCTAGACACAAGAATCGCTGGGCTCTGTTAGCCATCACCCACTTTAAACCTTGGATAGTCATGCAATTTCCAGACAAACTGAGTCCGCTCTACTTCTGAACCTTCTGCGCAACCTTCTGCGAAGCGTTCACCTTCTTCGGGAATCTGGAATTTTCTTGCCCTGGCCTCCAGTGCACGCCTCCACTCTGTGCCACGGCCGAAGGCAGTGATCAATGCGTTGGCACACATGGTTTGTGCCTTGCATGTAAAGGAAGCAGAGAGCAAGAGTCTATGAGAAGCTCACAGAAGAAGGCCAAATTGACAACACACTGCCGAATCCCCATCTCGTCGCCTTGAAGAAATTGCGATGACCAAGAAAGCCAAAAGTCAAGCGCAGACACGAGCCTCCGACATGGCTTCCTGCTGCGCCTCCGTGTGGATCGCCATTGCTTCTTGCCACCTGAAGGCTGGCATGCAGGGTGCAAAGATGCCCGCAGCGCTGGGGACAAACATTGGCCGCAACGCGCAATTCAAGACGCATCTGCAAGCGCATTCAAGCGTACTCAAAGCCTGCTGCAGCAAGAACACGCAGAGATCAGAGCCACGCAAGTGGCCTCAGAATTCGCAGGGCTTAGCTGCCTTCCGATGAACATAGGGCCTGCCGAATTGTATTACAACACGCTATGTCTAACTTTGAAGAGCATCGCCTCTGCTACACGAGCAGACCAGGATTACCCTACCCCGCTCTCCCCACGCCCACCCCTCCCCCCGCCTTTCCGGTGTGAACAGCCAAATGGGACTTTCTGGAGCCGCTGAAACTTCTGACTGAGACCCACTCCCAACACCCAAAGCTTCACTTGGCAACTCACATTTCATTTGGCAACAAGCACATGAGCACAGCCTACCAGCGCACCGAAGGTTTGCACAGTTCGCTTGGAATCAAGGCAAACTGGGCTTCACGGGTCCTTCAGCAAGCCGATATGCAGCCCGGACTCGAAACTCCGAGGTGCACCGCTTGGACCGCCGACGTGCAGGTCCCGTGGCTTGGGCCGGCCCGACTGCCGAGGCGAGGCGCGCGTAAGCGATTACAATTATCCCAGGAAGACCTTTCCTTGATCGACAGGGTGGCACGAGTGGTAAATCAATACTGGCAGCGGAGGGCTCGCAAAAAGCTTCTGCAGTGCCACAGCCGCAAATGTTTCTCGGTTGCAACGCCGGAATGCTAAACAATCGCAGGTCCAAATCTGCCACTCAATTCCCCCCTTCGCCATGTTGCAGCATCCGGCTGCAGGGCCGCGGTGTGCAATTTAGACGCCATGGCCAAAGCCTGCTGTTGATGCAGACAGCAGCTGACACTATGTGTAGGTCATCCGTAAGATCGACTGTGAGAGGCAGTGAAACCTACAACAGAGTTGCTTGTGCAAAGTGGGCGCGCACCTCACGCCAATGTCCTGGCTCATCATTTGGGTCATCGTTCCAGGCAACAATGCCTGGCGGACCGGGTAGGGGGATTGGGCATCTCCAACGAGCAGGAGCAAAATCTTGCCGTGTCGGTATTCAGACAAGCTTTAAACCAGATCTACACCGTGCCAAGATGCATGAGCTGATGGCCGCATGGCAAGCTTCATTATTGATGGTCACCCGTTGTCCTGCGCAGCTCTGCAAGTGGATTCCCTGAGTCCATGGCGTAGCAGAACCATCAGGCTCAGCAGGCACCCAAGCGGAGTCCTTGCATTTCCTCCAGCAGACCCATTGCCAAAGCCCACTGGCGCCCAGCGGCATAGGCCCGCAATGTAGAGCCTGGGGCAGTCTGATCAGACAAGCGCTCATAAGACCTCTCGAGCACTTTACGAGTATCTTACCAGTACCTTACCTGACCTTCTGAACGCGACTGATGAAACACGTCAAGCATAGGCTTGGCTCAGTCACTTTCTCAATTTCGGGGTGGGGTGGGGGGGGGGGTAGAGTCACAAACCGAATCCCACAGGCCTGGGGGCGCAACAAAACTAAAGGACTTTCCTAAGGCCAAAGTGGGAATGTGGCCAGGACACCACAGAGCTGCGTTGTTTCCTCGATGCCCTGCAGATCGCACAAGAGATCCGTGCACATTGCATGCAATGGCAGCACAGCTTCATGCACACACATCAGATCAGCACATGCCTCCTGCTTGGAGTACTCCAACCTTTAAGCACAACAATATATCAGGTCAGAAGGTACCACATAACTGTTAGCAACTGTTATGCGCAGCCCGCCCTACCCAAAGAGCTGTCCGAAAAGAGACGGGTGGAGGGATTCTGCAGGTTTCTAGCAGGTTGCAAGTGTACTGTTCGTCAGGATTTGTGGCACTTGCTTCGCGTCAAGGCAAAGTATTCCAGGGAGGTAGTTCTGGTGCCCGAGTCATGGAGCGCCAACAAGCTCTACTTGTTGTGGTGCGAGAAAGAAAGATACGCCGTGCCTAAACTAAGGGACATGTGCTATTGGGGGTGGAGTTCAGGCTTGAGTTGAAAACCTGGAAAGGGTGCTGGTCCTGAGTCATGCTAAAGCCAGGGGAAGCAACGCACTGCATGCCGAGCGCGGGACTGGAAACCCGGCTACTTGTAGCTAGAAATCAAAAGAATTTCTGTGCAGTCTGCTCGTGATCACCGGCAAAGCTGAGCTTGTGACAAAGCCAAGGCCTCCAGCCATCAGGACGAAAAACGATCGGCGAGCATGTCAGACTGCAGTACTGGTAGCACTTGGATCTGGAACCGAGCCTGCGCCCAGTGCTGCCCCGCTGTAGCAATGAGTGCCGCGTATGTCCGGGAGGTGCGAGGAACACTACGGATCTTAGTCAGCGCACAACGATGGTAGTCGTAGCACGTCGCTCTGCAGAGGGTGACCAAGCCCTGGACAAACATCTCGTTCAGCAAGGCGAGCGCAACATCATGCTCCTGCTGCACTCTCTCTCACGCTTGTGGGAACCCCGCGTGTGACACGTGACAGAAGCGCCTCCCGGGCGGTGCAAATGGCTGCAGTGAAGCTGACAGAATCTGGGTTCAAATTGCGGTCCCTCATCCGGCCTTAGATACAGAGTAATGGACATTTCGTAGGACATGTCGTACAACATGTCCTTATTGGTTCTCCAAGGTGCAGAGGACCTGTAGTGCTCTCTCCCAGTGCCGATCTCCGCACGCCGTGATTGCGGAGTTGTAGCTGTACAAGTCAGGCCTCGAGAAGCGCCCTCGAAGCGAACATCCCTCTCCTCCCTTCCTCCCTTCCTTCCTTCCCTAAACAGAGAGCATCCCTGTCCCTCGATCTCACTGCGAAGTCTGCAAAAACAGCTGGGTTAGGCTGCTCCACAGTCATCTGCTCCTCCAGAAGCCAGAATGCCTCTCTGCAACACGAGGCCAGCAATGAAGTAGTTGATACCCATAGATATCGTCATTCTCACACTTGCACACAAATTGCACACAAAGGCACACAGGCCAAAGCAAAGAACAGGGGCAAACGACCAATATCGACCAACCTTAATGCGCTTCCAACCAGCCCTGCCTTTCCAACCAAGCCATGAAAACCGAAATGCAATACTATGGGCTTGCACTGCCTCTTCCCAACGGCCAGCCCTTGCACATGCAGCGATGGCAGCATTCCAAATTTGGACGTCCGACAACTGCCTCAGCAGTTTCCAAAGGAGAGAACAAGGCAAAAGAACGCCTCTCTTTTTCAAAGAAGTGCAAAATAAGGTCTGCAAAGAAGCAGAGGCTTACCCAAGGCTCCGACGTCTCAGACGCATCCTCAAGAAGCTGGAGGGCCTCTGGCAATGAGCGGAATGGCAAAAGGAATGATGCTTAAGATTTTTCCTTCCCGGGCTGCGCCTCCTCCCATCGCCCACCAGCACCACCTCGTTTGGAGGCACGGGGGCAAACACACAAGTCAGAAGCTTGTGCCTCAAATTTCAGCACAGCGACAGGCTGCAACAGCAGCAGTGAGCAATGCTGCATCTACCAATCCACCACGATCTTTGCTCACCTGGGCTGCCGCCGACTCTGTGCAGCTCCGAAATGAAAAACTGATGGGGCAGGGGGCAAGAGCCCGAAAGCAGACAGCGAAGCCGCTTCCACGTCGCCGCGACACAACGACATAAGAAGCATGTACCCAAAAACGGGAAGCCACCTACGGAGAGTTGTATCAAGCCTTCACTGACACAACCGCCAGTAGTCGACTGACAACCGCAAGACAGCATGGCAGACCACAAGGCCCAGAGGAGAAGGCAACAAACAATCCACAAGGGTGGAAGGTGCGCAAAGCTTCTCCTGAACTATTTCCAAAGGAAGGTTGCAAACAAGTTTACTAGTCGACATTGCAGCACTAGACAGGACGCCACGGAAGAGCAACAACATCTGCAGGCCTCAATCTGCTCACTTGTGCACAACTTGGAGCACGGATGCCAAACACAAAAATGAGGGTCACGTGCTGCTCCCGCACACCGAGGTCCGTGGGCGGGCGACTCCAAAAGCAGAAGATTAGCTAGAGGCAAATTTGTTTAAACCACAAACCCAAAAAACAAATCAGCGACCCCTCAGAGGACATTCTCGGAACTATCGCTGTGGAAACATACTGCCCTCGACCAAATCTCAGCTCGAGGCTTACGGGAGCGTTGGATCTAGACATGGCTGTATGATGTCAAAAACAAGGATATGTGCTGTACAACACCCGGGCTCTGCTTTTAAAACGCTGCGCGCTGTACGCGAATAATCTTCTTAAGAAGCTTACCTTGCCTAGCGAGCATTGCAAGTTGACCCAAAGTACTATGTTAAGACCCAAAACCAAACAACAAAAACAAAATGGGCGACTACCTCCGAGGGCGACTAGATGCCCCAATGTTTGGTTGTTTTGCCTTTTGTTGTTGTTCTGTTTTGTTGGAGGGACGGGAGAGGGTGGTTTCAAAGCATAGTGCTCTGAGTTCTTCTGCATAGTACTATGTGACTATGTGTTAACACGAGCAACGGGACTCTACAGAGAGGGCGGGTGCAGAGTTCTTACACTTTCCACAAACCACAACATGTGTGGAGCGTACTCCATATTGGAAAAACTAACTCAGAGTATATTAAAATGTACATGAAAGACATACATGCTTAGGAAAAATCTTATGTAAATACGAAAAAACAACATCATATAAGTAAAACGATAAAAGTCAAGCCGGAATCCGGTCGGGAACTCCAGCAAAAACAACGCGAGAGGCAGGCGCTCTTCGAGTTTGTATTGTTGATGAACATAATCAAGAACACCGTCAATGTCGATGGTTGCCACGGGGCTTGGGGAGGGGGGGTTGTGACCATATGTATCCGTACATACATACATACATACATACATACATACATACATACATACATACATACATACATACATACATACATATATATATATATACATATCTATATCTATATACACATACATGCATTAGTGTATCTGTGTACGTATACATATATCAGGTATATCAATAAAGATATCTGCATATCTTCCTGCGCGCCATCCTCGAAGCATGAAACTGAGAAAGGGCGGTAAAGAAGGACCCGTGGAGGCTGCGAAGAGCGCGCGAAACTGCTCTCCGAGGCTCCGCTCTCTGTGCTCTCTGTGCGCCAATCCGCGAACACCCGAATTTCTTCTGAAAAATCTGCGCAAAAGACCATTTCTACCATTGTCAGCACCATTGCTATGTCGATTGTTGCTACTGCTAATACACTCAACGAAGGAACGCAGAGGGGAGACCGAGATCTTCCCTGCAACCACCAGCCCGTCCCAGCAAAGAACAGATTCCTGAAATTGTCGTCGCAGGCAGCATGAACAAGGAAACATGGCGAAGGGGACGCAGGGTTACAAAGTCATGACATGACATATGGTAACAAGCAAGAACATCTCTCAAGAAAAAACACCCCCCCCTTCTCAGATCCCAAAAAAAATCCAGAAGATCAAGAAGATCAAGAATGTACCCCAAGGCGCCTGAAAAATCTCCAGGGCTCGGCGCCAGTTGCCACTGCGGACAAGGGCTGTAACAGCAGCACCTCGATTCTTCCAAGCTTCGCATAGTAGGGACTCTACAGGAATCCGCCACGCTGTGCTACATTGCTGTTGCAGCATTGTCCGTAACTGTATATACTAAAGACGAGCGGCTGCACACCACCTCGTTCGCATCTATGCCTTAGCATTGGTTTGGCAGATGAGTGAAGCTAAGCGCATCTGTCCCACGCATGAGCACCAGGATGGAGCCAAAGAAGTAAAGCATTGTCGTGCGAAAACCTGGTGGAAAGTAACGGCAGCCCTCATCATCCCACGTGCCTTGCGTCTGCATGTCTTCGAAGAGTGCAAGCGCGGTCGCCCCATCGCCCTTGCCAGCAGCCGCTCGCATCAAACTTCCGTAGCTGTAGGCCTCGTCGAAAGTTCTCTTCTCAGTCAACAATCGGACAACCAAAAACGGCAGGCAAGCAAAAACGCCCTAGAAGCCCTGGTTTATCACAGCGCAGTGTCATACCCATCCAACTGAGACATGGACATCCAAGGCGACCCTGCCCGCTTTCATCTCCTATCTCTGCACGTCTGCAAGCGTGTGTCTTATGCTGTCTTCTAGCAAGAAAATGGCGGACACTGGTTTCGAAAGTCCTTCGCACAGGCCAGGGCAGCAGAGAGCTGGTCTGACCTGCCTTGGTTGAGCGCAAGCATTCAAACGTTGCATCATGAACGTCAGCGCAATGCAAATAGCAATGGGCGTGAATCATGGCGGTGTCAATGCACGTGATTGCAAATGCGCACTCGACTCATCAACCTAGAAGCCGCAAGCGGCCAAGGCTGCGTTGTAGTGAAAAATATTGACCTGACCAGTCTGAACAGATGGCGTCGAACGGTTCGCTTCGCTCTTCATCGGACCGCTCGCAGTACGAACAATGGTGGCAATGGGCACAGAAGGGGACTGAATGAGTTTAACATGAGTTTTCCGCTTCAAAGCACCTGCCCGCCGCTGGCCCGGAAAGACTCGACCACCTGAAGGGCCTCCTGCCAGGCACCTCACACCACAAGGCCAGTCAAAACGTACACTCTCGTGCACTTCCTCTTTCTGAGAAGTCTGCGGTCCACCCCCAGCCGCGATATTTCGGCCGTGATCCGTTGAGGGTCGGCCGGCCTTGCGAACCAGGCACTGAAGAAGCCCCATGCGAACAGAACATGCTTGAATTTCTGAGACTGCTGCCGTCCCACCTGCTTCCTTTCTCTCTGTCCACCTGCATAAAGGGACAAGCAGCGACTAAGCCTAAGCCATGCAATCAAGAACTGAGCTTGTTGTTCATACTTGTATGAAGCCGTTAGCGGCGCCTCGCAGGATGGCCGGAAGTGGCGGAACATCGGATTGACCTCTCAGCGCGAAAGAAACAAAGAAGCTCTCGCTCTTCATTCTCGAAGCAGAGAGGTGTTTTTTGCAAAGGGGTCCCAGCCGGCTTGTGGCGGCCCAGCCATGGCACCAAGGGCACCCGGTCTCTCCGTTCGCAGGCACCCATCGGGGGGTTCTGTCACCAACTCAAAGTCTCTGGTGGCACAGAAAAGCGACTAGCTCTGGATCCTGCGGAGAGGTTCTAGGCTGGTGCAACCAGGGGGCCCCAGGCTTACGTGGGCTTGTTGGTGTATCGGTCCACCCCGAGCGAATCGTTTGTCCGTACTCACCCAAGCTACCAGCTCATCACATGATCTTCACCCGATATGCTCAAGAAGATCTGTGCAACAAGGGTAGAAACTGTCCACTATTCATCTGCGAGCCCAGGTCCGGCATTTGTGATGTTTGATGGGTGATTACGTTGCGTCACCACGTCTTCAAATCTGATCACTGTCAGTGTGCATCGTGGAACAGCAGCATTGCGGCATGTAAACACAGCAAGGCCGGCCTGCGTGCAGCCCATGGCGTTATGAAGCACGGGGCGACTGCTTCAAAAGTTTGCTTGAGTGCAATTTGGGATTCCTGAGGTCCTTCAACTTCTGAAAATTTGTTGATGCCGTTGGTGCAACGAGTTGAACAGAAACGACTGCATGTGCAAGGCTAGGCCATACACCCCCACTCCAAGGAGCAGCGTTCTTGCAGAACGCAGACACAGCAGCTAACACAAGTGAAAAGTCTGAGAAGCTTGCAAACGCAATCAAGAACAACAGCTTTTTGACGTCGACGCGCAAGCTTGTGGCAAGCCGGACGTCCACCCCATAGCCCGCCCACCCTCCCCGGCCCCCCCGTTGGGCCCCTTGGGTAAACGGCTGGCACTTGATCTCACCAGACGGATCGGCTACGGATTCGGAACTCCAGCGGGTTGAAGGACATCGACTCAAGGGAGTTCTCCTTAGACCCAGCTGCGTGCGCAACGTCCTGCTCTCTTCCAAAGGTCTTGGAGAAAAAAAAGTTCGCAGTCGAACCAGAAGATACTTTTAATACACCTCCTGGCATCGAAAGGCCGCCTGAGCTGCATGTCCGCCACTTGAGACACTTCAAGATGAGGTACTGGATAGGCCATCCTGCGGCAAACCAAAGAACTGATGAAAAAAGAAACGCGAAAGAAACGAACAAACACATGCCTTGTCCCCCCTGGCCTGATCTTAACGTGTGGCCGGCACGCTTCCGCCAAGAATCGCCGGCAGTGCTCGACTGCCTCCTCTTCAGCTTCACGAGCTCCTCTCAACATATGCGTGGCATGGATTTACGTGTCTTGTACGCTATCCTGACACCGCTTGACAATCTGATGCTGCCAGCACATCACTTACATGCATCTTACTTCTGAACTGTCGTGGCCAGCATGGGCCAGCTCCACTCGTGCTCCGCTTCTCAGAACACGTGAACCCTTGTGTTTTTCTTGTGTCCCCTTGTGTGTGTGTGTGTGCTTCAGAACCCTCTGCTCGAGGCCCGGCCCTGCAAGCCTCCAGGCGCACAGGTACACTCAGCCTTCGCTTGTAGCGTTCTGCAACACTGTCCTGTTGCTGGTGGGCGCTTGGCGCGAGGTATCTGAGGTGGACTCGGGACATTCACCTGAGAAAAGAAAGTGAGGAACATTGAGGAACGAGATGGAACGTGGTGGAAGGCTGATGGAGGGATGCCTTGGAAAAGCTGTGCTGGAGTTGCTCGGCTTTGAACTCCAGCTGAAGGTCCGGCTCCGGCTGTGACCAGAGCTTCTCCTCTGCGCATTCCACAAAATCGCACATTCCATTTGGGTGCTTCTGGAGACCACGGGTTCTCCTAACACCGGTCCTGGTTCTCCAACACTTGAATTTCGCGGAGGGTCTTGCCAATCAAGGCTTCCAGTTCCGCTGTCAGAGGTATGGGATCTGCAGCGCAGTGTAACAGGTTGCACTGACAGGTGGAGGTGTCTGTATAAAGTCGTGCAACGTTATCCGTGCCTGGAGCTTCCGGAGAAGGCGGCTGTAAAGCTTGACTTGTGTGGCCTTTCCGTAGAGTCTTGCTTGAACATGCACTTCTCTGAAACGGTTGATTCGAGAGCCACGCCGCCTTCCGGCGGGGCATGTGCAACGGCACCGCTGCGAGGCACCTGACCGACGGCAAGAGAATCCAGGTTGACTCCACTACGTGGTGTTTGCTTAACTTTCCGGTTGGCATTTGTAACCCCCCCCCACCTCACTCAGCTGCTTGGCCTGCCTCAGCATAGCCAACGAGAGAAAGTCCACACGTTGAAAATCGTTTGCCTCCTGAGCCCCTGTCCTTGTCGCAGAGCTGCGACCTTGGCCGATATGCACGTACGCCATGAAGCACGATTCACAATCGTTCATGACGCCATGACGCAGCAGCATGCTTCTGAGTCGCTCGCTTCTCTGCAAACCCACATCTAAGATCCACGCTTCCCATCCGCTTCCCTCGAGGTGGCGGTTGGGCCGCCCGGGGCGCAGGCCGTGGAGCCTCGACCTGATCCTCGAGAGCCTCGAGGTCCTGGGCCACCGGCAACAAACCAAAACAAACAAAAACAAACAAACTGTCAGCATCTTCCTTGTGCTCTTTGTGCTCTGCCTGCATGCTCATGATTTGGATGACCACGCTTCGGAACAGTTCTTTGCCAAGTGCGGAACGTTCGGCATCGATTTCTTGGCTGCAGCATTGCACGATGTGGCGGGCAACATCGAGAAGGGATTCAGTTGAAAGATCATGCAAACATTAATCATAGCAAGAGAAAGCAAGCTTTCGTGGGTGAGCCTCTAGGCTGAGTGTGGTTCGGCTGGGTTCGATAGCTCTCATAGTAATGGGACTTTCAGAATGAACCATGCTCAAGCGTGAGACGACAATGTTCCCACGACCCCTTGGCCTGGAATGCCTCTTTTGTTTCTACCGCCTCTACAGCCTCTGCACCTACAGAATACTCAGACACGATGAAATTTCACAGGTGTACATGTCCACATGCGCTTTCTTCCGAAAACAGGACGTCCAAGTGGAAGAGAAGCGGCCTGGTGCTGTGAATTGGCAATTTGTTGAGAGCGGAGCGCTGCGGAGCACTCTGCTTTTGTTTCTTCGAGCTTGCAAGATGCAAGATTATCACATTAGCCTACAATGCCTGCCCTGCCACAGATTCCGTGACCACTCCGGAAAGCGAAACGCATGCCTACTCATTTGTGATGCCCTACCGCTGCATCTGTGCCAGGAGCGTCTGCCACGTGCAAGAGCTGCAAGCGCCATTGCGCTCGGTCGTTAAGACCAGGACTACTGTACCTCTTGCATGCGGAGACCCGCAGTCTGCAATCACACCAGATACACCAGGATTCTTTGTCCAGGAGCTTCGAGATGCTGCAACTTGTGAAGAAAGGGTGAACTATGCGAACTGTCTTGGAACCACGGGCTCTGTAGCCAATCCAAGCGACTCTTCCCTATCCAAAGGCCTCGCCTGTGGCTCTGTGGGAAGGGAGGGAATGGAAGGAATGGAAGGAGTTGGGAGAGGTTGCGGAAGCATTGGATCGCCCAAAGTTGCCGGCAGCTTTCCGCGCTTTGCTGGAAGAAAGGACCTTAGATTTGAGGTCGAGGTCTCTTTTTCTGGGCAAGTTCGCATCTTGACTTGTTGCGGTCGAAGCGGCTTCGACATTCGGCCATGCCAGGGTATCGTAGGAATGCGGGGCAGAGGACCTGGGAACTGGGAAAGAAGGGCAGAGAGCAGAGCTTTGCCGCCTTCACGAAGCCGCAGCAGGCTCAGCTCCAAGCGGGGTGGCGGTGAGAGGCTGGGCCATGGCGGCGATGGAAGCGGCCGGAGGCTATTCCGCAGCTCTGCACGTAGGAGCTCCTGACTGGCCAAGACAAAGACCAAAAAGGAATGCAAGAAGAAGATCGGCCTAGACAGGGAGCCTATCCGGGCTCAAACTCCTGGACATCCTACCCTGAGGCTCGGAACCCCTGTATGTAGGGTTAAAGCCACGGCTTTCCGAGGCTGACTTCGGCTTTGGGATGGGAGCTTCATGAGGTCTCTTTAGGTTCCGGTTCCGGTCCGTCCTGGCCCTGCGCCAAGGCTTGCAGTTCCAAGAGCGCCACCTTGTTCATTGCATTGTGTTCGGTTCAACTACTTCTTTCGCTGATCGCTGCTGTTACGGGCCCTGTAGAGAAAAGCTGTGACCTGCGGCATGCCTCAACTTTCATCACGCAAAACTATGGCAAGTGCATACAACACCATGCAAAACCATGCGAAAACCATGATGCCTGCAGCTCCTTGTCTTTGGCTGCGCTTAGCTCCGCATATTTCCTCATTCCACAAGACAGGGAAAGCACACGTTCGCCTGGACGCAACTCACCTCTCCACAGAAGCCATGATATGAAGCCACGCTTCGACTTGAGATCCGCTAATTCTGACGCGCCCTCTGCACGCCCCATCTGTGCTGCCGCGGCTGCCTGCTCCTCGAGAGCCTTCCAGCGTTCTCATCGGGAAGGGCAGGAGGACATACTTTGCTAGTGCGATTCGGCAGCGCAGGAACAAGGTCTAAATGCGATCTTTATTTTGGCAGCACACAAACCTTGACAAAACTCCATGCGCAATGCAGTGGCGCCTTCGCTGTTCGCTCGAGGCCCTGCAGACGCGATTCCAGCTGTCGGGTCTTGTCCTGCGAGCAGTTCTTCAACATGAATCATCTTTTGAGGGATGCGATTCTTTCTTGGCGCAGACTCCTTCTCCTTGCGCAGCAAGTCTTCCGTTTCTGCAAGGCGCTTCTCGGTGGCTTGCTGGAGCTGTCCCACCTGGGCACTTGAAGCCTGAGACTGCTCGAGCCTGGTTCTTGTCGACATGCTCGCCTCTTCAGCACTGCTGCGGGCTTCCTTCGCCTTTCTCTCTGCATCGTCTCTTTGCCTCAAAAAGCGATGACAAACAGCGCACACTGACTGGGACTTGCATGTGTAGACGCATGGCGGCAGCACTTCGGCTGACGAGTGAGTTGCTGCATGTCAAAGCTCATAGCTTTGATCAGAATGGTGTTGGATGTGCTAGGAAGTGCTTTCGATGGACTCACACCGAAGGGCAGGGTATGGGCCGTGATGTTTTGATTGCAGACCAATGGAAAGCCACACAATTCGACTTCGGCACGAGGGACGGGCATCTGCGAAATGCAGCATGGCTATGGTAATGCGTGGTAAATGCAATTTTATGGATCGCAGGAGTGGTTGCTCTGACTCTGTAGCTTGTGCATAACGTTCGGCAACATTCGACTCAGTATTTCGCAGCCGTCCTGTGCAAACTTCCCTCCGAGAACGAACGAAAGTCCGTTACTCATTGGCATGTTGCAAAGGATACTTTTGGTAATGGCGCACCGTTCTTACATGCAGTGCAAGCCTCTCAAAACCTTAGCTTATGTGCAAGCGCACATGCTTCGTCTGCTTCGCCTCCTCTCCAACTCGAAGTTCCGCTGCAGTTCTGTGAGGCTTTGTCGGAGCGCCAAGGCCTTGGTCAACAGGCCGCTTTCTTTGCCGAGGACTTGGGTTTCTGGCCTGTGGCTTCCAACAGTATGCACAGGCATAAGAGTTATATAGCTAGTCTCGGCAACCGAAATATTAATATCGTGACATCGTGGGATGTGTAGGGTGCGAAAGCCGCGGGACGCATAATAGCCGAGAATCTGTTGCTGCTTCCTCATCGCATCTTCTTTGTGCAGTTTCAGCAGCGCGTTCTGCCTCCCCCAAGCGCCTGACATGAAGCGACTTCACTTCTCAAAGCTGTCATAGCTGTTCTAGTGTCCTCGAGTGCTCGAGCGGCACTTGCTCGAATTGAGGAGGCTTTCGCGATTTGGTGGCGAAGTGAGATTCAGGCATCGCACAGCCAATACACAGCCACTTGCGCCACCCTGAAAAAGAGCTGCGCATCGGAGTTGTCACAGAACAATAAGTTGAGGCGGCGTAGATCCCAAAAAGTGTAACAGAGTGTAACACCACTTCTAAAGTGTCCAAAACAATCCGTGAACACACCAAGAGCATGCCAAGACCACCCCGAGAGCATCTCAAGACCACTCCAAGAAGATGCTTTTCGCCATGGAAAAAACACGGGAAACCCCGCTTCGGGAGCCCAAAAAGTCGGCAAGCATTCCCGCACCTAGGCCGTGAGAGCGTGATATTGACCGCAAACCCGTGCCTCGATTAGGCGAGAGCCAACGTCCCAGGTGCGGGCGCGAAACAACAACCCCACCCCAGCAGCAAAAGCCGTGAGGCATCCAGTCCAGCTTGACGCAAGCTTCAAAGCACATCCCCTGCCGTTATGGCTACCTGATGAAATCCTTTCACGAAACTTGGACAACAACCCGTCATTCGCTCTGCTGGCCGTGCACGGAGTGGAGAGTCCCGGACAGTGGACTGAATATATACTTATATATATATACATATATACATGTATATATATATATATTTTATATGATATATGTTCCTTGCTCATCGATTATGGCAACGACATTGATGTCCCTCACCGGGCAGTCTTGGAGGTACGAGCAGAGCAGAGAAGAGGGTCGTCACTTGCGAGGCCTGAACACTGGGCGCCAGAGTCTCGTGTCAGGCGTATCTTCTGCACGAGGAAGATATGTGCACATGTGCACATGTGCACATTGACATGCCGGTGTGCACGCTCTGCCATGCGGGGCCCCAGCAAAAGGCATGATTTGGGCTCACCCTCGGTGCAAAAGGTTGGCAAGAACCGTGACATCACTAGAAAAGGCAGGCGCAGATCCCAGTGGGCATTGAGGGATGCGAGCCCTGCTGGCTTTTGCATACTTTGCTTGGCATGAATCCTTCGGCTACAGGTTTCGGCCATGCTTAGCATAAGCTCAGCCTCCTGTCTTCTTCCAAAGCTTCGGTCTTTTGGCGGAGCTTCTCCTGCAATGTCTGTACCTGCAGGTCGCTGCTGTGCAGATCAGAGAGTTGACTCCACATGAACAAGTGACCTGGCGAGTACACCGGTGTGTCATGGTATCACCCATGCGATGGCTAATGATTTGTCAGCGAGAACGCTGTACGCTTTCCCGTGCTGGCTGGTACCATGGAACATGGGAGCATCAAACCTTAAACAAGACAGACCAACGCCATCCAACGTAGCATTCAGACAGAAAGAACTTCGGATGCTCGGGCGGGCATCGCCAAACAGAGCTCGCTGTTGATCCGACGCCTGCGCTGACAAGTCCAAAGGACAGCTCTGCACCGACTGACACAGGATTTCAAGCCAGCAAGCCGGGTGTCTTTGTGCATCGGTGCCTCCTTGATGGCAGATACATGCTGAGCTTCTTTCGCATCCAGCTGTTGCCTGGTGATAGTTGGACAACGATTTAGGGACTCCTGAAGAATCAAGACGGAGCGTGATGCGGATACCGCTGGCGTCCGTGATCACACACTAGAAGGAAGCTGCAAGCGCAGCTCTCAGAAGAGTGTGAACGGAGTCAAAAGCTGCAAATTGGCTCCATCACTGCGACAGCGAGTGTCCGTAAGCAACCACACCATTCACTTGCATTGTAATTTTGCTTGGTGTGGTAAAGAAGACCACAGGAGCCTCAACTCCTTCCGCTCCTCCAAGATCGTCTGCGCAGGGCTAGTGGGAAACTACTGAATTTTAGCTGACACCAGAACAGCAAGAAGGCTCCGAACGCTCGCACACAAGGACCTCATAGTACTTCTTCTTCTGCTGGGCGGCAGTTGTCCTCTCTGGAAGCGATATGTGACTGTGAGATGCTGTGAGAGCTCTTCTGGCTGAGGTGAACAATACTCAAAAGAAGCTGTTTGCAGCTGCATGGCACATCACGACACTTCACGGTACTTCACACGGCGATACACACACACACACACACACACGCACACGGAGAAGAGATGGGCCTCCAAGGCCTCCACGTCGAGAGGGAGCTTGACATTGACGGGAGGCTCAGGCGCGCATCATGGTCATGTTGCTAATTTCAACTATCATTTTGTTGTTGTCTGTGTGCAACCATAATGGAGCGTCCTGGAACTAGAGTAACTACCAGTAGAAGTTGCAAGTGGGCACTTCGTCTTGAGTAGGCTGCAGCGAAGAATCGAAGGGGTTAAGAGAAGGGCATCGGAGGGCCCAGCGATATCCAGCGATTCAGTTCTGGAGTTCAGAATGCTCGATATTCCTCGGTAATCCTTGAGCCGCAGTGATACGATAATGCACCAGGAAATCAGTATTTTGCAATAAGAACTCAACGAATTGCTGACTTGCAGCCGACATGACTTCTTGAAATCAGCACCTGTGAAGTACTCGTGCCACACTTCTGACAACTGGGGTACAAGGGTGTCTCGGAATCAAGCGCGTCCCACAACAGGAGAGCGCATTCCATGCGAAGCTTCGCAGTCATGCCAGGCATGCGCGGGCCGCTGCACGCAAGCACCGCTGAAGGATGTGAGTTGTGGCTGGCACTCACATGACACCGATTTATGCAGGATACCTGGGATGGCCGAGGCGAATCCTGGATTTCAATGTCTGACAACAAGCAAACCTACGACTGGGAAGAATGACAGCTGTCCAAACTCGACCTCTTCAGGCTTCCACTATCGCTTGCTGCGCTCAGAAGCCTTTCCCATCGTTTTCCAGCCTCGGCAACCAACACCTGGCTCAGGTCGCAGATGGTCTCACATGTCCCACGAAGGTGGCAAGCGTGTGGCCACGCTCGACATCGTTCGAGCGCAAGGTCCGTCCTTGAGGCGAGCATCCGCAGCCACGCACCTGCCAAGATTCGCAAGAGGGAACCAATTGGACGTCACGGGGACGGCATATTCTCGTCAGCTTCTGGAGCCAGAACCAACTACGGCCTACAGTTTGCCCCGGGCAGTTTGCAGCATTCGAACGGCGCTCTGCATGGTGTAGTTTTTGCACATCCGTGGTCAAGCCACAGCTGCACTCGGTGACCGATGCAACCAGGCAGCGTACGCCGGCTGCACACCGCATGCAGAGGGCGAAGGCGGTGCACACACACACACACACACACACACACACACACACACCCGCGCGCGCGCGCACACACACACCCACCCACCCACCCACCCACCCACCCACCCACCCACCCACCCACCCACCCACCCACCCCACCCACCCACCCACCCCCCACCCACCCACCCACCCACCCACCACCCACCCACCCACCCACCCCACCCACCCACCCACCCACACACACACACACACACACACACACACACACACACACACACACACACACACACACACACACACACACACACACACACACACACACACACACACACACACACACACACACACACACACACACACACACACACGCACACGCACACGCACACGTGCACACGTGCACACGTGCACACGTGCACACGTGCACACGTGCACACGTGCACACGTGCACACGTGCACACGTGCACACGTGCACACGTGCACACGTGCGCACGTGCGCACGTGCGCACGTGCGCACGTGCGCACGTGCGCACGTGCGCACACGCACATGCACATGCACACGCACACGCACACGCACACGCACACGTGCACACGTGCACACACGCGCACACGCGCACACGCGTGCACGCGCGCACGCGCACACGCGTGCACGCGCACACGCGTGCACGCACACACACGCACACACGCAGAGAGACACACACACACACACACACACACACACACACACACACACACACACACACACACACACACACACACACACACACACACACACACACACACACACACACACACACACACACACACACACACACACACACACACACACACCCCCACACACACACACACACACACACACACACACACACACACACACACACACACACACATCACACACACACACACACTCACACACACAAACACCCAGAGTCACACACTCACACACACTCACACACACACACACACCCAGAGTCACACACACACACACACACATCAGCGCAGGCAATGTCATGTCTCAAAGACGCTAGATCCTGAAAAAGCGTTCAAAGAACTTCAATGATAAATGTTCTGACCTCTTGAAAGCCTCTGTCTGCCTCGCTCCCCCACCACACCTGCGCAGCGCTGATGCTTTGAGGTGCTCGGCCCGCTGCCGGCGGCGCGCCTGATGTCCCGCTTTGCACACCGTCAAAGACGGGACTGAGATGAAGGTGGAATTGCGAAATCCGCCTTCCCACAGAAGAGCCAGACCCTCGCCCCCTCCCCCCCCTGGCCCTCCCCCCTTCTCGCCCACCCCGCTCCAATCTTTCACCCCTGGTTGGGAACAGCATCTTGTCAGCCATCACACCAGCTTTCTCACTTTTGATTCCGGCGCACAATTGGCGTAGTCATGCGTCATCTTCATGCCCGCAAATCGCACAAGGCCAAGGCATGACTTGCCTGAGCAACAGACTTGATCTACAACACCTAGACCGAACATCTCTTGGCCAGAGACAAACTGCAAGGCCTCGGATTTCAGCCTTATCGCTTGCCGACCTCAAGGCTTCACACACACACACACACACACACACTCTCCGGGGCAGTCGATGAAAGCCGCGCATGAGGATCATGAGGCATGATACTGGCGCTATGCCATGCCTGGGACCTGGGAGTCCAGCGACTGGCCTGGCGCTGCCATGCAGCTCGAACGCCTTTGTCCAGCCAAGTGTCAACCGTGGACTGTTCCGGATCTCTAGCACCCAGCACCAACACCCCATCTGAGGTGTTGGGCGTACGATAGCTTTCTCCTCCGAGAGGGGGCGGCTGCCACCGGGTCGAGCCTCACGCAGCACCTGTTGCACAGCAAGGCTTGACTTCAGAGTTTGCAGCTGAAAGGAAAGGCATGAAATTTACCGAGGTTCTGGACCACCAAGTCGCACTTGAACTGGTCCCAAACCACCCAAGGCTGACGGAAGATCATGCATGGGCCTCGATCCACGCCTTCTGCAACTCCGTCCAACCATGTTCACCTCAGGAAGGCAGGAGTTATCTGAATATGATATGATCATACACTTGCAGGAAGCAATCAGGACAAGGAATCAGGAGAAGACACGTCTCTAACTGCTAAATCGAAAAGATGCGCTCGGAAGCAACCCAAACTTAGATGCAAATTGCGTCAATAAAGTTCAGAGGAATAGTGAGACATGGAGGTCAAGAAGCTCTTTACATGAAAGTACACATCAGCAGCATAGTTCTTTTGCGTGCGATTACTCCAGAGGTCCGCGAGATGCCCTCGCCCATCTTACCAGAGAAATCTGCAGGCCTCCACATTGGCGTGAGAGTTTGGTTTGGGTCCTTCTCCTTCCCTCGCTCCGAATTGTTGGCTCCTACCCACCTTCCTTTGATGCGGGGTGTCAGCGCCTTGGAAAGGAAGGGAGAGAGAATCCTGCAAGCACACCATGTGGCGCAAAAGCGATTCACAGGTTAGGATGTCCTGAAGAGAGCTCTCGACTGCCATGGTCTCTCAGTCTCACAGTCTCTGGGTCGGCAACGCGCCGAACCAAGTCGCCAACGCCAAGTCAAAGCCTGAAGCCAATCTGTCGCGTCACCAGAAAAAGGCCAGGAACACACTTCATGATTGTTTGCGAGGGTTCAATGATGATCCTTGGGAGTTTCGAGCGGGTCACAGCTGTTCATCCACGGCTCCTGAATCGGAGAATCGGAAACTACATGCTGAGCTGCACCCTGCGCTTCAATCAATGGAAGTCAACAACAAGACTTCGGCATCACGCTGCAGTATGACATCCTGTGACGGCCGTACAAGTAGCGTCTTAGGTCCCTGCCTGTGTAAGACATGACGTAGTTGGCGACTCGATTTTACCAGCCAAGCATCCTCGTGCAGGAGCACTGGTACTTCTGGTGCTAGACAGCAGCCCTTTGTTCAACATCGAAAGAAGCCGTGCACCAGCACAGTTGCCCCGTCTACTGATTTTGCTGTTTCATGATGCGTTTTCTGCCATCAAAGCGTGGCGGCTTCCTAACAGTCCAGCCAACTTCTCGGACAAGCACAACCCGCGACCACTTCAAGACATGGTGCTGGTTTGTGAACGTTTCTGCCAAACTCCGGACTGAGCTCAATTCCATCATGCCACACATTCACACGGCTCTCGAAGTACAATGCTGAGGAAGCTGAATCCGAGATCATTCGGAATGTTTGGACAAGGAATCTTGCGTGGGTTCGAAAGTGGACAGCTCGACCTTGTGCCTGTCTGAGGCCAGCACCCGAGCTAACAACGACTGCGTAGCTTGGCCTCGCCATGAATCGAAGGACTGACACCATACGATTCCATTGCCGTAACCTAGCCCAAGCCCCAGCCATACCCAGCCCACCTCAGCTCGGATTCACGGATTCCAGACTCGGCCTTCGGCCGCATCACACCCAGTGTGTGCTCCATGGGCGCTCTCCCAAGACTGACCACTGAGGTAGAAACCAAGGCAATGCCCATGGCCCAAGCTATCCGGTCCTGATACCGCATGACATATTTCACTCCCACCTCATTGACTCTGCTGTTGAACTGTTGCACGGGATGCTCGCAATTGTCCTCTTTGAGTTCCTTGTAGCTTTCGCAGGCACCCATCGCTAGCTCGCCTCAGGGACATGCAACCAGCACCGCTACATAATGTGGTATCGCACCGACGGAAGAACCACTCAGGTGCATCCCCTTGTGGGGCCAATTCTCCAAACTGGTGACTTCAATTTCCGTCGCGTGTCATGGAAAATGTTGCTTGATCAAACAAGCGGGGAAAGCGCGAGTCTTCTAGAAACTCCTTTGTGGTATTGACATGTTTCGCATGCCCGGCATGAAGGCGGATGCCGGTATGGAGAGCAAGCCGTCGTGCTCATCAAGAACACTCTCTGGCAAGGCCTTTTCTCTTTGCATTTGGGGAGAGGAAGGCTGAGCATGGGTTCAAGAGTGGCTAAAGAGCCAACGGGTGCCTGCATCGTTTCAGCTTTGTGCAGGCCTGCGCCATTGAGTAAGTTGAATAGAAGCGAACTCAGCATGCCCCCCAGGAAAGCTCCTCCTGTGCTTCTTGGACTCTTTGAGACTGTAGGAAACCACAGGTCAGAAGTCATCACTAAGTCTCCGACAAAGACGCGCAAGCACATCGTGAAGTCGACTAGCCTGCAAGCTACTTAAACACGGCTTCCTGAGGACTGCCAGTTTGCTATTGCAGCCATGCAGCTCGTAACGGGCAATGCGTTGTAGCAGAGCGGACCTGCTTGCTTTGGGAGCACGCACTGGTGCGTAGAGACGAATAGTAGTGCATGACCATGCTGTCAGAACACATCACGGCCGGGCGAACTGCAACCCTACTTTCACTAGATGTGGTGCCACGGGTAGCTGCAGTTGCCCATAGCCACTTGATGTAATTACTAGATCGTTACTGCTGCCTGGTTCGGAGAGATCAGATCAGGTCAACAAGTGTCAGACAGTCCAGCACGAGCAAGGCATGCGCGCAGAAGCCTCATGTAACACACTGATGGGCGCTAAGAACGGAGCCATCAGTCGAGAGAAGCAGATGGATGCTTGAAAAGCCCCGAACCTCCGAATTTGACTTGAGCTGAGCTTGCAAATCCTTGTCGGACGTCTTTCGCACTGCGCATCTTGGGGCCACAACTCAAGCAGATGCTACTACAACGTGCCATCTCTTGCTCCTGCCTCACGCGGCGCACACCGCCACGGCTGTGTGTCCAGGTTCGGGCCTGTCAGAATCAGCGCGTCTCAAAGATCTCTTATCAGCCCCAGGGCGCACAAGGGCCCAAGATCATGGAAAAAGAGCACGGAAGAGCACAAGTGTGCAGCATGCTACCGCTCTTCTTTCGTCCATCTCTTGCTTTACAGCGCAGGAGCATCGCATCAGCGATGCGCAATCCGGGTCTACGAATCCGCAAATTCGCAGCTTGCCACATGACAGAATGCTGGAGGAAGGAATTCCTTGTGAGCACGATCAAGCGACCATGAAGTAGGAATCAGAACTGTCCCATCTGTCCCGGCTCGTGGGGAAATCCATCCCTGCAGCACCCTCTTGGCTTACGACTTGGAGTTTTGACTGCCTTAAAGCTGACATTGCCAGCTAGTCACGAGAACTGACTCGCTGCAGTCTCCTTGGGACCTACAGCTGCTGTAGGGCGATTGGTCCTGGGGCATGCATACAAATTGACCTTAAGCACCGCTGCTCGCCAAGAGCCTTCAAATATCTTCTGAAAGCCCGACCCTAAGCAGACTCAGACAAGAACTCTTCCTGCTCGGAACGCGGGCGGCTTTGAGACATTGACAGCTGGTCACTCTGCGGTTAGAGCCGTCAGAAGTCGTCGCGGTGCGGAAAGTAGCTAAGAAATGAGCAATTCTTGCCTCAAGGCGATCGCTGCCGGCACGATCCCTATCTAGAAAGTAGATGATTCGAAAGTCTCATCGCCTGAGGCAGTACAGCTCTTGGCTGATCCTGGTGATCAGAGGCTTCTGTACAGAAGGTAACTCACAGCTTTTTCATGAGACTTCACAGAGAGCTTCACGAGTGCTGCAAAGCGTTGGTGTTAACAGATTCATCGAGAGGCAAAATGGCGCTTCACCGCTTCATCCCTCGGAGGCTGACAGAGAGAGACTTTCTTGAGGGGGGCCACGGCATCCTTTTTTTGCCTGAAGATCCCAATTGGAATCTTCGGGCGTTGTTGTTGATCCAACCATAAATCAGTCGTGAAGGCAAGCAAAGCTTTGCACCAAGACAACTCGCATATATATGCATATATGACTAACCATACATGACTAAAAGAACGTCGCAGAAGCACGACGCCTCACACCATCTCGGCAAGGGCTGGCTCAGAGCTTCCTGCACCAGACTCCGAGCACATCGGTCTGCCTGCACAGGCCAAGAATTGAGAGGCATGTGGAGGAATCTGGTCGTTCCGACCTCGAACAATTCTCTCCCTCAACCCCAAAGGCTGCCACCCAGAAACCCAACGACCCGAGTCCGGAAGCGGGCAAAGTGCAAGGTGTGCGTTTATTGGCAAGCAGGGTAGGAACGTGCTTTATGCAAGTCGTGCACTACAAATATTCAAACATAGGAGGAGCCCTCAACCTTCAGAGTGATGCAACCTCCAAAGCTACTCTACACTTCAACGGCCGGCAAGTCGCCGCAATCCGACATAAATACATCTTGCTCAAGTGCGAAAATTTGCACAGCTTCCAACATCTTCTAAATTCCGCCTCGCCAAAGGCGGCAACACCCGCCCAGAGTCGCCAGAAGAAGCATGCAAGGGCCAAAGCAAAGCCCAATGCGGCCTGGAGATCAGCCATAGATTTGGCGACAAAAGTCTACAGTGCTCTGTAGTGCTCCAGCGGGTCTCCCAGGAGTAGGACTGTGACCCACTTCTCGTGGCTAGAACTTGGTCCATGCAACACAGCTGCGACGACCACTCAACACATCATACACTTGAGCGAGATCTCTGTCTTGCCGGCGGCGTCAATCCCCGATGCAAACCATGTAAAGCTTTAGAAACTAGCGTTCCCAGCAACTTCTGCTAGTGACCTCTTTAGCTGCTCTCTGTAAAATTTGATATGTGCTGCGGCGCCAAGCCATAGCCCGAAGGTGGCTTGCCGGATCAGGTCGCGTTTGTCGCACACTTCGCCTCGGTTAAGCTGATTTCTGACAACTTCTGCACACCGTTTATGAACCCATACGACCATGTGAAGCCTCTTCCTTTGCCGGGCTGCAAGGAGCGGTGTGGAGCACTGCAACGGTCAGCTCAGCGCGGGAGAGGATCCGCACCCGGGTCATGTAGCTGCCTCAGTTGTGCTATTGACACTTTTCGTTTTTCGTTAAACGCCTCAGAGACGGATCAGCCTTCCCTTTCGATGCATCGAGCCCAGGTGCCGACAAGGCCGTCTGACACGTACAGGAGAAACTTTCCTCCCGATAGCCTGGCGCTTACAGACTCGTGCTGCCACTGGCCATCACTTCATTCTTGCCATCTGAAGTACAGATTCCCTGCCTGTAGAGGCCAGAGAGGTATCCGTCTGAGGAGTGCGAGGCCAATGCTTGAATCGGCCAAAGCTGACCCCCATGTGTATGTCCTGGCAATCAGCAACTTCTTGAATTAAGGATCCGGTCACAGGGCTTCTGGGTTCTGCACCCCAAAACGTAACAGCTACCACTTAATTATTGGGAGACATCCAGCGCCAACTCTGCCTAAGCCTACAGTCAAGACTCAAGACAGTGGAAGTGAAAAGGTGGCCAGTTTGCACAGACAGCTAGAACAAAATCAGACTCTGCTGACATCCTCTTTTGCCCGCAAATCGCAAATGGTTAGAGAGAACTGCCCTCTCCGGGCAGTTCACATCTCCGCCCAAACGAACACCAGAACACTAGACTCACAGACGACGAGCCGGTCCAGACAGCTGGAGTTGCACATTGTTCTCGGCCGCAGCAGCCGCATGGGGCCACGGGCGGTGGGCCACCAATACCGTCGGCAACGACGGGTGTCGCCCGGCCCTGAGTTCAACTGCAAGGGACAATAGGGACACTTTGGCCGAGCATGTGCCGAGATGTGCCAAGGGCATGCAAAACGGCATGCCAGCCCAGTTGCAAAGCAACCTTCAAGTCGGGCGCGCCCAAGGTGTCATCGACGCCTGCGCAGGAAACCCGAGAGACACCCGGGACATGCGGCGTTAAGTGCATGCTCGCATGCTCCACTCTCTGTCCTTGCATGAGATTCGGATACACTCAACAAAAGCCTGGCGATTGACAAAAAGACTCTCGGTTACGCTGAGTCTAGGCGAATTCACACAGTCGCCAGAGGAAAGAATCGGACGACACGAACCTTTCAAAAGCTTCCAATTGCACTGCCAAAGGATGTGGATGCGTGTGTTATGATTACCGTTGGGTGTTGCGCTGGTGGGTTGGCGAAGAGCCTTTCGATTGCTCGATCAGACCAGTGGCAGCTGTTGGCGAAACATGCACATAAAGGCAGGACATGGAAGGAACGTGAGCTACTCTGTTAACGGCCTACGGCAGGAAAAACCACTGACACACTTCCGGTCGTCGCGTCGTTGCACAAGACATTCAAGCCATAACGACATATGCGGAGAAGGGCGGCGTCATAGCATTGAACAGCTGGAGCAGACGGCTTGTCAACATCCCGTGCAAACAGAAAGCGCAACATGCACCATGTGCCTGCAACAGTGATGAGCTTTTCTCCCTCAAGTGGGAGCTCCACGTGCCTCGGAGCTCAGAAACAAAGCTAGGGAAACACAGGATTCCGCAGGATTCCGCGTAGGAAGCCTTCAACATCTCTAAGCATCGCTAAGCCGATCTGAGGGGCGAGTTGTTGAGTGAGGTGAAGCCATGGCGTTCCCAGTACGCTGTCCAAGCCTCTGCCTGCGTCACCAGGCAGCCCAAGGGAGAGTCAGCAAAGTTTGGAGCTTCGCAGCTTCTCCCCTGCCTCCGCACGCTGGCCCTTCGGGCCCTTGTAGTTATAATACTCATGGTTGCCTCAACTGTCTATGCCGCAGCACAGAGCAATGTCAGCCTCATTACAATTGCTGATGGCTTTCGCTCGCACTTCCTGGTCGGTCAGAGGCGTCGGTGTAAGCTTCAGGCTGAACCTACATGTTCACTCACGTTCGCTCCTCCTCCTTGGCACCACCTTCCCAAGCCAAGGTGCCGGGAACGTAGTAGGCACCATCTGGGGCTGCTAATGCTAGCTTCTTGAAGACATCCATGTTGTGCTCACGGATCTGCACAGATCCTGCCAAAGAATGGATCGCAGGCGGATTCCTATTAATAATCTTCATGTGTGGAGTCTGGAGTGCACAATGTCCATGCCATTAACTACTGAACTAGATTTGCGCCGTAGATTTACTGCCTTCAGTTTAGTTGTACCTCCACGGTGCAACACCACATTACAAAAAGATTGTGCTTCCAACAGTACTTGCAAATGCACTGGCTGGGTTCGTGCACAACGGCCCAAGAAGGGAAGCAGCAAAGGAGCTGCAGCAAAAGGAACGACTCGCTTGTCCACTCCACAGCCTTCTGCAATGTCTCCATTGAGGACAATGGCATGGCAGCCCCTGCAGTATGGCAAGCACAGTACCATGGTTCGGCATGTTGCAGTGATCTATTCTGCCAGGCAACAGCTGCGACACACCCTCCGCCAAGAACCTTGCGATCACACAAAACATGATTCATGTACACTGAAAAAGTCAGGGTTTTTATGGATTTGGCGTCGGCTTCTTCTGCTGCATAAAGCAGCAGTCCAGCTAGTACAAGGAAGCGCATCAGTGGGCCGCAAGCTAACAAATGCACGGACTACAGTGTCTACAGAGGATCCGGAGTGCCGCAGCACAGACTGTCCGAAAAGCCATGTGTTGCACCACGTTGCACCTCAACTTCTCCGTGCCATAGATGGGTCCAGCATGCAGGTCGCTCAGCTGGCAAATGCTATATCCTGAGCTGCCCACAACTTGCTCAACGTGGCGGCTGCTGTGCATCACACGCAACGACGACTGGGGTCTTCTAAAAGTGAACTGCCATCGCCAGCAGATGTCAGGTGCCGGTAGAGACTTATCATTGTGCAAGATGATAAGTCTAGTAGGCTCGGACAGCCATCCATCGTTTGAAAGCAAGCCTCCCTCGGCAGCCTCCGGAAGTCCGGGCACCTGCTGAAGCGACTCATTGTATGACATAGACTCAGCCCGCTCCCGTCGTGAAATCGCAACCCGCGTGCACAGGACGTGCCTCCAAGTGCAGCCTCTCCACATGTGGACCTGTCAGGGAAGCCCGTTCCACCTAGTGGACACACATTCCAAGGATGTCACACAACTGTTGTCTTTGCAATCAAGCCTCCAAAAAGGCTGAGGAAGCTCACAGCGCTGACCAGGCAGAGGGTAAAGCGGTTGAGCACTCGCTCATGTTGCCAGCCGACCTGTGCACATGCCAAAGAATAAGATGGAGCATCATCTTGGGACGCAGCTACCAGAGAGAAAGAGAGACAGACGAAGAAGAGGCGGGAGGGGAGACAAACAGCTAAACAGGCCAGCAAGCCTTCAGATGGAAGGAGCCCAGCGCCACAGCGAACAACCTGTTGCTTGCCAAATTTTGCTTCCGGTACCCTTTGAGAAGCATTCTGACCGGCCTGATGTTGATGAAGTTGAAGGTGGCCACCTGCTTTCGATTCTATCTGGCCATAAAGGCCCCTTGCTGTATTCCGCAGCTAGGCGTTACGCCAAGGACGAAAATAACAAATGTGAGGGGTCACCCCCGTTGATTCGTAAACGATCGCAGCTTTTGAAGCTCTGAAGCTTCGCGCTTCACCTGAAGCTCTACAGCTTTAAACTTCCAGCTGCTAGCTTCGCATCTTGCCTGAAGCGTTTCATGCTTGGACTAGAGCGGCAAATGTCTAAGAAGGGATGGTCGGGTTGCAATACGCACTGCAGAGCTCCAGACTGAACCGTGCCGAGAAAACAGCGTGCAGAGAATGGGGTTGCTTTATGATTTATGATTGTGAGAAGCATACCAGGTTACCACCATCTCACCCACTTATCCACCTCGGCATGTGCCGCTTCCCCTCACACATCCTTTCCCTTGTGTCTAGCTTGGGTTTCCTCATCCATGGGGGCGTCCAGGATCTCTATTCGGCACACGACTCTCAATCCTTCCTAACTTGAGAAGCAACAATGTAGCACGCACATTCCACTGCACTGTGAATGCGTTGCGTGCCAAGCATAAAGAGCCGAGAGACAGCGTACAGAGCTGCCAGGTAGGTTCCACATTCTGACATCCACGTGTCCTCGTGGAAGGCCCGTGAAGGAATGTGAAGCTAACAGGAATGCGGCACTACGCCGTGCAAATTACGTTTTCTGCCTTCACAACAAGATTAGGAAACAAACGAAGCCACTAAAGCCAGTTCAAGCGAAACTGGGTGATCTTGGAGCAAATCAAAAGTGAGATCCTCTCCATCTCTCGCCGTGAGCACAGAGAAGGCTGCAAAGCCACCAGTGCCGAAGAGAATAACCTCGAAAGGGGCACGTAAAAGGAGGACGGAATGTATGCGGACTCTTCATTTGAAGTCATTGAGGGGAGACTCCAAGTTAACACAACAGTTCGAGCAGGTGCTGAAATCCCTTCGCAACTCTGCATGCTGACAGGGTCTCTGTTGCAACGAAATCTCGAATCTCCCATGGGCGCTCTGCACGTGAAGTCCACCAAAAGGCCACGGACCATGGGATCAACAACACAGTACCTCATCTCCGCATCTTCACAGTTGCTGAGATCAGCTCACAGACATGCACAGACCGCATATGACTGCATGCGACTGCCTGCAATCAAAGCCAGAAACCGCATGAAAGTACGGAAGTGTAGAACCTTGGACACATTTGGACGAAGGGCACAGCGCCATCACGGCCCCAAGCATTTTATCAGAGGGCGGATCTATGAGTTGCAGCTTCATTGGCTTGTCCGTTTGCAAGGACTTCTCTACATTCACCAATGCGGCAACCTCAGCGCAAAGGTCAGATGAGCTCTCGTTATGGGCCAGTACTTCTTGACGTGTATCGAGTCCTGATTCCTACATTTTGAACGTCGCAAGAGCAACACAAGCGAATCACGCTGCATCCCAAACCAGCTCAGGAGGTGACCAGTAAGCCAAGCCAAATGGTGGCCGCCGCTGTTGCCCGACGGATTCCCCGTTGAACCAGAAAAGCAGCGACCAGTCTCTTGGCACGTCGGTACCTAGCACCCAGGATAGACCTATGCTGCCGACAAATGCTGAAGTTCCGAAACTGCGAAACTGCCAGTAATCTTCAACAGGCCACGCCCAACGCATCATCTTCGTCTCACCGCCCTGCAGCAGCGGCAGCAGTGGCTGCGACAACCGGTATGAGGGAGCACGCTGAGCGATCGTTCGTAGCATGCACTTGAAGCCCCACCTTGCAGAGTGCTCTCTGTGTGTGTTTGCGTGCTCTTTCATGTGAAGTTCTTGAATGGCAAGCGTCTGAGAGTGTTGGACTGTTTGCAATCATCTTCCAACTTGTTCCAACACTTGGCAATGCCTTAGTGGCTCGGCACCTGAGCCAGACAGCTGCATTGGAACAAATGTGCACAAGATGATCCGGTGGGCCCAAGAGCCCAAAGGCCCAAAGGCCCAAAGGCCCAAAGGCCCAAAGGCCCAAAGGCCCAAAGGCCCAAAGGCCCAAGGGCCCAAGGGCCCAAGGGCCAAGGCAATCCAAGGTTGCTTCTGCCAATTGCTTCCCAGCTTTGCGGTGTCTACTAGGCGTTTTGCTGGGGATCTGCACCTTGACATGCTATGGCTACGTCAGTAGAAGTTCACGTTTTTTGTTCACGGGTGCGTGCCAGCAGCTCACATCTAGACTGTCCCATGCCTTTAGCAACGGCTGCGAGCACTAGAGTTCTTGAAGCCATGTGCCATGCCTAAAGACAAGAATCTGTATCTCATGCAAACTCACAGTAGAATCTGCTTTGTGGTCAAAGGGGGTTACGGATCACGGACATTCCCAGGTCTCTACTCATCTCTCCGCTCTTTGCTTTTCTTTCAGTGCCTAATTCAGTCTTTAACTGCTTTGGGCATGCGCTGGCGGCCCGAGGTGGAGGCAAAACAACCCTCACAAACCTGACACACCACTTCTCTCCGGGCGAGGAGGTCGGGACGAATCGCTATCCTTCACAATACTCTCACACTCTCACTCTCTCTCTCTCCTCTTCTTCTTCTTCTTCTTCTTCTTCTTCTTCTTCTTCTTCTACAGGGCTTAAGGGGCCAGCAGACCCCTCGCGCGCGTGGCGCGCTCAATCCGTCCGGTCTCGATGTGAGACAAGGGCCCCCGACACTCCAGCGCGGCCAAGTTCCCCCGAGCCCGGGGCCTCCCCCCTACCACTCCTTAGTGCGGATACCTTAGTCCGATGGCCTAGTTTGGGTTCACCCTGGGGCTTGCCGGCTGGGTATGTTACTGGTGACGTGTCAGGCCGTTTTAGCTTGGGACCCCGTGGCTGTGAGACTTTGCTGTCCTGTCCCTTATCTTCTGCTCTCTCTCTCTCTCGCTCTCTCTCTCTGTGTCTGTGCGAGCATAATAAGCCCCGAAGGGGTCGCACCACGGTTGCCTTGTCTGTGCGAGATTCCAAACAAAGGGAGGGAAGGTCAAGGTTTCCTTCTCGGTCTCCGTCTCTTTCCCCGTCTCTGTCCTACAAATTGATGCTTTCCTGCAGCTTAGGCCTGCGCTGTCTTCCTCGAGCGCTGGCTGGCCGAGGTCTGCATACACAAAGTCCGTTGAGCAGCTCAAAGATGACATGCTCACTGAAACGATCATGCAATTTGCAAGCGCTGCAGCACTCACCCGGGCCGGTGGCCGCTCTGCATCTGGAGAACAAGTCTGTTGAGAACAAGTCTGTTGAGAACAAGTCCATCCCCGTCTGCCCCCAACCTGTGATGTGTATACTACCGCCACTCCTCCCACATTGTGTTTTCCCACTTTCAGTTCATTCCTTTTGCTGCTCTGTGGGGCTGCACTTGCTTGCGTTGCGGCAGCTGTGTCGAACAACAATGACCTGCACAAGCCTGGGTTCAAAGATCCTGGTCGGCCTGAAGGTGGGCGACTTGAAGCGCTTGACGCAGGCGGCTAAGGGTTTTAAGGGTTTTAAGGGTTGTAAGGTGTCGAGTTTCAGGCAGGGCTGGATGTAACTGCTGCATTTGGTACAGAAAAACCATAAGGTCTTCAGAAATCAAAGTGGGTGGCAAGCAGAGGTTTGAAAACCTTGCTTCGCAACGGGCTTGCACCATGGAGGGTTTGCCCTTGAGTCGGTACTTCAGATTCTACTGGGTTCTGCGCGTGTTTGTTGTCGCTTAAGGGCCTCATGCAACATGCTTGAGACAACTGGCCGAAGCGGATGGGCGATCTTTTACCAGTACTCTGACCCTGTTTCCGGCACCTTCGAGCGGGTGCGCAGCGAAACTCTGATGTCGGCGCTGCCACATGCCTTCCACTGCATCAAGTGACTCACTGCGAAGTGGAACGATGCATGACATCCGAGCTCCGCATAGCTAAAGGGTCTCCATCCAAGACTGCTTTGTTTGATTTTGCAAGCGTCTACGCCATCCTAACAGGGTCCTAACGGAGTCCTTGCCGGAGCCTGGAGCTTTTGCTGGGGGGGCTTCCTTTTACTTCTCACTTTCCGAGCTCTCCCGCAGCGTCGAGAAGCCGATGAGAAGCCTCTGAGTTCTGCTTCCTCTGTGCATCTCGCCCCCCCCCCCAGATAGAGATTTATCTGAAATCAAAAGAAAAACCCAAAGAGTCGGGGGGGGGGGGGGGGGGGGGGCGGGGCGGGGCGCCTTTTCGCTGCTGGCTTTCGGGTACCCGGCTCTGACTTGACCATCGTCTTGCACCATCTTCTGCAGCCGATCCTGACACTTCCGAGTGTCTTTCCCTGCCGCTGGAACCGATGATCGCTGAGACGCCCGGATGCTTGTCTTCAGCCATCCACGCCTCGAAAAAATCTGCAGAAGTTGAGGTGGCACTATCCAGAGTGCTTTGCTCCTGCACATGCTCATCAGTCTCCACCTTAAAAACGTTTTGCATGCAGACGTGCAGAGGCTCGAAGTGAGGTGGCTTTGAGTGCTCCTTTGCGGTGAGCTCCGGAAGGCACGGCTCTCGTTAGGCTTGCAAGCTTGGCGGTTCTGACATCTACGCAGCCTCGATGACCTGAGACTTCAACAGGGAGAGCATGAAGATGCTCCGCAAGCTGTGCAATAACTCGTGTGCTTCGGACCAGGACTGGCAGTAGATACCACTCATCTGAACAGCAAACGCTTCGACAGTGTGGAGAAGCAGAGGGCCAATGCCTGGCTTAAACACAATAGCTTTTCGCTGAGGGCACGGTCACAGTCAGGTCCTGGAGCACACACCTGTGTTGGGGCATGTCGCATGGATGCCATCAGCTGAAGGTGCAAGCAGCTTTGAGGCTGAAGTAGATCTGTGGTGTTCTTTCCTTGGGGTCGTCGGGCTTGTGGCAGTTCACTCAGATCCAAGTCATCCTTTCCTCGGCGTACAACCCCGTGGGCTGATGGCATCCCCATTTAGTGTCTTTGCTCTCCTCCAACGGCAAGGAGCCTCTGAAACTGCAAGCTGCCGAGTTAGAGGTGTGGGCGATGGCCTCCATTCGGAGAGGCTCCTGAGACCCTTTTTCTCTACAAAAAGAAGCCTCCTTGCACAGAGGTTCGCAGACCACTGGGCCATGTCCGGGTCAGCGAAGTCCACCTCTGGTTGCGGCGCTTCGTTGGTTCTGCGCGGCGGCCACATAAAGCTCAGGGGGCCCTGCTGCTGGCGTTTCGGCTTGAACGTCTTGTCCAGGGAGGCCGAGCAGCACATCTTCAGTGGCGAGCGTGTCTGTCCATGAACCCTTGATCACGCGAAGGCTCAAGGGACCCAACTTGTGCCGCTCTTCCTTCGTCAGGGCTTTCTCCTTCTCAACGCGGCCTTGAATAGTTGACACGGAAGCTGTTCTCGGCAAGGTACGTCGCGTCACCATTGAAGCAGGGAATGCCAAATCTTCCTTCCGTGCCCATGCTGTCTTCATCTCCTGCCGCGAAGGCTGATGCGGCGGCCATCGGCAGCGACAACCCGGGCTAATGCACTGCACGCGTTTTCGCTCGTGGCAGCAGCGCAAAAGGATGCCTTTGCAAAGCACATCCTGTAGCAGGAAAGCTCCGCACGTACCGGTTGCTGCAACCTCTCCGTCAATCTTGGTCCATTGCTGGAGCCGTATGCTGCCTGAATAAATCCACGTCTCGAAACGTCACGAGCGTCGAGGACGTACCAAGTGCAAATGTTGTTGAAGAAGTTCTTGTAATTGCTGGCGAGCCATGGTCGGTGCAATGGTCGTCCTGGAGATCTGCAATCGTTTATCTGCCTTGGGTTTGTAACGCACACACCCAATCGGTCTGGCTTTCGCAAGTTCACAGTGTGTAGCGGCATCGGGCCAGGTGGGCAATGGCACAACAGCTGCTTGCACTTCATCTCCCTCAACCTTTGGATGCATAAGCTTCTCCATCTTGGAATGCTTGAGCCCCTGCAGGCTGCAAGGGCGCACACACAGTACTCGCCGCCTGGAGCTGCACATCCTACACACGTTGTGCTCCTACACCTGCACACACAGTGTCCCAACACCCTGTCGCCTCACTCTGTGTGGCCTTGCAGGATGTCATGTACTGAAGCAAGGCATCCTGTGCATCGGGTCTTAAACTTTACCAAGAGGCCATCAAAGACACAGCAGATGCGCACAGCACGTTCACGCTATCGGGCCAGCACTCTCACGACACGACCCATCACACTGCTGGCATGTCAAAAATCTGGCGTTTCGGAAACTGGCCTTGTGCATCTGAAGCATTGTGAGCACTCGTGAGATGAACACTCCAGCAGGGACGTTCGCGGCACAGGCTCAGCTACTAGTACAAAAATTGACAGCCGAGTCTCTAGTGCCATTCCTGAAAATACTTCAGAAGAAAGGTTACTACCGGCTTCAGGATCGTCAGCTGCCCCTTTCGTTCAGCACGCTTGCTTTAATGGCAGGCCTATATGCCGGCTTTTAAAGAACTGTGGCTGCTTCCGATTTTGTTGCAGCAGTTTTATGTATGCATTTTTGCTACAACGATAACTTCAAGATCAGGTCGGCATGTTTTATGGTACGTGGACATTCCCCCACCCAACCAGCCTACTCTGAAAATCGAGAATCACATGCCGTCTGCTACTGCTACTATTGCTGCTACCGCGACCACTGGTCACCACCGCTATCACCGACGACGACGACGAGGACCACGAACCGACATTTTTTGCAGATGGCAGGCGCTGGGTGCCCTGCGCGGCTGGCCGTCGGCAGAGCATTTATAGCTTCTCGCCGAGAGACACGGCCCATCCTGCACAAAAGATGTGTGACCAAGGTTTTGTGTGAACCGCCTTGTTAAAACCTTCAAGAGGCAACGGAGATAAACGAGCCAAGCAGCATCAGTGACGGTTTCGGCTCACAAAGAGCCTCTACGCTTTTTGGTTTAGAGCTTCGTGTTGTCGATATCCTTGCGGTTTCGTCCCAGCAAACAAGTAGGTTCAACGACGACAATGGTAACATTATGACTTTCAGATTTCCCGATTCCGGTCAAAATGAAGGCTGATGTCACATCTTGTCACCTCTTTTCCTCCATTACATGCTTCGCAAGACCTGGCAAAACGCTTAGTAGTGCACATGTTCATGCCAAGTTGCTGTTCCTGGTCAGACTTGAGCTGAGCTGTGATTTGAACCAACTGGGCCTGGAAACCCGGTCGCGGATGCAACCTGATTGAAGCCCCTTCATTATCGTTGCTTTTGGCCTCGATTCACCTACGTAGGCGGTTCCGGCTCCCGTCTGGAAGCGACACGATTTGAGTCAAGAGACCGCGCTCTGTCGAGGTGCAGGCATGACCACAGGCTTTGAGGGGGTTGTTTGTTGTTCTTGGTTTTGCCTGTCAATTTAAGGGGTTTCGTGTGCCCTGTTGGATGCTCGGATCGCCTGTTGTCACCAAAAGGTGGCAGGGACCTGCTTTCCTTCCTCTCGGCAGGTCGAATTTTCACTGGCACAATACATTCTTCGCAGGGACAGAAAGAGGACAAGCACACACCAAAACGTGTGTGTGTGTGTGCATATATATATATATATACATGTTTATGTATACGCCACTTAGAGCTCAGATAAGTATTGACTGCAGCCACACCACACGGTTCTACAGTACGTGTCCATATTTAGCCTCACAGGGCCATACATTATAGGTCTCTAAGCGTTCTGGGGCTGCACACTGTAGGCGTTTAAACTGGAAGTTGCAGGGCCATATGCTGGGTATGTAAACTTGATTTCTGCGCAGCACACAGCAGGCATCTAAAATATCCACGTGTCCAAACGGGTCTCAGGATTCCACAGATGTTGTCCAAACACACCTGATTTTCTTGCCGACATGCGAATCCCCAGCACTCGAAGACCCACCAGGGATAGCAGTAGACCCTGACAAGCGTGGACTCGGAGGGATGAAAGAGGGTTGGCCTCCAATCTGCGCAGGGAGATATCCCTCTCTGAATGGAAAACTGTTGCAAAACATTGCAAAGGGATGGAGGCTTTCTGCAATCTTAGTCTTGCGGTAAGTAAGCACCCTGACACCCTGACAGTCCAAGATGGCGAGTGTGCAGATTTGTCGAGGTCATATCACATACCTTGTTTGAATCGTGGGGCAAAAGTCCTCTGGAGCCATGTCGCCAACCTCTGCGGCACACATTGCACTGGCGCAATGGAAAACTGACAAGGCCGAGTGCACCTCCTCAGACGTTGCCGGGCGAGCTTGCCACAAAGTGGAGACCCCTTAACACGCAAACATGTCCAGGTTCCGTGAGCTCACATTGCATTGCATGATGGCTGCCACGCTTGTCAAAGTCTTCAAATCTCCTCAGTAAGGCCGGGGCTGTTGCCCCACAGCACTCCATGATCGCTGTCGCCTCATTGAGATGCATTCGATTCAGCATTTAAGTACTCACAGTTTCAGAAACCTCTTGCCGAGATGCGTCGCTACCTTCAATTCAATCTCGTCGTCGCCGCCGGTCTTCTCGTCGTCGATGTCGTTCTGACGTTTGGGGGATTTTGGGGGCGAGCACTCCATGGCCAAGCACGGTCAACTCTCCATACTTGGAGAAAGCCTTGAAACAAAAAAAGTCCGAAAAGTCATCTGACAACACAATCTGGTTAGAGGTGCTTCGCCTCGAGGCCGCTCCATCTCGGCAAGGAGGAGGCCGGCATCGTGGGCATCGCAGAGGCCGCAGAGGGCAGAGACGGAAGCCGAGACCTCGGCTCGCTCGAAGCTTTGAGAGATTTTTGAGAGCTTTTTGGAACTTTGCGTTATGGAGAGCGTTGCAGCTTTGCCCTGCTCCGATTTTTCGATTTGTGTACTAACCACTCTAACCGCCCCCCGGCTTATTGGAACCGCTTAGGCAGCAACGGTCATGGTGGTGAAGGCAAGACTTGCTGTGGCCACAGGTGGCCACTAAACAAAAAAAGGCTTGGGAGCCCGAATCTGCTTGGCGCAGGAGCTGCGGTGAACGGATGTGAGTTGTCTCCAGTCAAGGCCTTGGGTAACAAGCAGCTTCTGCATGCAGAATGTCAGCTCTAAGTGTCAAGCAAGTGTGCATATTTGCGCTCAACACGGACGGGCTGGTCACCAGGCTTCTTGCTGGTTTGCTTTGTACAAACAGGAGCAGATGGTATGGCAGAGTCAACCGAACAGACGGCAGCCCAGGACTCACCGCTATTCCTTCTGAGGCTAGTAGCTGAAAGGTGCCCGCGGAGCACATGAGCAGATCCATGCAGGGAAAGATCGGGAACGGGACCAGGTGGATCAGAAATCACGGGAAACCAGAACGGCTGAATCGGAAACCTTTCAACAGCTGACGCCAGAAGCAGGAAACGGCTGAATTTCCCGCCAGGAACACTTTCGAGTCGAAAAAACAAGCAACGCTGGCGGCAGGGATGCTCTGGCAGCATGGACGTAGCAACTGGATGAACATGTGTCCGCACTAAAACAACTGGAGCGAACAACCAATGCCCACTTGTGAGGATTCCGCACGACGATGTGGACAGAGGACTCGTGGAAGACTGTACCAGTCAAATTGACCACGCATAGTCTGGCATCATGGGCGCAATATTTGGCCGCGCATGGATGCTCTGGTAGAATGACCTGATCGTCTGGGCAGGCATGGATGCTCTGGTACCATGAACGCTCTGGTAGCATGGACACTGGTTTCTGCTTCGCAGTTTCTGCTTCGTTCGGGCTGGCTTCTGCTCCGCGCCCATCCTGCTGACTCATGTACGATTCGCGCTGGATTCTGATCTAGCGTGGCAATCGAAATTTGTGATTCGTTGTGTCTGATTCGCGGCCTGCTTTCTGGTCTTTTGAATGCAATATTAATTGAGTGGGAATTTTGGCTGCGACATCTCCTGGGCTGCAGCCGCTCGTCACTTCAGTGATACCTCAGGCCAGCATGGGAGCGAACACAGGGGCTGCTAAGCGGGCACAGGCTGACAACACAGATCCGGATACCTTCTGCATCGGAGGTTAAACTCAGGAGCCACACCATGTACTTCCGGTCAGCTCCCGAGCCATGCTTCTCCACCTCGGGTGCTCAGAAAGAAGAAGAAGAAGAAGAAGGGACGAACAGGGCGTCACAACGCCTTGCAACTTTCAAATTTTTAGGACCCCTGCTTTGAAGAGCTGCGGCCACGTCTGAAGAAATGTCACAAGTAGCTCCTGGCACAAGATTGACTGCACAAAGGATCTCTCGGTCAGCACACACCCTCAAAAACTTGACTGCTTGGCACCTTTATTTGTTGGACACCGACAAGCTTGCACATTGAAGCAAATCATCGTAGCGAGTTAGTACACATCTCTACAGAACTACAAGCAAGGTTATGCCAACACTGGCTTGCAAACTCCCGGGCGGTTCTGCCCCCGATGTGGTTACATAGCCAGAGGAGAAACAATAAAGCAGCAAAGCACTTTTTCTGGCCTACTCCTTGTGATCTAGGCCCAAAACCACGTCAGATGGTTTTAGCGAGTTTGGGGGTTCAAACGAAATCTTAGTCTGCCATGACTTGGTCCCACCTGTTGCTGCCAAGGCCGTGTAGCACCCGTCGCGGCTGTCTCAGCACGGACAATGAAAATGGAACACCGGGCATGGGAAAAAACATTGTCTACCGACGTCCCCCACGAAGAGTGGGACAGCTCGAAGCAGCTCTGGAACCTCGAGTGGACCCGCCGCCTGGCAGTGCGCACAACACTCTTTGCAGGTTCTGCAATTGCACCCAATGTGGCATCCCACCTGTAAAGCTTGACGCAGCCTTTCTTGCCAAGGCCCACTTTCCTACAAGAGCAAATGGCGCGGGAGTCCCACAACTTATGCCACACTCTATATTCCTTTTTTGCCGGCATGAAGCAGCTCTACGCGTCACACTGTTGAGATGTCAGCGAACGCATGTGTGCGTGTGTGTGTGTGTGTGTGTGTGTGTGCGTGTGTGTGGAAGGCTGCTGAACATGCGCTGCTGAACATGCGATGCCAAGTGCTAACGACGGAGTGGAGGGCACGCTGGCGGAGCAACCAACTCGCAAGTGGAGAATTCAGCGCGCGACCGTTCTATGTCCTGCTAGAAGAAGTGCAGTGACCAAGCAGTTTCTTGTGCTGGTTTGCAAGCGCAATGTGTAAAAAGCAGTGTTGAACCGTTTCGTTCTCTCCACCCTCATGGCACGTGTTTTTGTGCTCGCACAAGCATGGTTCATGTTCACATAACATTGCACTCATTTCACACCCTTGCCAGCTCTTCTTCCTTGTACATAAGAAGCTTTGGGCTGCATCCATGCCTAAATTGCTTGCAAGTGTGCGTGTGGGAAGTCAGTGAACATGCGATGAAGACAACAAGCACCATTTCAAAATGGCCCAAGGAAGCTATCCATCATGAGAAGCAGCGATTGGGGATGGGCGTATACCACCAGCCTGGTGATCGTTATGAACATCTTGGAAAAAATTCGCTGTATATGGTACATCCTCGCTGTTGATGAACCAATCTCAAAATCGAGCAACCAATGGATGGCCTACAACAAACACTACCTCCTGTTCATATGACCCATGATCCTCCTCCTCTACTACCTCTTCCACTACTTGTGGTTCCCGAGTACCTATAAGCTGACAACAGCGGCACTCTTTCCCACAATATGACAGTAAGTGTGTCGGATGTTCGGATGTCAGCAAGTTACCCATCCTCCTGCTCTGGGGTCGGCTTGACTGCACCACCGTACTGGTACACCAAAGGGGCCTGTGTTCAGTTGCTACCCCTGGATTAACGGCATACAATCCAAGGGACATCACTGCGCAAAATCCCCCGCTCAGAAATCCCCCGCTCAGCTGTCTGCCGCCAACTTGTCGGCCTTCTGGATGACCTGCCCAACTTACAGCATCGACTTTGCCCCTCAAGCCCTGTAGCGAATCCTCCCGCCCGACAATCCACATTTCTACAAGTCTGCTGGCAACGCCCGATGGCGCCCAACGAAGCCCCAGAAACTGCGATCCCACATCAGCACCAGCCTGGTGGTATGCTAGCGGTTTCTTCTGGTCTCCCCCCTTCACAAGAACACGACACGGATGGCAAACCAGGGAGTTCCGGATAACACATCCACGCAACATTCACTACACTGACATGGCTCAGGGTATTGGGGCATTAAAAACACAGGTACAGCGATGACAGGTGCAGCGCCTGCACTCGGGCTTTGGCCCTAGCCTTCTTCTGATCAGCCACAGCCTCTACCGGCGGCAAACCGGCGGCAAGAGATTGACAACACACATCCTTCACTTTGTTAAACTACACATGCTCAGGTCCTGTGCACCCATGCTTATCCAACAAATTGAGATAGCTCGGGTTCCTCGACTAGCTTGTTTCAGCTCGAATGCAGCATTCGGGCCATCAACGTCTTCACAGCGAGCCCTCCGCAGTGTGGTGGCGCCTGTGTCCTAGCAACGTACATCTCATTGTCCTGGGCTCGAAAGAGGGTAAACACGGTCTCATGCTGTTTCAGCCAGACCTGCCACGCACTCGCACCAGAGCAAAGCAGAAGCTGCACAGACATGGGCTTTTGACTTGCATTCGCCTTGTTCACTGCTGAGATGGGCTTGGGCACCTGCTGGGCCATTACCTGACACAAGACAGGCTCAGAAGAAAACATCGAGTTGAGATCGCTGTTGACGGGATGTCTGCTGCAACTACCACTACACAGTTGAGCAATTCATGACTGAAACGTTAGGTCCGACGTGCTGACGCTTCGACAGTGCACGATAACTTCTAGATGCTACGTGCACATCTTCGGCAACAATCGCCACCCAGCTGACACCTCGAACACGGCACACAGAGTCATTACAGAGACAGGCTAAATTGTGCGGTCTTCGGATATTCTCATGTCGTGCAGGTGGTGTTCAGAGGCGTCTGCCGGTAAGGAAGCTATGGTTGTCGTCATTCGTCGTTTGCTAGGAGCGAGTGGAAGACGTTTCTAGAGTGGGCTTCTCGTTCTCTCGTTCTCTAACTTGTCGCATGCACTACACGCACTCAATAAGGGAGGCAATGACAGTGGGGCGGGAGGAACGAGGGGAACGGGGGAGGGGGGAAGGCCAACCTCCCGAAGATGGCGATCATTGTTGATCTCGTTGATGTGGGCAATGTTGCCTTCCTTTCCTGAAAGAGAAGAGGTGACAAACTAAAGGAGTAGCACTTGCACTTGCACTAGGCCCGCGGCTGTCCAGAAACTCCAAGATCGCCTCCTTGGGTCTGGGCCCAAGGGATCCCAACTCGCACCTTGCTTTGCCTTTGCTTCTCACTCTTTGCTACTTTTATCTGCTTCCTTCTTCAAAGACTTCTCAGCCCAAAAGGCCCAGGATACACCGGGGCTACACGTAGCCAGCCGCTGTACATCTGTACATCAGGACTTGGCTGGGTGCTCAAAGGGCTGACAAGCCTTCAGAAAGGAATGCGATCGGGATGGGTTCATGCAGTCCTGTAAGGTTACAGCGCTTTTGGGCGTTCACCTCAAAGCTTCTTCACGCCAGGTGCCAGAAATCATAATCAGGGACCATCGCGCAGCTTTCAATCCGAATGTCCGTGTAGAGCCAGCATGGGCTCTCGTCCCAGCCAGATCTAACAACAGCACCCTCACAGTCCTGTCGTTGCAAGCATTCTGCTTTGCACTCTTCAATAGGCATAAAATCTGCAATGCTCAGGACAGGTGTGGCGCCGTGGCCATCGTAGCAGTTCAGGCCTGTGGTCAGACTCCATTCCGGGTGATCGGAGTCGAAGCGCCAGCACGTGTGTCCAGCAACCCGCCTGGTCGCACCAATCGGCCGAATCCAAAGCTCGCAACGGCCATGGATGCTGTGCTCAACACCGCTGCAGCTTTCAGTGTCAACACATTTCGCCTTGCACTGGTTGAGATCGTACCTGCCAGATGCAAGAATGTAGTACGTCGCAGAATTATCGCTTGGCGAACTTCCTCTGCATGCACGATCTGTGCCACCATCTACAGGAACAAACGGCAGTGGCGACTGCGTTGTGGTTGGAGCCCCAAGGAATCGCAAGCAGGTAAATCCGCGTAAGGATATAGAGGCTTGGATGCCACCAGGCCGGGTCCACAATTCACATCTGCCAGTGCTGTACTCGATGCCTTGGCACAAGGCATCAATGGCGCAAATTTCTTTGCAGCCTTCCAGTCCGCCAACACCATGCTGAAGGACATAGTAGCTGGGACTATTGTCACCTGGAGATGCTCCACGGCAGGCTCTGCCTACACCTCCGTCTACTCCCTCAAAGTCGGAAGGTGATTCAGTGGTGGTGAATGTGGTGAATGTGGTGGTGGCAGTTGAAGATGATCCCGGCGAGCTTGTCGTTTGCGTCACCACTCTCTTGATCTCCCACAAATCAAAATCAGCATAGTCCCGACATTCATCAAGCACTACGCTCATCCGAAGAAAGCAAGGGCTGCTTCCATCATCCCATCCATGCCGAACAACAGCAGCTTGGCAATTCACGGTCTTTTCGCACTGTCGGCGGCAGCTTTCAACTGTAAACGTGCCCGGAAGTGGGTTTGCCCCGGGCATTGGAAGAGCACCGTGGTTCTCCCAGCAGTTCAGCCCAACGTGCAAGATCCATCCAGAATTGCTGCCACTCAGCGGTGGAAAACTGATTGGCGCAGGCCTTTGGGGTGAACTTGTGGTACTTGGAGCTGGACTCGGGCTCGGCGGGCTCGGCGGGCTCGGCGGGCTCGGCGACGGGCTAGGCGTGGGAATGGGTACCGGCGAGGGTACCGAGCTTCCAGCACACTGCAAGCGTCCCCCAATGATCAGATGCTGATTGGCAGCCGTTTGAAAGTCACATTCCCCTCCAAATTCACCCATGTCGCAAATGTACCTGCGATTGTCGGACTCCTTCAGCTGGCATCGACCTGCACAGGTACAGCTCACATCAACAATCTGCCAGGAGTCCTCACAAACTCAACTGGCTCACCGTGCCTCCCGCTGCGGCAAGGTCGATGGAGGAATCCGTTTCAAAGTACTGGCCCAGAACCGGGTCCGAGAATTCGAGTATCATGTCCGAATTCCATGAAGCGGTCAACATGTATGCCTGCTCTACAAGGACGAGAGCCCCATAACCCATGCGAGCAGAATCAACTGGAATCTCACCAGCGTTGCCTTAGCAGCTGCACTGTCCACTTGGGCAGCATGCGCTACACGTACGGGGGTGGCCCATGACAGTATCTGCTATTCAAAGTCAACCTAGCTAAGCAAAAACGCGACGCGCAAGGTCTCCGCGCAACTGCATCCAAGCTGCGGCCTTCTGTCGGAAAGGACCAGTCCGGAGCGACTTCGTAGCCCGGACCATCAAGCTGCAATCTGGCTTCGCCAAGACCCCAGATGTTCAGCCTACGAACCATCCCGGTACATCCAAGAGCCCCATGCTTTGCCCATGTCGTATCCAGCTCCTGGCACCCTCGTGCGCGAAACCCATCCAGATGTGGGCTGATGATGCTTCGGTAGCCTCCCAATGACCCATCCTTGGCGAGGAAGACAGGCAAAACGGCAGCCTGAGAAGCCTCTGTGTTCGCTCCGAAAGACAGGCGAGGCTGCGAGGCACGCATCCGGGAGAAGTCCACGTTCTCAAGCAGGTACTGCACATTGCACGGCCCAGCACCACCCAGTAAACCGCAGTGCTGGCCAGCTGCCAGCGCAGCTATGCCGGGCGGACTGCTCCCAAGAAATACGCAATTCCTCATGCCAAAGGCGAAAGGGCCCGAAGGACCCAAAAATTGAAGGACTCCGAAGCTGTCATCAGCATCGTTGGCAAAAGTCGAATCCAGCACATGCCATGGCCGCTTGTCAACAAAGTTTTTCCCCTGCTTCCAATACATGGCATGACCATTGTTGATGCTGGTGAAGTTGATGAACCTTGGTGGTTATGCAATGCTATGCAACCCAACGAAAAGCTTCGCGCTACAAGATGCCCTCAGACCCACAAACAGCCTGCTACACAGGGGCTGACCCCGACAACTGCAGATGTAGGAGCTGGATGTCGCCAATAGCATACTGGCCAACATAGGTATTGTGCCAGTTCACTTCATCCCGAATCTCATTGACAACTCCGTTGTCAGAACCATCGAGGGTGAACCATTTGCAGCTGTCTTTGTCAAGCAGAAAGCCATCCTCATCGATCCTGACATTTCTTGGGTACTGGTGATCCAGGTAAAGACCGAATCGGTTGCAATCATGGCACGTGTTGCCTCTCCAGGTTCCAAAAGGGTAAAACTGTGGGCAGACCTTGCCAGTGGCCAGCCCATGCCCTGCACCTCGAAAGGAGCCCGGGGTCCAAATGCCATTCTCGTAGCCGACGATGCGATTCTCCACGATGTGATTCGTCATGCCAATCATAAATATCCCAGCCGTCTGTACTGCAACACCGCTCACCCAATCTACGGCACACCTCCTCAAACTGGTGCAAATTGCAACATTCTCGCGAAGAGTATTGTGTAGCTCGTTGCCATCCTCAATGTACAAGCCATTTGCCTTCGCATCCCAAATGATGTTCTCTTGAACGAGGGAGTTGTGGGTTCCGTGCACAGTGATTCCAACGTGCTCTCCATCAACAACAGCATTTCCCAGGAAGACACAGCGTGGGCATTTTCTCATCAAGTGGAAATGGAGACAATAGCGGCCCATCACAGGCCTTTGGCCACAGTGCTCAACTCGAGCATATCGCATGTCCATGTAACCTGATCCCCCGGCCTGTATGGTGTGCAGGCCTTCCATGGACACTTCGATATCTTCATGGTCACCAGTTATGAGCACAGACCGCTCCAAATTGACCACTTCCGCAGCAAGCTCAAATTGTTTTCCCTCAATTTCCTTGTGCCCGCCCCAATGCTGCTGCTGCACAGGCTCGGCCAGAGTAAGCTGCCCGTATGCAAGCGAAACAATCCGGTGAACAGTGGACTCTCCTCGGCTGGTCGTCGCCAAACCGATTCGGTCCCCTACCTGCCATCCCATGTCGCTGGGGTCGTGCTTTAAGAACAAGACACTCTGCCCGGGTAAGACTGTCTGGCTCAACAGAGTCCATGTTCGCCCCAACCGCCGACCATGGATCTCGATCCGCCCGTAGCCACCGAAGAAACGCCGGCCCAGATCCGGGTGGCTGTTGGGGTCGTTTGTTATGTAAATCGTTGCCGGATGGTTCATCGGCGAGGCTTCTGTGCCCATTAGGAAATGACCACCATCTTCGACAAGTACGTAATTTGCACGGAGTTCGAGATTTGCCCTGCTCACATCCCACCTGAGTGTACCGTGGATGGTGAGGGTCTCAACTGCCAAGGATGCGTCCAAGACCCAGGTCTCGCCTTCAGGAACTACGCAATGAGGCTGTCCTTGGCAGGATGCAGACATTGCCGATGTCGCCTTCGCAGACTCTGAAAGCTCCGCGCGATGCTGCAACAAGTCGGTGCCGGAAGTGCGACAAGACGCGCCCGAGCAGTGGGATGCATTGGCGTGGGCTGCACCCCTCCACGGACTCCACAGCAGGGCACACAAAGTACATCGTGTATACAACGTATACAAGTTCCAGAAGCTCCAAAAGGCCATAGCTCCGGCGATGAGATTGACGTTTGTCACGCTTTGTACCCAAAAGCTGCAGGCCAATAACTTCAATTCTGCTTGCATCACGCTTTCCAGAAGAGACATCGAGACATTGAGAGCGCCTCCAGGGATGGCACCTTGACATCAGGACCTGCCGAGTGGAAAGATGGCTGCATGTCCACAAGAAAGAGAGAGAGAGAGAGAACAAAAAAGAGAGAGAGCAAAAGAAACATAAACCTCCTCATGCCACAGCTGTTGCCTGCAACTGACGGTGTGGCATCAATCTCTGGTGCAGCACGTGGCCTTCAGCTTTTACGCGGCACAGGTGGCAGCACGTTCATGTCATCAAGACATTGCTCATGCGTTGAATACGGAACTTTGCCGGAATGTCAACCACAAGTGTGTCCAGGAATTACAGTTCCACGTCCCCCAATCACTGAGAACTTGGCTTTGGTGCTGGTGCCAGAGATGGAAAAAGAGCCTTCAGGTTCCATCAGCACTTGAAAGCCAAGCAACAGACGCGTGACTGCAGGGTTGAGGGGCTTTTGCTTAACCACGAATGTGCTCCCTTACCTGTTCGAAAGCCGTGGCGGCTGACCTTTTCTACTGCGTATTGGCCATTTCCACCCCGGCCTGAGAATGAGCTTCTGTTATATATATATACTTCGATGACACAACCAAGAAAAGCAGAACTAGAACACCCATAACAAATATCTTGTCAGTTATCATAATAGTACTTCCCCTCGACCCCGGCCGAGAAGCATTTTGAACAAGCAAGCCAAGAATCGCTTGGAAAAACTGCAAAATCTGCAAGCCGACGCTGTGGGGAACAGCCCGCGGGCCCGTCCCACAGACGAGAGAAAGAATCATGCGAACCATTAGGCAAATTGAGAGGTGTGGGCAGCGAAGGGACAACAAGCCGCGGCAAGCCTTCTACTGTTAATCAAGGCAAACAAGTCTGAAGGGGTCCTCCAACAAGCCTACACGCCCTCCAAGTTCACGTACGCTGTTGGTTCAAAGCTTGCCACAAAAGATTCAAAATCGGCCAAACATCAATGCAACAACTGAAGCGTCTCTGTGTGCATGCGGGATGTCTCAGATGGTACCCCCACCAACGTGCAGCAATAAATGCAGACAGCAACTCTGATTGTACAGCTTAAGGTTGCGGAAATCATGAAGTAAGTCAACAGTTCGGCCAAGACAACACGGTCACATGATCGCGCACGCAAGGCGCACGACCCGTTCTCAGGAGTGTGGCAGGGTCACCAAAACAGGCTTCCTTTCTCAGAATGTTTGGGCGTGCGTCATTATGCGAGACCGAGGATTTTTCATCTACGGAATTCGGTTAGCGAGGTTTTCGCATCTAGAGAATTCCTCCACGAAACTTGGGAAGCTTTTGCATGTATGGAAGTCGGGCCTTATGTGCTTTTTGCATCGCGGAATTCCAGTCCCACGGCATGTGTGAGGCTTTCGAACGTCGGGACTTCCAGTCCCATTGCGTGGTGTTGCATGCGCGGAAGTCCGGCATTTGCGAGGTTGTTGCAGCTTCGGTATTTGCGAGGATGCTGCATCTACTAGTTGCGAGGTTTTCAACAATTCGGGTCCCACAGTATTTGCGAGGCTTGTGCAAGCATGGAATTCTATTTGCAAGGAATTTCATGGTAACATGGTACTTACAAGACTTTTCTTTTCCACGCGTGGAAGGTACCGCCAGGGCACTGAAAGCTGCGAAAACGCCTCACAAAGCCGTCAAAAGCTTCCGAGATGCCCCTGAGATCACCTTTCAAGAGAGCTCGGTGCCCAACGGCCCCCGACACGCACACAGAAATCTCCAAAACCTCGCAAGCACCCAAAGCGCATTCGAACGGACATCCGACAAGCACGAAGGAACCTCAATTACAGGCCTCTACAACGCAATCGAAGTGCCTTTAACAGCTCAAAGCGCCAAAGCGGCTCCGAAGCACGCAACAGCGGCGAAGCCAGAAGCGCAGCACGCGCCAACAAAAGCAAGAATCGTAGTCACAATATGTCACAATCGTAAGAGAACTGGCCATAGTAGTAAAAGTAATAATAGCCATCGGAATTGTAGTACAGCAACTGTAGTTGCAGCAATACGAATCAGTGTTGTAGTACATGTTATACTAACAGTTACAAGTGCTAATCGTAGTACATCATACGGTAATAGTACGTTGTCATATTGCAGCGTTAATAGTACTAATACTTGAAATGGAAGTCAAATTGTGCGTGACAACGGTGGTGACTGACCGACCGACCGACCGACCGACCGACCGACCGGCAAACTGACCGACCAATTGACCGACGGAAGCACCAACCAGCCCGCTTCTCACAGAAGAACGAGAGCGAGCGAGAGAGAGAGAGAGCGACAGAGAGAGAGAGAGAGAGAGACACAGCCAGAGCCAGAACCCCCCTAATGACCCCCCCCCACCCCCAAGCCACGCACGAACTGCTCAGCCTGGAGCCTGGTGGTTTTTACGCAGATGTCGGCTCAGGAGCCAGGTTCGGCGTTTTGTTGCGACCAACAAAGAACCACGCACTGCCAGGTCGCTGCTGGGGGTATCGGCTCCCCTACGCGCTCTCCGTCCGCAAAACACACCCCCAACCACTTTTGGCGCCCTCCCGCTGCCCCTTCATGCTAAACCTTGTCCCCCACAAACCCGACCAGCCTTCTTGAGCCCCTCCCGCTGACCCTCGCCCCGCCCCCCCGTGACCCTGCCCCCGCACGATTCGCACGCATTGCAATGACACGGTCGAGCTTCCTTCAGTGTGCTACGCGCCTGGAGCCTGGCGGCTGTTGCGGGTCGGCGGAAGCGGCGTTAGCCCTTGGATAAATGGCCCCGTCGTCATCCAAACATAATTCGAACATCCAGCCACAAGCTATTCCAAAGACTGGATGTTCTGTCCTCATCATGCACATCTTGCTCGAAAGCTTTGATCTTCGACCTGGCAACATCTTGGCAAACCAACGGAGCCCTCGTCTGCATGTGATTCAGTTGGCTGTGCGGATGGTGCGCCTGGCCGCACTCGCTCGACCTTGCATCATGACTCTATGGCCTGTGTGGATTCCGGGGATGGTGCCTAGCGAGGTCTAAGCAAGAAAGAACCTCCTAGTGAAAAGAGGCGGGGCGTGTCAGTCATCTTTAGTGATACAGGACCTCCTTCAGCATTCAACGCGTCTTCGTTCACGGTGCTTTCGTCCTGCTTGCCCCACGGACGAAGAATCCAGCAATGGCATCTCAAAGCCCAGCACAAACCTGACAAACCTGCTGGCCTCGCAGAGCGCGAGCAAGGAGCTCATTTCGGCTGAAGCCTTACAAGGTGAAAGCTCAATGTTGCACAGCTTGCACGGAGGCTGATAGCATGACCAATTTGCAAGTGCTTGCACATGACAAGTCAGAATTCGCCTCGGCTTTGGCCGGTTGGCTTCAGGTTGTCACAGGCACGTTGTGCTTCCCCACCTTTACTCCAACACCTACCGCTTGCCCCACCCCCGTTCGTCTTGAAGATCCTCACCTGTCAGGAGATGCGTGCCCAAGAAAAACCCAGAGACTTTCTAGGGGCCCGACAAGACGCCCCATCTTGAACCCTTGACCGCTACCCACCCCCCCCCCCCCCCCCAAAAAAAAAATTGAGGACCCATGGGGCACCCTTTTGAGACCCGGGACACTTAGGGCCCGGAAGTGCTTACCTCTTCGGGAATCGCCCATTCTCTTTTAGTTGAGAGCATGTCTATGTCAGGGCCCCACCTAGCACCATTGAACTAAACCATGAAGCTATTGAACCAGCAAGTTTTCGCCACATTCATAAGGTGGTTCATGTGATGGCTCAATGATTGTATGGCTCTGTGGACCACCCAAGTGTGGACCACCCAAGCATTGTACAGCGTTTTTTGGTGAAATGAAAGGCTACGTGGCCCATCTAAAAAAACACTATTGATGTTATGGCTTAATGGCCTCACTGAAAGGCCGAAACCTCTTGACTTAATGGTTGGATGCTTTAATTCCCCAAACAGTCTACTGTTGGGGTTGTAAATTCATTTAAGGATTGCCGAATTCTGAGGACTGTTAAACATGGCTCGAAACATTGGATGAGAGGGGCTCACAACCTTCTTTTTCCCCCTACGTGTTGTTGGTTTTCCTAGGTGTGGCGTGGGCCATTTCTTTCCTGGCTGTGGCGGGACGCGATTGTTTCCTAGGTGCGTGGCAGGACTCTTTCCTTTCTTTCGTTTCTCCAGGGTGTGGCGGAACTTTTTTTGGGGCCAGGTGTGGCGTGACCCTGATTTTCTGGGTGTGACGGCCCCCTTGTCCCACGGTTCCTTGGTGCACCCCCCATTGCAAACTTGGTGCTTCCAATGACGGGTTGGAAAGAACTCACATGGGCTTTGGAAGCGCTAAGCTCTCATTTTCTTAACGCAAGCTTACCAAGCACGAGCGCCAGAGGCACAAGACCGGAGACCAGAGGACAAGGACGAGGAGGACCAAGGGACCAGAGGACAGGAGCCAGGGACCGCACCAAGGGGGCCCGCCGTGCCTAGGAAAGACGGTGCCCAGGAAAAAGAAGGGTCCCGCAGAACCAGGGGACACGGGACGACCAAGGGGGCTCGCCACGACATTGAGCAAAACAGTGTGCCAAAATGGCATACCAGCTTAGAGAGATGCAGCGCGCACACATCCCTTAGACCAGAAACACCCACCAGGGCTAACTGACCTTGAGTTGACCTCGATTCCCAGCCTCACCCTCAAGGAGATGGCTGGTGAAACAAACAAGTTTCCAAGCTCGGAACGGCTTCAAACCGACGTTTGATTTCAGCAGCCTGTAGATACCTTCGCAGGAGTTGTTTCAGTGCATCTTGTGCTGGAAAGCGACAACAGTAGCAAGGCTGCGTTTGCCGAGACACTGTTCTTCAGCAATGGCACGCTGCTTTAGCCTCACAGCGAGGACAGTGTCAGATTGCACACTGCAGCGAACTGCACCCCATTGCCAAACAATATTGTCAGACTGTCGTCACCCAGCCCCGAGCCGCTGTAGCTCCTCGCACTCGGAACGGACGGCCTTGGTGCACACGGTCTGCCAGTGATGGAAGTTCCCCCCATGTTTTTGGATGAAGGCCGTCTCTTGCCCTCGGAGACCCTTCGGCCTCGATCTGCTGCTCAAGCTGCCGCTCAGAGCCTTCTGCCAGTGGGCGGAGCCGCCTCACGTGACTGAATTGTAATAACTACTCACGATGTCTTCCGTGCCGAAGTCACCGTCATGCAGAGCTGCTTCAAACAACCCTTCAATGGAGCATCTATCGCTGGTAATCGTTTCAGCCTCCACCCTGTTCCGATAGACGATCTTGGCTCCACACACTGCAAGCCCATCCTCAGGTGAGGGAACGGCCTCGAAAACCTCAGGCAATCACTCACAGCAGCGATACCAACGGAGGTACGTCGAGCTACCTACAATACCCAAGGTAGAGCTGAACTCAGAGGTGCCAAATACTGCCAAGGCACATCCCAGTTCCTTCCGATCCAGGCCTTGTTGATACAAGACAAGTTCTCCTTGTCCAGAAGCCTGAAAGGGAAACTCGAACCTCCCAGAAACAGCCCTGAACATGAAAAATCGCATCCTGAAAGCAAACCTGTCTTCGCCCTTTCGACATGGCAGCATCATTTTGGCACCATGAACGACCCAGAAAGCCTTTGGAGACCTCACTTTGGATCACTTTGGATCTTCAGATTCTGGAATCAATTCCTTCATATGATACCAACCACAAATCTCTCGCACAACGTGAAATGAACAGGAACCATTTCGTGTTTGTTGGTGCTTTTCTGTTGCATACACCTACGGCATCCCGAAGGCCAGCACAACTCCCAAGATCGCCCGGTCCTCTTGAGCTCGGTGTCCGCATTGATCTCGCTGAGAGGTAAGGGCCTCACAGGTCCAAAAGCTGCCGTTTGCCACGTCTTGAAGTAACTGCCCAAGTCGAAGCCAAATATCAAAACCTGATAGCTCTCTCTCTCTCTCTCTCTGTCAGAGAATGCCCGAAGGGTGCGCGAGTCCCAGGTGTCAGTCTGTTGCTTTGCCTACGCTTGTCATGGGGCGTTAGCGTGGTTGATCACTCCCCTGGCCTGTATAAGCTGGTTGTACGAGGGCGATCAGAGCTTGTCGCGATGGTGACTGGCCAAGTGCCACAAGGCTGGGCCCCCCCCCCCCCTCGCATCTGCTTGGTACTTGATCCAAAAACATCTTCTTCCTTCCTTCCTTCCTTCCTTCCTTCCAGCACCCATGGCCCCCCCCCGCGAGGGGGACTCCGTGAACACTCGCCTCCGGACGGCCCGTCAGAATGGCTGTCTCTTCTTTGTTCTTGCTTTCTTTGGGGCATGGCGGAGACCCGCGCCAAGGTGCACCCCAATCCCGCGTCTCCTCTCTCTTCCTTCCTTCCCCAGCACTTAACCTCCTCTCTTTCTTTCTTTCTTTCTGCGCACCTAACCCCCCTCTGGTGAGGAGGGCCGCCCGAAGGCGTGCGTTACAGACCTCCTCTCTCTCTCTCTCTCTCTCTGCTTCTCTCTCCCTCCTTCTAGGCGTCAACTCCCTGCCGAAGTGCAAATGTGACGACAGTTACCTTGTAACTCTCGGCACTTTTGTGGCGTCGAAGTTGGAACATGACGACAGTCACGAGGACGGCGCACACCACGTGTTTCATTCTCCTGACTGTCAGCACCTTACGCTGCAAAAGCGACGACAATCACGAGGATGAAACAGCCCACATCTCGTAGCTGCCGTCACAATTGAAGGTTCGTTCGTTTTTCACGATGAGGCTCGGATGAGGCAGATGGTGCGCGCCGTCCTCGGAACAATCATCACTTCTGCGGCTTGGATTGTTGTTCATATCTCGAAAGTGCTGACAGTTACGAGGATGAGGCATGTGCCTGTCGGCACTTTTGAAGCCTCAACACCGAGCCCACCTTCAAAAGTGCTGCAGCTGCGAAGATTGCACCCCTGCAACTGTCAGTACTTTTGAGACGCGAACAACAGCGGATTCGGGAAAATCTACTCCCCCCACCCCCCCGCCCCCCCCCGCCTGCTACTTGTTGCGCTCTCGTTGAGTAGATCAGGGCATATGAAGGGCATTGCAAGTGATAGGTGGTTCTTGTATTGCCATTTGGGTTGAACTTAACAAGCCATGGATGCATGTGTGCGGACTTGTGGACTGGTGGACTTCTGAACTTCGAACTCACAATCCAATGGAGCCTGTCTGGAAAAAGCACCTTTTAAACTGGCAAACTGGAGTGGACGGATAGAAACACTAGTCAAGGCGTGTGTAGAAACCCGAAGGTACTGGGCACTCGCACACCCACTACACCCTTTCTGTTGGCCTGTTTATAATTTATAACATGAGACTTTGCGAGAAAGCATCCCTGCTGCCCCTGATTTCTGTCTTAGAACAACAAAATCAACCCGGCTTGAATTAAAGGAAACAGAAGAGCTGACCTCCAAGCCTCTGATGCCATTAGCCTACTAGCCTACACTGGTGTCTGTCAAACGTCCCACACCCGTCAAAGTAAGAACACTACCAAACAACCCGCCTCGTAATAATGTTACCGGGACAGTTGCTAGGATGAGTACTCATGCTAGACTAAACAATCAACTATCAAACGCTTGATATGCGACAGCAATTGCACGACCTTTGACGTTGCGATTCAAGCTTGAGCGAAACAGGCTCGGGAAGTTCTACGGTTGGGAAGAGCAAGAGATGCCGTACTTAAAGCTCTGCAAATGAATTTTGACATCCAACTGATACTGCACACATGTCGACGAATGTGCGGCTTAGGCATTCTCTGACGAAGTTTTTGTGCTGTGGTTTCCTATGCGATGCTGCTAACAACACTGTAATTTCCAAACATTGCAGTCTGCGATTCCTGTACAAGGGGTTCAGCAGAGAGTTTCTTCCATGCAATATCATGAAACATGAGACGACGAAGAATGTGTCGAATGTGATCAGAAAGTAGGTGGCCAACTTGGACGATCGCTGCGGGTGCTTGCGTAGCTGAGTGAGCCGAAATTCTTGTTCAGGGCCGGCATTCAAGATTCACGGTGCCCAGAAAAAGTTTTCCGGAGCCTACACGAGGTCGGTCATATTCGGTTTGTTCGTCTTGTTCGGTGAGCGACCTGATGCCCTTACAAGCAGATAAAGCAGAATATGCGAAATATCTTGATCACATCTTACTCGGCTTGTTCGGCCCACATACTAATGTGCTACAAGTACAAACATTTCTATCATCTGCCCCCGTGTCTTGAAAACCTCTAATGTATGCATATATGTGTATCTATGTATCTATGTAACTAAGTTTATACGTTGTATATGTTACAACAAGGACGCAGCAGCGAATGCACCAATAAGGCCCAAGCTGGTCCTTGCCCGTGAGCATGGAAATCAAATGCCGCTGCACCTGTCAATGAACGCTTGAAGCGTGGTGCAATCGCATTGTTTCTGAAAGCCCACTCTTCCTCACAGCTGCTAACATGCTCTTGAAGCCCAAATCTGTCCGAAACGATGCCTCCGTTCCAGGCCGCCAAGCCGTCAGCGGGGGTCGAAAAATCTGAGTGCACGAGAAGCGCAGGGTTGCAACATAGTTGCCACTTGGCATTGCCATGTTCTGGCAAAAGGGCTGCGCCTCTCGCTGCCAAGAGGTCTCGCCAAACCTGAAAGATGATGTCAATGACATCCAGATTATTACTAAGACCCTAGCACCGCCTGTAGAACCTGTAGAACTGTAAAAGCGCTTGAGGGCACTGCAGGATGTCCGAAGACGGCGCCTCCGCATTCGCAGCACCAAGCTTGACCAGTGCTGCCTCCCCAAGGTGTCAGCTTGAGGATCAGCTTGAGTATCAACATTCTAACAATTAAAGGGTCGAGAAATGGATTCCTGAAAGTCCAACGCCTTCAAGTCCGGAGGCAGTGGGCAAACAACTTCTCGCGCTTCGTTCCTGCGTGTGGCAAGGCCGTACCAGAGCGGCATGCAAGCAAAATAACGAAAGCAAAGCTCCTCAAGTCTCTGAAGCACAAGCGGAAGGAGTGCAGAAACAGACGTGGACACCACATTCTGTCCTGACAACGTGATTGCATCGTACACATGACAAGACCTTCATCTGCGAGATGTCGTGGTTGCATCGAATCGCACCCACACTCGTCCTTCTCCAGCTGCCCAGCATGTCCATACTTGTCATCGGACACAAGTGGATGTCCCAAGTGTTGCCTTGACAGAACGAGGCTAAATTTAGCACAATGTGGAACATGAAGTCTGAGCCAACTGCACTCGCAGGTCACGTCAACACACTGAGATTCCCAGCATATGTACACGGATCTGATGCGTCCGACCCGAAGTTATGTCACAGGCCTTCGAGGAGCAAATCGGGCAGCGCTTGAGTTTGGATATCTATCGCACGCAAACCGCCGATGCACTGTCACACGCAGGCTTCGAAGCAGGCTTGTACATCCTCTGAACATTTCTTGAACTCGAACACACCAGATGCTAGGTCAAGTCTACCTCTTGCACATCACGCATCACAGGGCGCACCAGCAGACTGTATTTGCCTGCGCTGCCAGATCCAAACGTCGCCTCAGAAGGCGGCAATCCTCCGATCTGCTGTGCTGGCCGGGAAGACACGTCTCGTGCCAAAACGTGCTTTCACTTGATGCTGCCAACTTGCTATGACCTGGTACTGGGTCTCTGCCCAGTCGCCTCCGGAGTGTGCGTGCCGTGAGGAGCAGGTCACGCATTTTTCGAGGCCGAACGAACGCAGCTGACGTGCCCACGTGCCACCAAGACAAAAGTCAACCCCCAAGCCTGCACTAGAAATCTCTGACCTGGCAGAGCATCTCAGCACCCGTTGACAGCACGGAAGCTTCAAGTGCCTTCAAGTGCCTTTCATTGCGAGATCATGTGAGCCGTGAGATGTTTTTTTTGTCAGCAAATGAGCAACATCAGGTTAAGCTCCTCATCGACAGGCGGACACATCTGTAAGTCCCTGTGCCGGGCAGATCCCGGCGAACTGACGGAGAGGTAAAGGCAAAAGTACAGATGCTGCATTAAAAGGGACGCTGTAGTCCCAGACAAAAGTGAAAGTATTTAGAAGCGTTTGCCGCTCTCTGTGGTGATGCGCCGCCACGGCAGGGTGTCTCACCTTGCGAAGCCGTGAACGCTAGTCGGCCTGTCTCCGGCCCAATTCTCTTCTGCAATCTCAGCTGCAAAGGCCATGCTCTCCATGACACCAGCGACCTCGACATCTGCATGAGTACTCCCTGAGCTCTTCTCCGCGCTCTCTGTGATAGTTTTGCCCTTCCACTGCAGTAGCTCCAAGTAGCCTTCTCCAAGGTCATCCTGTCGTAAATTCCATGAAGCTCTATGAATGGCTTGTGTGAATCGGCCGCGAGAGTCAAAAGTTCTGATAGGACTTCGTCCTTCACCGACCCACCCCCCCGCCCACTCCTTTTCGTTCATGCTGGAGGTTTTTGCCTGCAAGGTGCGCACGCGTTTTGCCCTAGACCTGAGGGACTTCCTTGAGTCCTAAGGACCCTGTAGAGACCCTTGCGGACAGTCTGGGAACCAGCGGAACGTTTCGAGCAAGTCGTACACGAAGGAGAGAGGGACAAACAGAAGCGCAAACTTGTGCATGTTTGAGTTTGGAGTTGTGTATTCTTGTAGGCCTTGGGCACGATTGTTGTGAATGATATGTTCCTTACCTTGGTTTGTGCTGCCCCGGTCTCTCGGCCCAGGCCTCTGCTCTCGTGTTCCCACCCCCAAAAGACCCCGCCGAGCATCACCCCAAAGAATCCCGCGTATAATCCCGCTTGATATCCTGGAGTACACACCATCACCCGCAAACGCATCTCCCTGGACTGCCAACTCTGCAGAGAATGCCGCCAAGTATGGAGGTCCCGTCGAGCATCCACCCCCGGATGTCATCCTGCAGGGGGTCCCGCCGAAACTCCTTGAAGTGCTCCCCACATTCAGGAAAATCAGCAAAGAAACTCGCCGGGTTTGGAGTTTCGGAGAGCCCACCCCAAAGACTTCCGCCAAACCTCTCTGCGCCCACTCCCAACCCAGCACGGCAATGCCGCCACCCCAGAGAATCCCCCAGAAAATGCCGAGCATCCTTGGAGTGCTCACTGAAGAGGTGACAGGCAACAGAGCCATCTGGGGCACACATGTCAAACAGGATCGGGCTAAATCTCCTGGTTCGTGGGAGACGACGGGCCGCAGAGCACATATGATGTCAAACAAACGACCTAGATGCCTTCAACACCCGTGTTTCGAACGTCATTCCCGGCGAGGAAAAAGATGATGATGCTTGTTGTTGCAGAGACTAGGGCGATTATGACTGACCGATGTCTTAAAAAACTGACAAAGGGCAGATGACAATTGCCTTAGATGCCCTCAACTCCCAGGCTTCAAAACACCACCCGGGTGCAGAAAGGAGGCTGCCATGATGCATGGCAAGGGAGGCAGCCATGAGCAAACCCAACTTTGTGTATGCCGTCGGCTACGATGCCCACCCGGTGCTTGACAGCACCAGACCTGAAACTTTTCAACCCGAGACTCGAAACCCGCCATGTGCACCGCCGGAGCACTTGCGGCCGCCCGCAGCACAAGACGTTCAGCTCACTTCTGGACCGCACGACCCGGCCCTCACATGCCCCTTCGACTTCAACGTTGCAAACGGGTGGTCAAGCTGAACGAGGCATCCCCCCCTTTCAGGCTCCGCAGCCTTCTTGTTATGCTACAGTCTTCCGGTCTTCTCGTTTCCGACCCGCTGGTAGCTCACCGGATGATGATGATGATGATGATGATGATGATGATGATGAAAAGAAGAAGATGAATGTGACTTGTGCTGGCAGTGCGGCTTGTGCTGCACCTTTTCCGAGAAGTGGGTGCCATTTTCTTAAGGGCTCAGACACACGAAGCATGTTTCGCAGGATCGGGTGTCGCAAGAACCAAGTTTCTTGCACGTCGACTTAGCAAAGCGTGGTGCTCGTGTCTCGAGGGCCAAAGAAGTGCCAGAGCATGGATTGCAGAACCAACCAGAACTAGAAAAGAAAATCTGCAACAATGCAAACTCCCGGGCCGTGTCCTGCAGAGCATCAGCCAGCGTTTGATCCCAGCTGTCAGCTGATCGTGCCACAAGTACTTGCTGAAGCAATAGTGCAAAGGCCCACTTCATGGCTGAATCGCAACACTGCCAGACATCTAACTACCTCTGACAAACTGGAAAATGGCCGCCAACATGCATGTTCTCATGCCTCGAACAGGGTAAGGCGGTGTTTGAAGCACAAGCTTGCTGCACAAACCGGCGACATGTCCGCAGCAGCAGCGCGCCTAGTCGTGGCATCCGTTCGAAGAGTGCGAATGCTGGCATCCACTGTCCCATCGGGCGAAAGGACATGGCCGTGGACGAGACACGCATAGCGCTTCGAGATCTCAGTTTTGTGAAACCTGCCGGGAGCCAACTCGACATCTACTGAACAGAAAAATCAGCAGCAAGCAAGCTCCCTTGACAAGACCAGCGTGAGAGTTCAGTAAGGAACGCAATGTCTGCAACAATTTCGGTTAAGCTTCCAGCTGAGCGCGCAAGTGCCGTTGAGCCTGTGGCAGCGGTCTAAGAACGAAGCACTACTATCAGCATGTCGCGATCATTGAGTGGTGCTGAAACTTTACGCACGGCCACAGCACCCGCAAGTGCAGCATCTGCACAAAGTGGGTTGGATCTATCGCTGGGATGCCGGCAGCAGCAGTCTTTGCTGCCAGCAACGGCCCGCTCGTCTCCTGTAGTTACTAGCCGAAGCACGCAGAAAGGCTCTGCCTATATAGCTTGCATAATATGGTTGCTAAGCTTCATCAGGCAGTCCCAAGCAGCTTCATGGGAGGGAAGAGCAAGCTGTGGAAAGCTGTGGAGCAGCCGTCCCCATATTGCAAGCGCTGTGAAAGGCACTCGGCAAATTCCTGGTCGATGCGGTGGGACAGAGGGCCAAACCCTGTTCCTGAAAGAGCCGGGTTGGACCTCAGAGAACCATTCTGCAAGTGTTCTGCAAGTGTTCTGCAAGTGTTCTGCAAGCATTTTTGAAGTAAAGAGCTCAGTAAATTCAAAGTACAAAGTTGCTCCTTGGGCGCCGGCTCTTCTTCGAAAAGTTTGGAGTCGATGCTCGAGACCTGCCAAGAAAGTTCAGCAAGCCGGAAACATGTGTTTATACATACACATATACATATATAACGAAATAACGAAAAACACATGTCCAACGCTCCATAGCTCCAGGGGCCTTGTCCTTCAGCCAACTTGGCAGATAGAGGCCTTCCTTTGCACCGGGCTGTTGAACTTTTGCGCGCGAAAACCCGCTAATAGCCGGTTGGCACCTCTGGAGATCCTTTGGGCGGTAGCTCTACCTGCGTAGCATCGGTGTCGTTCAAACAAGAACCCGACGCTTGCAGCAGCATGCTCTGAACGCGCTGCAACGTTTCACCTTCCAGTGCGGAGGCTTGTAGATCACAAGCCTCGAAAGCAGCAGGGATCAATCCAAAAGCAACCTTTACCTGACCGCTGATTCTGATAAATGAGGTCTGTGCACTTGTTCTAGGTCCAGGACGACCTCAGGCCTTGGCCAAAAATGCAGAAGCATTTTTGCAGCATTCATGCACGTTCGGCTGATCCAGGGCCGCTGCCATGGAACTGGAGAGGTCTTGACCTTGCTTGCTGGCATCACGGCCTGCAAAAGAAACAATGATCCGGATATTCCGGCTGATCGCATTCACATCGACAGCACCAGGTCCTCTGTTCGCGAGATTCCAGAATTTACCTGAGGTTAGCCAGAGCACTTCATACAGCTGCAGCTTGACGATGCACGCTGAATCCGGCCGGATTTCGCAGAACTTTCGCTTTGGGTCGCCTCAAGAAGCAGTGCAGGATGTTTCTGAAGTTGATGGTACACAAGTGCAACCGTATGTTGAGGCATCCACGTCGGTGTTGGCTGGCTCTTTCGTGCCTTCCCCAGGTGCTGGAAGGATGCGCTTACAGCAGCAGGGCGAGTAGAGCCCCCTGAGAATGCCCTCAAGCGCGCGAGCTTATTTCCTACTGCGCTACGATTCAAAGATCCGGCCAAACGGAAACTGCGACTTATACTGCTTCGATTGTTGTCTGCCTCGGCGGGGGGCCGGGCCTCTCTCAGCCTCCCATCACAGCTCAAGACCTAACCTAAGGCACATGTTAGAGTGTCACCAAACGCCGCCGAAATCAGGAAACTTGGGGCAGCACCTCCCATAAGCTTAAGCTAGGGAGTTCTGTTTAGCCCCATTCAGCAAAAATTGCTGGGTTCGCCTGCACGCCTTAAACAATGCACCACACAACGCGAAACTGTCCATGGGCGGTGCTGCCCTCGAAGGGCTCCAAAGCACGCACAGCTCCACAGGCACGTTGCATGCTGAAAGGCCCGTGGGAGACAACAACAGGAACAGCCATTGCACTTGGGAGCTGCAAGCTGCAGCCTCTTCCACAAGAAAGCCGCACGCTTCTTGGCACGATCCGCGGCTCTGTACCTGGTACTCATCTCACAAACATGCTCTTGAAGTCTTGCAGATGGCATGAAAAAAAAAACATGCACTGTGAGTGGCTTGGAGAAGTCTGGCACCATTGAACCCGTTCCGGCTGCTTAGCCACATCCGATGGATCCATGAAGTAAGACCTCAGATGGGCAGGGTCAAAGCGTGGCCAACAGTCAAAACAGTAGCATGACGCAAACTTTGGCTAAAGTATTCAGCTCCTGACTCCCCCCACCACAACCTAGAAGTTGCTGCATCAAAGGCGAGGCGGAACCTGCACTTGCAGCCATTTTCTCAAAGAAGGCCGCACAACTGTCGTTGTGCTTCATGAATAGAAGTCGGGGACCTGGACCTCGATGTGCACATTTTGCACAGGCGTTTGAAAAAGCTGGGAACCACGCCTTCTCGTTTCTGCACCATTTTGACGCACACCTGCACGTAAGGATTTCATGCTTTCAACTTCCAACTGACCGTGATGTCCAAACTCTCAGTTCGGGGCACGACCACGACGTGCTGCTGGAAAACTCAAACGAATAGGTCTCATTGAGGTCACTTTCCTTTGCAAGCAGTACGAACCTAGCAAACTAACCACTTCGTACGCAATCATGCGAATGAATTCGCGCATCAGCCGTGCCTTGCCCCAGACAAAATTCAGGCTAGTCTTCACTTCAGCAATCGTAGGCGGCATCGCTCCCTGATACGTGTCTAAAACAACTCATGAATGCAAACAAGACAAAGCAACAACCTCGGCAAACAGCCCTCGCCCGGCAGCAGCAAGCGTGGGCAGTCTCCATGATTGCTGCTAGACAAACATTTAACAACTAGTACTCCACGATTCAACATATTTTTCACGGTCGACGGAGCAAGCATTCCACGTCACTGCACGCCTCGGTCTCTAAATTTTGCAACTGTCAACAACTCTAGCACGATGCAAATTTAAGCAGGTTGCTTTGCGACTCCAAGTGGGTTTGATCCTTGGCAACTGCGTCATCCAAAACATGTGCCATGCAACCAAAAGCCTGACTGCACCACCTCGAAACAAGCATGCATGTTGCTGACTCATGAAGCCACAGCAGTACAGCGGGTGCCCCTGTTGGATGCTGCGGGGTACTATCCTGTGTCATTACAGTATCCAGCAAAGAGAAAGCATTCCAACAAGCCTTTCCGACAATCCAACAAGGTGTAACACAAGCAATTCCAACCAACCTGAATGTTCTTCTTCAGTTAAACTTCAAATTTTCGAAACAGTCAGTGCGCCGCTCTACCGTCATCGACAGGCGACAGTCGCGACAGTCTGGAGTGGCAACAATCCAATTTCCGTAGTGGAGCAAATCGGAGCGGTTTTGACCGACAACAGAATCGGAAAATGGGAATGCACAAGCATACATTTTTTTGGAGCCGGAAATAACACAAAGCCACAGCAAACAAACTGACGGCAGAACAAACACCGCAACAACAAAACAGCCAAACAACGACAAATCAAAACACGTCCTAATCCTAAGGGTAAAACAGGTCCCTCTCAGTTTATGAAAAGACAAAGTAGAGAACCAATGCGTGGCAGGCAAGTGCGTTACAGGTCATGCAGAGAGTGCTCAGTGACAACAGATGAACAGAGGCCTGCAGGCAAAAAACTGGAAATGGCAAAATATCCAAGAACAGAGAGTGCAATGCAACCAAGGCTGTCTTAAGGTTGAATCATGCATCTGGAAAACAGCGTGTAAGGTGGCAACTAGCACACCGCAAACACCACCAATCACAGCTTCAAAAACCCGCAGCAAACCGCCAAAACCAAAGCGCCAAACGTCCAGGTGTCCCCTGCGCTTGGTGCTCTCAAACGTCGCGTGGCGGGAAAGTTGCAAATGACAAAGAAAAGCGTACTGCAAGAAGTGCTACGGACTCCCACCCTTCTACGACGTCCCACGGAAGAATCCACCGGCAATTTCTTTAACAAAATCCAAGCCAGTGGCTGGTCATCTCTAATCTTGCAAATAATCCCTGGATTACCACAGAAAACGCCTTGTTTTCGCACCAAGAAGAGTGAACCAAAATTACTTGGGAAAATCGTAGTTTGAAGGCAGTGCAGAAGTGCTGCCGACAACCTTTTAACAGGCCAGAGACGGAGATACGGCATGGAGAACGAACACTGTGCACGCGTTCCATCGGGCTGTTGGAAAAAAAGGTGAAGGCAAGCATGTCTTACAAGCAGACTCCGAAAACCCAAGAGTATGTCAAAATCATTGGAGAGAATTCTGGTGTTGCTAACTTGGCCAATGGAACCGCCAAAACAAGCCGGTGCAGAAAATCGGTCAGATCAAACTTCAAAAAACCCTTAAAGCTGTTGAAGATTTTGATCTTTAGGGCAAGTTGGTGGTAAGGTCATTCTTTGGAATTGGCTGTAACTGAGAGTTAGAACACCTAGAGGTGCCAGCCCACGTGCACGTTGGCACAATCATTTTTTTTTTGAAAGGGTAAGAGATCACTCCTGTGCACTGTTGGGTGCACCAAGACCAGACGAATGGTGATGACTTGCACCACGATAACAATCCATGATCTGGCAGCTAGAACCGACCAGTGCCTCAATGGGCATTTTATGCCGGTGGCAATGCTAGATTCACGAAGACAAGGCCGCTGGATAGTCGATCAAGACCGTTTGATCAAATGGGAACGTGATTGCAAGTGGATCTCTTTGAAGCAATGCGGATTTAATTTTGCAATGCCATTGGTTATGTGGCAACAGGTGTGGCAAATGCTAACTTGGAATCTAGAAGCAAGCTCTGAAAGCTGGTGAAGAATGCGGTTGCCAGGCCTATTGGGCTGCTGTGTGAAATGCCCTGCAGCCGTGGACATGAAAGCTTCCGCGCCGCCATGGCCCGTCCGCGTTTTTCCATATAAAAGCTTCAGTCAGTGCATGTGTTTTTCGCTTGTTGAAGCGGCACGATGTCTTCTGGTTGCTGCCTGTTTGTCTTTTTGGATCCGTTACGTTGGTGGCTTTACGCCTCGCATTTTGCTGAGAGTTCATGTTAAAGATCCAAAGTCCAAGCACTGCTTGGCACTTTAACACTAAGGGGATGCTCTAGCCATTCTTTTGGTGGGTACTTGCCACCAAAAACAGAACAAAAACACACACACACAAGCCAATCTCTGACATCAAACTCAAACTTACGCAAGCTCCCACCATCAGGCAGGTTGCCCTGGGTCCAACTGGAACCCAAGAGTTCGTTGTCAAAAACACGTAACAAACAAATTCAACTTGCATCCACCTGTTCCAGACAGAGAGGTCTTGGAAAATACCCAAGAGTTCGTTGTGGTGATCCCATTCTCGATGTTTTGCCTTGATGATTTTCCTTGGAAATCAATACACTACTTTTGAGTGAGTGTGCAGAGAGTAGGAACTTTGTTCTGAAACTGAATTTGTTCAGTTTGCGCACTTCGTGACTTTTGGCTCAAGGCTTGCGAGTGAAAAAGTCTGTCCGCACTTGGTTTTGATAGGTTGGGTTCGTGCTTTCAAGGGAAAAGGTACCAGAGGGACCTTCGACTTTTAACGCGGCTGCTGCCTTGTATGGCGCTTCGGTCCAGTGTTGGGTGCATCTTGTGTTTCATGCATCCAAGGAACAAGATTTGTGTTTGTGGGCGTTTGTTGTACTGATATGTGTTGTCATAAGCTCCAGTGAAAGTGTGTTGATGTTTGTCACAAAAGGGAAGAGGTGATCCCAAGTGACAAAAGCGCAAAGTCTTCTGTTCGATCTTTTGTTGGTAGATTCGCCTGAAACTCCCCACTTGTGTGTGGTGTGTGTGTGTGTGTGTGTGTGTGTGTGTGTGTGTGTGTGTGTGTGTGTGTGTGTGTGTGTGTGTGTGTGTGTGTGTGTGTGTGTGTGGGTGTGTGTGTGTGTGTGTGTGTGTGTGTGTGTGTGTGTGTGTGTGTGTGGGTGGGTGTGTGTTATGTGTGTGTGTGTGTGTGTGTGTGTGTGTGTGTGTTGTGTGTGTGGTGTGTGTGTGTGTGTGTGTGTGTGTGTGTGTGGTGTGTGTGTGGGGGTGGTGTGTGTGTGTGGTGTGTGTTGTGTGTGTGTTTGTGTGTGTGTGTGTGTGTGTTTGTGTGGGTGTGTGTGTGTGTGTGTGTGTGTGTGTGTGTGTGTGTGTGTGTGTGTGTGTGTGTGTGTGTGTGTGTGTGTGTGTGTGTGTGTGTGTGTGTGTGTGTGTGTGTGTGTGTGTGTGTGTGGGTGTTATTGTTTTGCGGTATTTTCATGCTTCCAGTTTTCACTCACTGTCAATTCGTCATGTGTTCTTGAGATTGCATTCGCGCCGCTTGAGTCTTTTGATGCATGTTGATTGTGTGTTGGATCAACAAGAAGGTTTCACAATTTTCCAAAGTTTCTGAGCCATCGCGAAAACACTCCTGCTGGAAGGAGGCAAGTTTCTAGATCGAAGATTGCTCGTCAAAGCAAGGAACGACAAGCCTGGAGCTTGTAATACACCTCTTGTGCATCTCAAGCGAAAACCTTGACCACAGCATTCAGATGGAGGTTCATTTTTGCCAGAAGATTAAGAAGAAGAAGTAGAAGAATGGAGGAGAATTCGGGCAAGCAGCAGCAGCCGGCAAGGAACAAGGGCAAGCGGAAGTTCACTGATCCGCGCGCTGAGAGTCCTGGGCGAAAGCAGGGACGTCTGCAGTTTTTTGCTTGCAGTGCAGTTCAAAAATCAAAATCGCTACAGCTTGGATGATTTTGACCAGCAAGCCCACGAGTTTGCAGAAATTGAGGATCGAGAGAGAATTCATGTTTGGTGCGATGCCGCAAGTGCAGACATTCTGAAAGTGTCGTTGCGCAAGACAGAGACTTGTTTTGCAAACGAATTGCTCTTCAATCTGCAGTTGGTTTTTCGTGGCTGATGTGCACTTTGAATTTGTCTCCGGATCATTTTGGACTGGTTTTGGGGTTGGATTCCAGAACGGTTCGAGAGCAGTGGGATGCTTTTCGAAGTTGGCTGGTCCTTTGGTGGAGAAAATGAACGAATACGTGGGTGGGCCCGGCATGGATGTTGAAATTGACGGGATTGCTTTTCGCAGTGCTGGGTTGAACACTTCAGTTCTTTGGCTTCGTTTCATCGGCAGGTCAGGCATGGTCCCTCCAAGATTTACATCGCAAAGCTCCCCTACCGCTTGAGTCAAGGTGGTCAAGGCCAAGGTGGTGGAGGCCCTCTCAGTTTGGAAGAGTTGCGCTCCGCCATGGTCACTTCGACTGGAAAGCCCGGCTTGGAATGTGGCACACCGATTCAGCAAAGGCGTACAAGCAATTGGACCCAGCCAGAGGGGCCCTTGTATGACGGAACCTTGCAAGGGCGGCAGTTCAGCCAGTTCAAGCTAGCTCACACAAATGTTCGCCGCAAGCCCCCGCATCCCGAGTTCACGAAGAATTTCACGGTGAAATTCTGGAATGGACACGAGTGGGACGCCAAAGATGTTGGAGGAACGCAGAAGATGGACGGCTTCTTCAGTTCTTTATGCCGCAAGGTCGGAAGACAGGCCTTCAACACTGTGGCGCCCACGGTGGCAGGTTATTCTTGGCGGCGCAGCTCTTTTTTGAGGGCGCGGCGCCATGCGCGGCGGTCGCCGCCGCGGCTGGGGCCGCGCCTAAAGAAGGAAGAAACATTTTCTTTTCTTTTCTTTCATTTTCACTTGTCACGCCGCGCCCGGCAAAATTTGTATCGGAGCTTTTCCTTGTCAGGTTTCAGAAACACATTAACCTTGAATGTTTGTCAATTCGACGCATCGTGGAAGAACATCTTGTTGCGTTTTTGCCGAATCTCGTATGGTTGGAAGTTTTGTTCTCGAGCGGAAACGGATGAACTTTGCATCCAAGCTCGTGTCCAGCTGCAGCGCGCAGGCTGCAGAGCAAAAGAGAGAAGAATTTGCGTGGACCTTTTGCTGCTCGGTTCAAGCAACGCTAGGGCCGCTGGGCGCTGCAATTTGCGGGCAAGCTCCTGTGTGGCCCGCTAGCAGCCTGGCTCCTTGCAATTCCTGCAGCCTGCAAGCTGCAGCATGCTTGCTGGCCCGGCAGCGTTCCCGCAGGCCGGTGCTCCTGCAGTTTCTGCAGCCAGCCCTGCAAGCTGGGGGAACACTTGCCTCTGCGCGGGAGACCTCTGTCCTTCACACTTGCCGCTCGTTTGGTTGCAGACGGTATTAGCAACCCTGCAGTCTCGCTGCTTCGCCGCACTTTGCCCCGCAAGCTGGCCGAGACCTTTCTTTCACCGGTTTCGCATAAACATACACATTCACACTTCTCTGACCGACCGATTAGCCGCCTGTTTACTGAGTGCAGTGTTTCGTGTTTACCAGACGTGCTTCAGCATTGTTGTGGGTGAACCCACATTGATAGATACCCTGCTGAGCTACTGTAAGGAGACGCCTTCAACACAAACTTAGCTGCTTACCTTTTTATGTGGGCCACAAATTTGAGTGCTGTACTCATTACTGAGGGATGATGCACAGCCTCCCAGCCCACGGTAGAAGAGGAGGTTATCTTCAGAATATTAGGGTGGTTTGCCTTGAAGAATGACTTTACCTGGTTTTCGGAGATTTGGAGCGTTCACTTTCCTGGCAAAAGAGCCCTAGCGACACAAGGGCTGCTTTGAAAACACTGATCCAACTTGCATTGGCAACGATGCCCAGCCCAAGAGGGCATGTGGTCTCACAAACGATTTGCGTTGTCTTCAGGGATGGAGTCGCCGACGTTTTTGCGACTGCTCGGCCTTTGTTTTACTTGTGCACTGGTACTCACAAGCCAGGGGTCAAGAACTAACTTGCAGATGCCTTCAGCAGGGACAGATTGCAGTTTGCTCACGCTTCTTAGAATCAGATTTAGCCTGCTAGACCTCGCCATCTGCGCAGGCCAGATTAGGTTTCTGCCCACTTCGTGTCAGAGAGAGCCCGAGTGAAACAGAGCCTGCAAAGACCGCTGCCTCTGCCTTACTTTGCCGGAAAGTTGCCTACTGTTAAGCATTTGCATGCCGCTCGCGGTGGAAAGGGGAAGGGGGCAACGACTCCTGCCGGTCAGATGTTTGCCTAGGAAAGGCGGTCAGCCTTTGCCGATCCGCCATCTATGCAACACGTTGCGCTCGACACACCAATGACCTCCAGACTGCAGACGAAGAAACGTCAAGAAACCATGGGTCCGAGACTCGCGTTATGATGCTGCAATATGCTGCAATGTGCTGCTTGCTTCACACATGAGAGGGCCAGTGCAAAACCAACGTTCCCACATTCACCGCAGCTGAAATGCCTAGAGCCTCAAAATGTTTCAACCCATTTATTGGAGACGCATAGCAACTTCGAGACACGTTTTCTTGTTGGTAGGCTCCTTTATTCAGCAGATCAAATGCGAAATTGCTTTCCAACAAGCACAGCAGCAACCAACAAGCAAAAGCAACCCCAATAGCAAACGCGAAACAGGAAGTAACCAACGGCGGCATTGTACAAACAGGTAGCACACGGAAGGCTAATCCATTTAGGTGAAACAATTAGTTTGCCCGATCACTCTCAGTATCCCTTGTCATCGACGTGTCATATGTTGTAAGTTGTGTCCCTTTGCGAAAGATTCGTGTGGTGTGTGCAAAGTAAGCGAATGCACCACCGCGAGCACAAAGCCCAGCATAAGTCGCTGACAGAACAGGCCTGTTCCAAACAAAACAAAATCTGCGAAATGGTTCCAAAAGCCATCACCGAGAAAAAATGGGGTTGAGCAAGGCCCTGATGCACGTCGCTCAGACGGTTTCCTCTCGTGAGTGGTGGCGCGGCCCGCTTACTGGAAGCCTTTCTCGCTCCAAGGCACGGGAGGGGTTGGGAGGGGTGCACGGAAGGTCGTGGACTCTGCAGGTCCAGGCGACCACTTCAGCTGCTGGATCGCTTCCTTGGAAGGTATGATTTTGGTCCATGGCTTGATTCTATGATCGAATTGCATTCGGTCATCAAGTTGTGCCTTTGCCTCTTGTAGCATAGCATCTGCCTGTCGCCCGTTTGTATTGTACTCCGACCAATTCAAAAGTTGAGGCCGACGCCACCACTTGCCCAGTCACTCGCGGGTCGTTCGATCTCCATGCCGAAGGGAATGTGCCGAGCCCATGGTAGCGGCTTAGCATGCTGCCTTCCAGGGCCCAGCGGCAAAGGCGGCTGTCCAAGCAATTCCATTCATTCACCAGAGCCACCGTGCCCTCAACTGGCTTTTCGGCGATCAGCTAAGTCCCTCATATGCGAAGCTGGGGACCCGTGGGGAAGGAGAACAAATCAACCACGGCAGGTTCTCTATACTCACGAAACAGCCGCACCAGTCCTGTTTCCTCATCAACCAGCTCCTGTCCCAGTTTAATGAGAACTTCCACATCCTTTCGGCCGGCTCTGGCAGGCGAGGCATCGTGGACATTGGCCGAGAGCAGTCAGGCTTGAGCGGTGGCAGGCATACCTGCCCTTGGACAACTGGCCACTTCAGGCACTTGCTTGCACCCTTGTTGCACCAGCCCTTTCGCAGTAATTGCATTGAGGTAAGTGTAAGGGCTTCAAGCCGGGCATCCGACGCGCCTCAAGGGAGGACTCGCCCTTCCGATTTGCGAGAGAGCACCCACTGTCACGTAGTCGTCAAGTCGCACCTGCCAGGACAGACGGTTGCTGACTGGTTGTCTTCACTGCTAGCGGGTTTGGGTGTTCCTGTGCAGGGTGAACTTGCGGGACTCCTCGTGCTGTACAGCGATAACTCCTGCGACCGGGCTCACATTGACCTGCATGGGCATGCAACTGCTTTCTATGGGTGGCACTGGTACCTCCTCGCCCCTGCCACAAAAATTGCCAGTAGAAGCTTCGAGACATCGAGCAATCGCCAAAGATCAGCCTTTTAAGCCGGGTCCGCGCTGACTGTCGTGACTGCTGCTAGGGTCAAGCACAGTGTTGTGGTTGTTCATCCCAAGATTCTGCAAGGACCGTGGAAAGAGAGAGAGTCATCAAGGGAGCGTTGAGAGTCCAACGCGGGCAGTGAAGAAGTGCTGGATTTGAGCAACGGGCTAGCCAAGCGCGGAACAGTGTTGTTCAGTGTAAGCAGAGTCTTTCGCTAAGTCTGCGTAGGCATCAATTTCTTTCCCAAAAGAGGAGTTTGGATCCTAAGTTGTGCCGAAAATTAATAAGCATTGAGTTCCCAGATCTCATCGGGCTCCTCACACGTTTAGCCTTGTTTGGGATTTTCTTGAGAAGCTGCAAGAGCAGATTTGGGGGTTCATTGCCGTGACAATTTCATCGAATGCCAAAGATGCTGTGGGGTCCAAGGCACGCGGTTTGACAAGAACCCTTACCCCCCAAGCCTCGAATCCTCAACCGCGTGAGCCACCAAAGCAAAAATTTAGACGGCCTGACAGGATTCAAGAACAAAAGCATAGAGGAGAACGGGACGGAACAGCTTGCCAACAGAAACACAAAAGCATCCTATATAAAACCAAAATCGTGGCTTGTCACACCATGCGCAACTGCTGGAATCTTTGCAGTCCGCAGCACCATTTGCAGAAGCCAGATTCCCTGCTTATGACAGGACAAGCTTGCTTTCTAGCTCCATCTGGCGGCATTCAGCTTCTTCAAGATCTGGATGCATGCCGTGTGCTACGTCATTTGTGCAACACATCTGTTGGTAAACAGACAGTGTTGTCAAAGTTGCGCTTCATGGTTTGAGCTGGTGTGGAGCTTGCCATGAGCGAACCTTCCCTCGCGAGGAAAGGACTTTTACATATTTTCCACAAGCGGCGTATGCTGACTTTGATGTTTCGGGACTTCTGCAGGACCTGTGGGGTGCCAGCTCCCCTGTGCCCTTGTGGCAGATCGGCCATGTTGCTGGATTTTGCTTTGTAGCTTCAAGTATTCCCAGGTGCCGGCGCTGTCCAGGAAGTTCTTGTCACTCCAGCAACACATCCTTCTCATGATTCAGGCCGATGCAGATCAAGCACAAGCGCAGGCATTGTAGCAGCAAGGCAATGGTCGCACGTGTAACACTTGGAGGACGCGGCTGATTTGCAACAGCATCTGGACGAGACCTTGGTCAGGACTGCAGTTTTCTACACTGAGTCACGAGTTCACGCAAATGGGTGGTCGAAGAAGCCATGAGAGTGTGTTTTAGAATATTTTCGGCATGCTTGCGTGACAAACAAGGTTGTACAATGGAGAGCCACGGTTATAGTCCTTCGTCAAGTCTTGTCGTGGCGTGGCAAGCTCGTGACAGGATTGAAAGCGATGTCACTTGCATTGTGGCCGCTTAGCTTGCGTTGAGGATGTCATTGTACTTCTTCGTGCTCATGAAAGCAGCCTGAACGACATACATGTTAATAGGTGCGGAGTATCCGAAACTGCAGCTTTTCTGCCGGAGCCCCAGGGACTTTGCATTTCACTCTGGATTGCAGAGTGTGGGAAATTCAGGTGAGCATTGCTGATCCACAGCTCGTTTCCGTCTCAGGAGATGTTGAAGATGCATCGTCATAGCCGTCAATGTTGTTCTGTGACGCGTGCAGTGCATAATCTCGTGTTCTGTGCAGCCCGACTGCCCGCTCATCTCTGTCTCGGAGGCGAATCTGCAATCAATCTTGCAAGTAGAGGGCAGCTGGCAAATTAGGTGCCATGACCACCATGAATTAATCAGCCGTCTAGTCGTCTTGCGCTCAGGGATCCCATCGTTCTTGGAAGCAGCGTGTTGGTTAAGTGCATGTTTGGCCTGGGCATTTCTAGGCTCTGTACGTGTTCGTTCGGAATATACGCTCCTTGCGGCGCAGGGCTTTTGCGAGCTGACGGGCTATGACCGCGAGACCATTCTGGGGACACTCTTCTCAATTGATTTCCGAAGGTGGGGACCGTATCTTGTATTGGGAGTCCTGTCAGGCAGAACTGCCGTTTTCTCAACGACGGATGCGACATGCAGTCACGCCCTCGAAGCTTGAGAGAAGCCGCAGACACGAGCGGACATGTGTATGTCTGTAGCCATGACGTGGCGCGCAACCAGGCCTTCTGACCGGCAAGGTCTTCGTATCTCTGCGCAGCGTGCTCCTGAGCTTCCGCAAGTGCTTCCAGGTGATGTTTCGGTGAAGCCCGAGACGGTGCGGCAGGGCGACAAAACAAACTAGCAAAGCCAACTGCTAGTTTTGCCCATGTTGCGTTTTTGAGGACTGGCAAGCACTTCTGCGGAGTCTTGAAGAACCTCAAGGTGCCCACAATTGCCCACATGTGCTCATGCGTCTTGGATGTTCCGTGTGACGCGTGTTCTGACAGGCAGACGGTACCCCTTTCCTGAACCTGCTGGATATGCCGTTTCTTCAGTGGTGGACGAGTGCAGCAAGTGTTTGGTAACTAATCCTGGGCGCGGTTTTGTCCGCAAAGCGCAAAGTGCATGGGATTTGCTCTCTCACATAAGGCGAGGCCTTTCAGTCGGCAGAACGATAGATGGCGAGGACTGGAGTGCCTCGGTGTTTGGATTGTTTGGGGTCTCACCGATGGGCTTGGTCTTGTTCGTAGCTGCTGTGCGCATGCAGGAGCGCTTTTTCATCGTCGGCATTCAGGTAGAGTCCGCCAATTACTTTGGAAACGTTGCCGGCTTTCAGCGGAAAACTGCGAGAGGCAGACGTGAGCGAGCAGGGATCTGAGGAGTTGCCTTTGGAGCACAAGACCCAGATGCCACAGCCTCAGCTGCACCACTGTCCTGCTATGGCTACGATGCTGTCCGAAGGGTCGATGTGTTAACGAAGCTTTTGGGATTATTCAGGGTTTCCTGAAGCCACGGATCAGTGTTGGGGTGGACCTTTCGGAAGCGAGACATTGTGTCAGCTACAGCAAAGCATTGTTACGCATTTCAGGCAGTACATTGCAGCCTTGGTCCGCGATGCCGAGGGCCAAGAATCCCCTTGCACCTGCCTTGCACCATTCTAGACCATGTGGCAAATGGCACTGAGGAGCTGATCTCGGGCTTGCAGCAAGAAGCCATTGTTGCCGCCAGCCCGGCCTGTGCTCGAGGAATGCATATGATGAACGTGGGAGCTGCCTCGCGCTTCAAGTTCTTGGAAGGCAAGTTCTGGAGACAATGCTTTGAGCCCCTGCCTTTGAAAATTCTGGTCCTTCACCTGCAGAGCTGTGAACTTGGTCACTCCAAGGTGACATCACGCCGTACGAGGAGCCCAGGTGGGTACTTGGAGAGGCAGTGGTGGCAGCTTTTTTTTTCTTTTGGCCACTTTTGTTGCAGTTTTGCAGAGTGCCATCTTTGAAGACGCAGGTGTTCGAAACGCAGGCCCTCGGTGGCTAAGCCCACCAGCCGACTAGCTCCAGCCTTTGCCAAGCACAAAAGGAGTTTGGCCAAGTGTCTTGCAATCTCTGAAATCTCAGCGCGACGGTTCTTGGTGTCTTCCACTTCATGCATTGCGATAATTCGTAGACATTGCATTTCGAGCATGATGTGCCTACCTCCCTCTGGTTCAGTTGTTGAATGTCTGCACATGTATGTACCGAGAGCTCACCTCGGCAACTTGTTAAGTCTTGACAGACAAACGAGGCCATCAACAAGCTAGGTTGCGCCATGACGGAGGGTGCTTCCCTGTGCAAAGCTGGGCAATGTTACCAGGCCAGTCGCAAAGGGTCGTCCTTTTAGTGGGGCAAGTTTTTTCCGAGGGCCTCTGAGTCAGCTGAGCCCTGCGCAATTTGTTTCAGACCTTTTTTCAAGGCTGAAGCTGCCGGAAGCCGGGAGAAGTACTTTCTCCGCCCCTCTGCTTCCTGGGAACACGAGAAGAGCCTCTTAGCCGCTCAGCTCTTTTGAGAAGGAGAGCGGCGGCAAGGAGGGTGGCTTTTGCGGGACGACAAAGCAAGCAACGAATCCACCTCAGAATCCAACCGTGAAGCTTTTGCATACTTCTGCCTTTCTCTGACGGCGGCAATGACAAGATAGATGTTAGGATATGCTAGGGTTGAGCAAGGTGGGCCACAAGCTGCTTTGCTTGTACAGCTGCTCCAGCCATCGCAGTGGCCGCCGAAGCCATCATTGGGACAAGAAAACAGGCTACCCCAAGGTGGCGTCCTTTGCGTGCGAGGGATATGATGGCTCCACAGCAAGAGTATTCCAGGCGTCCCAACACACTCCGAGCCTTCAAGCGGAACGGCTGAGCCGACGGTGGAGAATCTGTCCGCCCAGGGCTATCTTGGGATTCAGGTGGAAACATGCTTGATAAGGCATGGCCCATTGAGCTTTGAACGAGTGGGTGACTGCACGGCTCATGAGCTACTGCACAACCAGTTAACTACTGATCAGTATGTGGTCAAGAAGGTCGTTTTGCAAGAACTGTAAGAACCGTTGTTTTGCCTATTGCGACAACTTCCTCCGTTAACTGTGCATCGGCGGTGAATCAGCATGGAAGGACATGGGGCTACACCAGATACTACAGCAGCGAGATTTTTTCTTTTTCTGCAGCATCTCAAGTTGAATCGCATGCACGGATTTGCCAGTTACCTTCCGGGCTATGAACGGGCCATGCTTTGGGATGCCTTCTGAGGCTGGTGGCTCATGCCTTGAACTTGCACAGCCACGACCCCCCCCCCCCGCTCCCCGATCGTCTCGTGGATGTTTGAGGTGCAACGCTTGGAGCCGAACATCTGCTGTGCTTGTTCATTGGCCCACAGACTTCATGACCGAAGTGAAACTCACAACAAATCACAACATTACCAGACCCATGAGCACCCAGCATCTGCATGCTAGATGTTGCTACGAAAGCCTGATCCTGCTTGCATGTAGGCAAGTGAGCCAAGTTCTTGGTTGCATCCCAAAGTGGAGAGCCATGGCGGAACTGGCGACAGATTCGCTCAGGGGCAAGTATGAAGTTGGCGAACTACTTGGCGAAGGTGACTTGGTGAGCCTCGTTACTCTGACTTTGTCTGTGCACGTTACAACATCTTGCGGCTGTGCTTGGCTGTGCTTGTCTGTTAGGCTTCAGTGGCTTCGTCTACGCTTGCAGGCGACACAATGCCAGCGAAGCTTTGGCTGCCAAGGCCAGCCAATGACCTGGAAGTGGTGGCAGTTGTGGGCTTGGGTTCGCTGTTGTCATTTGTTGTTTTTTGTCAGTTCTGTTTCGCTTCACTGGCACATTGCCAAATGGCATCACTTTTTGCTAACTTAAGACGGTTGGTGCCCTTTGCGGCGGTGGGCCCAGGGCCAGCGAAAGGAGTATTGGATGGGTGGGAAAATGCTGAAAGCGAAAAGCTTGAGAGAGGCCTGTTAAAAGAGAAATGGGGTGCTTGTCTGGTCCAGCTGGGCTCGCTTTGGAAGTTGACGAAGAGTGGGAGAATAGAGTTGCCCTCCAAGGCCTCCCGCCCAACTAGTGGCGCCTGTTGGTTTCCACGTTCATTTTCAACTGCGCATGCGATGTGCGAACTCTGCTGCAAGGGCCAATGCAGCATGCCCACTAGCCATGCTGTGACGATGTGTTTTGTGGTGGAAACCTGTGTGACTGTGTGTCTCTGCGTGTCTCTCTGCGTGTCTCTGCGTGTCTCTCTGCGTGTCTCTCTGCGTGTCTCTGTGTGTCTCTGCGTGTCTCTGCGTCTCTCTCTGCGTGTCTCTGCGTGTCTCTGCGTGTCTCTGCGTGTCTCTGTGTGTCTCTGTGTGTCTCTGTGTGTGTGTGTGTGTGTCTCTCTGTGTGTCTCTGTGTGTCTGTGTGTGTGTGTGTGCAGGCAGGCTCCATTGCTTTGCTTGTAAGAGCTGCTGCTGGTGCCCCACGTTTCATCTGTGGCCGGGGGGGGGGGGAAGGCGGCAGGGGGGCAGGGCGGCAGGGCGGCAGGGTGAGAGACGCGAGCCTCACTGTACGAGATGCTGGAGTGCATCGTACTGGATTGGACTCCGGACATGCTGAGAGCCGAGCTCAAGCAGCTCACTGGCACTTTCAACTTGATCTGTCATGCTGACTGACGTGGCTCCGTCCCGTCCCGAGCCAGGTGTGCACAAATCGACCCGGTTCAGCAGAAGAAACCCGTGATGAAGCCTTGCTGTTGCGTAGCATGTGCCACAGTTCTTGGACAGCAACGGGCTCACTTAGCTTCAGCCAAGTTTGCGATGAGCATGACTTGATCTGTGTTAGACATGATGACATGGATCCAAGGCTCTATAGTGAAGGTTCATGACATTTTTGACAATGGAAAGTCCGTGTACTTCGTCATGGACCGGATGCATCAAGATCTTCTCGATGGACCTTTGTAGCATGATGCTCCGTAGCATGTTGTTTCTTTCCAAAAGCCGCAGCAAGCACTATATCCGTATAAAGATGTGCTAGCTCAGTGCAGGACTACAGAGCTACATCATGAGGCTCGGAGCAATCATGTCGTTAAAGTTGCGGAGTTTCCGAGAGTGTGAAGTTTTCGAAGCGCCGGCCGCCTCAGGGAAAAGTCGCATATGAACGGCTTGGTGCACATCGTTCGGCAGATGGTGGCTGCAGTACAGTATCTTCACACCCTGGCCGTCGTCCATCGCGACCTGGGCAAAACAAGCAGACGATGTGGCTGGCACGTTGCTGGGTGGTGGCAAGTGTCGGCGTGAGTTGTGTGGAGGGCGGGTGGGTGGTGGTGGTGCTGGTGTGTATCCCGGGGCTTCCTCCTCCCTCCAAGGTGACGTTAAGCCGGAGAACTTTTTGATCGATAGCGAGCGGCTAACCGACCCTCGGAAGACAAAACAATCGTGACGTCACCGCTTTGTGTGCGTGCGAGCGTTTTGTTCAGCTTCCCCGTACCTAAGGACCCTTCTTGCAGGGTGGTCCTGGCAAACCTTGCCTGTCATTGAAAGGTCCTTCGAAAACCTCAAGCTTCCAGCTGCATCCAGCACTTGTGCGCCTAGGCCGACCTTGGGTCAGCCTGCAAGCTTGCACAGAATCAGCGCTTGTCCGAACAGGTTGGCAGCAGTTTGCAGCAGGTTGGCCATAGTTTTTTGCCGGCCTTTTTCGGCTGTCGCAGGTTGGAACTACAGTGTACTGGTCTCCGGAGATGTACGCCCGTGACTCGAGCTGGCTCAATATGCTCTCAAAGGGTCGACCCATGTCGAGCCCTCCCCAAACCTTTGCAAAGGACCAGGACTATGGTCTGAAAGTTGACATCTGGGCCTTGGGCATCTGCCTGCATTGCATGGCAACTCGATGTGACATTGGCCATAGGGATTGTCCGAATTACACGAGTTACGTGGGACCCCGAGGCCAGCAACACGTTCCCCTTTGTCGATGAGGACGAGGTTCGCACAAAAACTTTCCGACTCCGTCGTGTCAGCCCATCATGCCTCTTGGACTTACCAGCACGGAAGCTGCTAATGACTCCAAGCGTGCCTCCACGTGCGATTGCTGTGACTGAGGCAACAGATTGATCCACTCAATGCTGAACAAGGCCGCGGAAAATTGTTGAGTTGACCCATGGAGCTGTAGGTTTTCAGGCTTCAAGTGGCAACCTGAGCCCAGCCGTCGAAAGACCGACGCGGGCGCAAGGGCACGGGATGGCACGGGCATGCGTGGGGCATCCAAAGCTCCAACTATCTCTCTAAGTTCATCTAAATCTTCTTATCCTCTGCCTGAACTCGGTACCAAAGCTCAAGAACCCAGCATCTAAACCTTGGCACCCAGACCTGCAAAGAACGTTCTTGCATCTTGTAGCATTGTAGCCATTGTGATTTCAATGTTCATTTCTTGTCATTGCAGGTCCTTGGTTTCGGGAGTGCGATGTAGCTGGACTTCCACTTCTTTGCAACCAGCATTATCACGTGATGGGGACATCAGATCTCTTGTCGCACGAAGGGAAACCTGAAACCCCGCAGAGTAACTAGTGACACCAAGCTTTGCATAGGATCCGACATCAAACTTGGCAGACGCGCATCACATCGCGACGACTCTCCGAAAGAGCGAGTGGAGTTCGGAATGTTCAAAGGTGGAGGCAAAGCGGCCCAATATCGACGAAGTCCAGCAGCACCCGTGGCTGACCGGCAAGGACGATCCAGAGAATCACGAGCAGGCAGGTGGTTCAAGTTCTGCAGACATGGCGCCGCCCTGTGGATGCCTTGTGGCGCTTCTGCAAATCTGAAGCTTTGCTACACAAGGATGAATGCGGCTGGAAGGTCAATGGTTGGCTCAGCGTGCCAGAAGCTTACTTGCTGCGCCTGAGTCTAGTCTCCACATGGGTTCGCTGGCGACATTTTCATTGTCTATGCCGCTTAGGCTCTCGAGACCGGAGAAGCACCAGTGGCCTTCACCACGTAAGTCTCGCAGAGCCTGGCCACGGGCGGCGCTTCCACTTCTCTTCGCCTTCTGCTTGACTGGGCTGGTCTTCAAGCCCCAACGCTCTGGCAGGATGCCTAGATCACAGAATTCACAGAGTGACACACGATCACGCAGGAGCACCATGAGCATACATGGGCAGGCATGCTGACCCTTCACATGACCTTGCACTGTGGGCCTTTGGGCCCAGGCTGGGATGCATCGGCTGCTCGCTGGACACCTTTGGACGGAGCAGCCTCAAACCCACCAGCTTCCCTGAGACACGTAATCCGTGGTTCCTTTTCGAGCTGCGCCCAAGCAGTCTTCAGCATGGCCACGCCGTGATGGTTTTGGACTGTGTGCTGGTGAAACCGCCTCGCAGTCATGCGGCGCAGCATTCGTACAGACAGCTGTGGCAATGCCAGAAGATCAGACTCTGGAATCTCTAGAATCTCGAATCTTTGTCCTTTGTTGATACTCGCATGATCTTTTGGAAGGGATACCGGCAACAGCCGCAGCTGACCAATCCCCGGCGTCTTCCGCACTCTTGTCGTGCTTGAGCACGCCTTAGCCACCCTGTTGGATAGCCTCAGATGCCAGGACCCAAAGGACCCAAGCACTTTGCGTGCTGGATCTGACTTCCAGCTGAATTGTGATTTTGTTTCACAGTGATTCGCAACGGGAATCACGCCGTTCTTTTGACGTCTTGCCATGTATCGGACATGCATGGACCGGCTTCATGGAATCTTGGCTTCTATTCAAGGTTTCAGTTGGTTGGTGTGTGTGTGGCAAGCTGCACTGGCTGGCTTTGCTCACCCACAGACACAGAAGTTACTCCTCAGGAGCTTGGCATTCATTTAGACATATGGTGTTCGAAAGGGCAGCCAAGTGCAAGCTGGTCTGTGGCATGCTGCTTGAACTACTTAAAGCGCACGCCATAGCTAGCCACAAGCTTGGCGACACTGCGTTTGTATGTGCCTCGTACGTGATCGAGATCTGGCTTGGTGGTTCAGAGATTGGTGTCGACCTTGATTGTTTACACGGGGCAGTGTCAAGAAGCACGTTAGCTTCTTGCCAGGCTCGGCTTGGCAAGAAACAATCCCCAAACAGTTCCAAACGGCCTGGTGATTGCTTGGAGGGCAAGGGGTGCACCAGGCCACTCGGAGATTCTGCAAGCTCAAAAAGACTTCGGGCCATTGGGCGCTGGTGGTGCCATGTTGCTGTTGCGATTGCACAGGGTGCATAGTGGGTGCATGAATCTGGGATGTGCCAATTGGGCAGAGACATCATTGCAGGTTTCGGCGATGACCGGAGGTGCCTTGGCTCCACAAGGCGATGGCCCAAGTCATTTGAAGTTTGATGTTTTGGCAGACCAAGAAAGTAAAGTACATGACATATTTGAGATATGAATGTCGAGCTACAGATTTTGAGGTGCCAGATTCTCTGGTTCCCCTGTCATGTCTCGGGTGTCGCAAGTACTGGGAGAACAGGCTCTGGTAGCTCTGCTGTTCTTGGGCCCTCCACTGGGACTTCTGTTATCGCCTTGATGACGCTGGTCCCCTCGGCCTTTACGACTTGCTTGGTTTCAAGATCAACTCGATCTTGTCCTAATCCTTGCTCATTGCCTCGGGCACGACCATTGACTTCGTCCTTCACTTCCTCGATGCGGCTGCAGCCTGCACACGGGCCAATTGTCGCAATGAAGAGTGCGGGTGTTGGCATCTTTGCTTCTTACGTTACCACATTAGTGGGCATCACGCCCATGGCCTTCGCAAAGCTGAGTTCCATCCACGCGCTCTTCATGTCTTATGACATCAGCCTGAACGTCGGAGTCTTCTTTGGCCTAGTGTTCATCCCTCTGGTCTCTGTGTCTGCGGCGTTGACTGTGGGCCACTGCCGAGAAAGCTCATAAGACAAGGAGCTTTGAAGTGCAAGGCCCCAGCTAACAAAAGTGGAGCCGGAAAGGCTCAGCAGAATCTCGAATAGCATCGATGATGGAAGCAGGAGCACTTTTCCCAGTTCCGGACGTATCACCCCCCCTGATCCACTGTGATCCACGGGAATGGCAAGCATTCCAAGATTCTCCAAGCAGCTTCAGGCATGCAAAAGAGGCGTTACAGACAGTCATGCGAGAACACGCTTTTGCAAATGCAAGGAGGGCATCCTTGCGATAAGCCTGTTGTCTCTACACTTCTACTCGAGACACGCTACTCTCTCTGCACACACGACTCTCTCCACTCTCCACTTTCTCCACACACCCCCCTCTCTCCCTCTCTCTCCCGCTCTCCCCCCCTCTCTCCCTCTCTCTCCCTCTGTCTCCCTCTCTCTCCCTCTCTCTCTCTCTGTCTCTCTGTCTCTCTCTCTCTCTCCCCCTCTCTCTCTCTCTCTCTGTTTCTCCTTCTCTCGCGAAGCGTGTTAATGTAGAGTCACACATCACCTCCGAGCCATGGCCCAAACTTCCTCACAGGGTAGATGAATATGGCTTTCCTGCCCTTTGTCCTCATGCAGTCGTCTGAAAGCAGCAGCCTTGGATGCCTTGCTGGTGTGCACTTGCTCCAAGACGTTCTGTCGCGGCGGCTTTGTTTCTTGCATGGCTTCCTCAAGCCGACGAAGTAGCACCTCGTGCAGAGGCAACTCAAGAATCTAATCAGCCCGTGCTTGCTCCTTGCAGCCTGGTAGCATCACAGCGTGTCTGCGGTGGTTGACTGTTGAGGTTCGGCCTAGTTTCCTTCACAGATCCTTCGCATTGAGGCGGACCCATCGATTTTATCAAGTGAGCTAACTCACGGGGTCGCAGCGCGCAGGCCGCATCACGTAGCAGCCCTGATGAGCCTTCTTGCCGAAGAATTCCCGGAGCCGAAGCATGGCCTGAACCCGTCTGCAAATGTCATCAAATGTCTTTGCGTGCGGCAGACCTCCTCTGAAAGCTTAGTGCAGCGCAGGGGGTTTCCTGGATGCCTCTTCCGTCTTGCAGTGACGCAAGCGCTTTAGCATACCCCGGCATCGTCTCAACCCGTAACTTCAAGCATGGTGTAGGGAGGGTTAAGTTCAATCAGCCTCAGCCTCGCAAGCCGCCTCTGAACACGACCTCCCTGCTTGCTCTTTGAGCTGGAAATCCCCGGAACCACGCCCCGGACTCCACAAGATGCCCAAGATTCCTCGTGGCCACTTCGGACGTTGAAGCGTCTGCGATTGCAGGCTCGTCGATCTCGCTCTTGGCGAATCTCACCTTTCAGGCGGCAACGCACATGCTTCGTTGACCTGCCATGAGGAGACACATAACCATAGCTGCGGCACAGCCCTGTCGTGTGTTCTGCTTCCTTGGCTAGCAAATCAGAGCCCATATACGCCTTGGCGAGAATCTTGAGGCCAATGGCGTGTTGGTCCCTCTTCAAAGGCTGCAGCGATAGGCCAGCTGCAGCCCTAAAACGTCCAGAACACTCCAGGAAGCGGTTTCCATGTTGCGGCCGGGACGCCCGACAGCCTGGACAGGGTCCATTCAGCTGTGGGTTGCGCCATGTTGCGCCTCATCTCAGATTCCAAAAGCTCCGTCAAGGGGCGGCTCGCCTCCTCATTGGGCCACAAGTAACCCTGCATGCACCTCACCGCAGCGAAGCAGAATGCATCCCTGTTCGTGTGTGTCGGAGCTTGCTGTGTACTCTGTTCGACCCAATCATCTTGCCTCCGACTGGATACCTGTCATGCTGCATTCTCGCGCAGAGTGGGAGCATGGAGTACACCATGCTTGCCGCAAATGCTCCAGAATCCCTTTTCGGTGGAACCCTCTTCGTCGAAGGGGTTTTTTGGGGTCAGGGTTGACGAAGTTCAACGAAGAAGCTTTGGAGGCGCAGGGTCGCAAACCCCTCTCTTTCCTTCGAGGTCGCCTCCCTTCGCCGAAGTTCGTTTTGGACTTTTTGGGATTGCAAGGTTCCTCCCCGACCATCTGACAGGGCGCCTTTCGATGGGCCGTTTCTGTTTGCCCAATTTGCCCATTATTACTCCAGACGTCACATTGCTCATCTTCACCAGGTTGTAGAACTGTAACCTGCTGGAGCAGTAGAAAGGATCAAAGGGTGTTGCATGGAGATGGGTGTGCACGCTGCAGTCGCAAGTTGGAGCATGGCCATCAGCTGTGGGTTCAGTAGCTGGTTTAAAGTTATGTGCCAAAACGGGCCTGTGTCAGTTCGATGACACGTCCTGAGCACATCGGCACATCTCAAGCACAATGCGGGTATGTCAGGTATGTCTTACAATGACTGCGGCCAAGCCTTGCAGCCTTACAGGGGCATGCGGCAGCATGTTGCCCGTCCGTGGCATCTGCCAGCTGAAGCATATCTTCATGAGACTCTTCTCCAGCAATACGCGCAAAGGATAGTGTTGTTCTGCGTCTTCTGCTGACTGTTGGTTAACTCGAGACAACTGGCGTCCTGCCTCGTTCACCGCCACTGCCTTAGCTGGCAAAGCTACAACGCCATGCAATCACAGCTTCCTCACTCAGTGGAATCTCCATGATGGGGGGGCCTCGGAAGGGTTGAGTTCCATCAGCCTCGACTGCCAGGGCCAAGCGTAGCGGGCCATCAGCTGGCTGGGGCAGGGCAGTTTGTTTGACGTTCACTGGGTTTGCATAACCTCTTTTGCCATGGCAAGGGGTTCACTCAAAGTTGTGCAATCCCGTTTCCCTCCTTTCCCCTTTGGGGAGCTTCGCGCTTCTACACGCGCCTTCGCGCAACCCTTACCAACACTCAGTTTGCCTCCAGTCAGGCCCCTCCTGAACAAGTCTCGCCAGAGCACATACCGAACTTCCACGCATGATGCTCCATGGTGGCTTCCGCGTCGTCGCCAACGAGTTCAGAAGCTCTATGGAACTTTTAGAGACTACTGTTTGCAGGGTGGCCCCTGTGGAAGAGTCGTTACGCGCAGGGAGCCCATGCGCTCTGCTGACATCTGCCATGCGCCTTTCGGGGCATGGCAAGGATTTAATCCTGTGCGGCCAGAGTTTCGGAGCAACAGTTGCCTGGACCCTCGCGATGCGGCTGGCGACTTGCGGCCTCGAAATCCGCGTCATCGTGAGCATGGACTGCAGGAGCATCAGCATCACCTCGCTCGATGTGGCCTTTGCTATCCCACGGAGCCTTTTGGAATCCCTTGCACCTAAGCATGTGCGGCTGGCCCTGGTTGCCAGATGCCTTTGTGCTGGACGAGGCAGCTTCAGGACACTGACCACTTTGGGACATTCGACGCTGCATCCAGCACTGCATCCGCAGGCGCAGGCGTTGCAAGAAGCGGAAGCCGCGTTCGGGGGGTCGAAGTTATATCTGACTGCAAGATACTGCAAGAACCCAAGAGGACCTGAGAAGTGTTCAGCTTTTGGAGCTCCATCCAAACTCCAGCTTCCATCCGCAACGACATGCTTCCGCATCTGCTTCCAACTTTGGGCTCGGAGGTCAAGGATGCCAACGAGCCATGGCGACCTCACTGCAGACACCACTACCTCTTGTTGAAAATGGATCAGCCTGGGACGGAAGCACCACATCGCATCTCGCAATGCTGCGACCAGGGGAAGTCATGTGGAGTGCGCTGATCTCTCCTGCTTTCCTGTACATGCAGGACGGCATGTTGTAGCCACATCGCCCAGGTGTCGGTATCAGCGAGTCCCACGCAAGAGTTCTGTGTGTTCGCGTGTGCACGTTTGTGTGTGTGTGTGTGTGTGTGTGCGCGTTTGCAGTACAGTATGTTCCGAAGCCGGTTGAAAGCCATGAAAAGCTAAGCTTCAGCTTGGCCTCGAGTCGGATGATGGCCGAAGTGTTCCAGAGTTTCAGTCCCGTTCAACGGCCACCCGTGCCTTCGAATCTGAACACGTTCTCTGGTTGTCAATATGTTGGCCCGTCCCTGTTGCAATCCATATCCATCGCTTGTTGCCGAAGCCTTGGCAACGTGGGTCGTTTTGGGGCAACATGATGTTTCGCTACTGTTGCTATCATTCACAGCCCCAAGCAGACCGGCAGGGCCCTTTTCGAGAGTCCGAGTTCAAAACGTGTTCTCAAGTTCGTGGCCCCGAAACTCAGCATGCTTGAAGTCATGCCGAAGGAGTCCTAATTGAAATGCGTGTTCGGAGGCCAGCCATGCCGACCCTTGTGTAGCGTGAAAGGAGACAGCGCCATACAGCGCCAGTGTTGATGCAGTCGTGCTTGCTTCCATGATCGAGCTGCTGGGTCTCTCACTGCAGACACCACAACCGCTGTTTGAGAAAGGACCAGCCTGCACCATCACAGCGTGCTTTCTTTGAGCCATTCTCTCAGAAGCTCGGCATCCCAAGTGAAACTCACTTGCTTACCTTCCCCTGGGCCATTCCCCACAAGAACCCAACACTTTGTCATTGTTTGTGGCATCTGCAAGGTTGTCAAGCCTTTGCTCCGGCTTTAGGGGAGCGCCGCCCTCGCCCCCTGCGCAAGCCGCATCCCCTCGCAGCCCCATGCTCCGATCGTGGGCCGTCGCACAGCAACCTCTTGAACCATGAGCTTGCCCGATCAGGTGTACGCTTGATGCAGTGCTCCTGGCAGTCACGTCTGAGCCCATGCCATCGCACGGAATCGCACGTTGCAATGCTGCGACCAGGGGAGGGCTTTGCATCGTTGTGGTTTGCAATTCTCTGGGTCACAGATGGCCTCGAGGCCTTACTGTACCTGGTTGATGTTTCGAATAAAAGGTACGCGTGGGGGGCCTTTTCCAATTGACCCATGTCCTTCCGAAGTAATCCTAGTGAAAATGAGCGTTCGGCGGCCAACGAGCCATGCCGACCTCGTGTATTGTGAACGAATGACAACGAATGGGAAGTGCCAGCAAGTGTTGCTTCCATTCTGGTGGACTGCCTCAGGCCATCTCAGGCCCCTCTGCCGGCTCTTGCACAGGCACCGTAGCTGCTTTGAATATGTGTCGGCTGCAAGTGCCATCACACCGTCCTTCCCGACTGGTGACAGAATCCTAATTGAACATTGCGTATATGGGTACGTTTTGCGAATTCTGTGTCGGCGCTCGACACACCAATGACCTCCAGACGAAGACACGTGAAGAAGCCGCGGATCCGAGACTTGCGGAAAGATGCTGCAATAGGCTGCTTGCTTCGTTCATGAGAGGGGCAGTGCAAACCAACGTTCCCATATTCACAGATGCTGAAGAGTCGCGAGCCTCTGGCCATTGCGATGATGTTTCACCGCATTTAATGGAGACGCGTGGAATCGAAGAGTCGAAAAGATGGGACGTTTGCCCGATCCTTGAGAAGGCTGACTGGCGCCAGCAGCGATTGGTCAAGCAAAGTGTCAGATCTAGGAATGTATGCAAGCCGAGACAAGTGATGGCAGATGCCCTGCTCCATAGGCGGCCGCAGGTTTGGATTGCCATGGATTGCAATCGTAAGATTCCATATCGTCAAAGTTGTAACCCCCTTCAGGTCCTGCAGCTTTTGCTGGTTTAAGCGTTTGATGGGCTTCCGCACTCGACACTTCAACGTGACGATGTGACATGGTGAAAACGAACTGCCTGGACATCCTCGACTCCAAAATCAAGAGCCGGCCGCTATGGCATCACTGCACCAGAGATTAAGCCATGTCCGTCCTTTTCCACCTGGTAGCACACGCACTGACGTGACAGGAAAGAGTCGGAAAGAGACAGTAAACTTTGAACTCAGCCAAAAAATGGGCATGGTCTTTCTCATCAAGCTGTATCCCTACTCACGGTCTCAGTGCACGCCGCCCTTCATTATATCGCAATGCAGACGAGTCAAAGTGACGCGCTGCTGAAATGCCGGGTTCTTACATGTTGAGCGGTGTGACGGTTTTTCCGTACTGCAGCATTCGAGGGGGTTTGCTCGTGTTGGGCAGAGAAAAGAACACGCCGTAGGCGCTGTGCTGTCCCCGAGATGTTTTTCCCTAGGTCTCCCAAACAGTCGGGCGCTGCTCGATTTCCCTGACCTGAGCTGATCCTGTGTGTTCCCGTGTGTCAAAAGCGTTCTTCTTAGCCAGGATGCGATGGCGATTGCTGCCACCCCTGTAAACTACCCGCGTGGCGAGCCGCCGGATCCTCAAGCTTCCAAGTTCACATGGCACCAGAAAAGGATTTGCTATTCAAGGCTTCTTTCTTCCCAACAATTAGCCATGTTGTGCTGTGCCGACTGGGAGTAACTGATATGCGTGCAAAAAGTCATGTGCCCAAAGAGGCTCCAAGCCAACCAGGATCTTTAGACATCTCCCTGAGGCCGTCGCGATGTGCAGAGCAGCGTCCCGAGATGTCCCGAGCATGAGCTGCCTCTATCAAGAAGGTTGCCAATCCACCGCCGTTTTTTGAACCGTCATCTTGGTTGATGTCCTCAGTATTCTGTAGCGCAACCTCTTGACTTTTCACATTGATCTTGATGCATCAAACAATTCTACTGAAGTTGGCACCTATCCTTGATGCATCTTGCCGCCCTCAGGTGTGGGAATGTTCTTGTGGACGCTCTGGTCCTCTCTTGCGGTCAGGAGCTTAGCTGGACATGCCTTGACTATTAGATTACTAGCTAGAGTAGTCTTTTAGTGACCCCTTTGTTCTGGGGCTCGGCTATTCTGCGCGCGAGGCCACGACCTGTGCCTCGCGTGCGCGGCCAGCGCTCTGCGCCAGACTCGCTCGCTGAGCGGCCGGACGGAGCCCGCCTCGGCCGTGTGGCGATTTGCCAGATTTTGCCAGGGTCGTCGCTTTGGCGGGGTTCGGCGCACTCGCAATTGTACGTTTTTCTAGAATCTGGAAAGACGCTCGGTTCATATGGCACGTCAGCATCATGAAGCTATCCAACTGTCAGGTGCGATGCCTGCTCTGTCCTAGCATCACGGAGCTGTGCGAGGAAGCAGCCGGTCTCTCAGGGACATCGCCTTGCTCGTGCCGCAGATGCCGCAGATTGCCGCAGATTGCAGCACTGAATGAGGGCCAAAGGCAACATCCCAACCTTGTCAGGGACTCGCACACTTGCATATTCCCAGGCTGCAACCCTGACCGCGGAGCAGAAACTTGAGCAGCTGGGCATATCGGAAGCGGTTTTGAGGGACATTGGGGGTGAGGTTGTGACTGGCTTAGGGAGAACGGGTGTCCTGGTACAGAGGATGGTAGAGCTAGCGAACTGGGACCACTTTCCTGAGGTCTCGAGAGGCCTCGACAAGGATATGTGCAATACGCGGGCATACGTTGCACCCTTTAATTTGCACAAGGAAAAAGATGTGGAAATTATTGAATCATAGCTCACGGGGGCACAACACTATTATCTTATAGCTTCCGGAATAATACTATTTGGCTTGTACATTAAATCCCGCACTTCGTTCATAACTTCGCTTATTCTCGCGGGCAATGATCCTTGCAAAGCTACGCTCATTCTATTCACTTCGTTGTTCATTCACGCCCTTTATCTTTTTGTTTTATAGGGGCGTGCTGTTGTGCTTCAAGAAAGGCAAGGTGGCTTTCAGCCGCAGCTGCTCCCACAGCCGCAGGCCGTGCACAAGGAGAGAGACAGAGAGGCGGAGCGAGACGGAGAGAGGGAGAGAGGGAGAGAGGGAGAGAGGGAGAGAAGGAGAGAGGGAGAGGAGAGAGGGAGAGAGGAGAGAGAGAGGGAGAGAGGGGGAGAGAGGGAGAGAGGGAGAGAGGGGAGAGTGGGAGAGAGGGAGAGAGGGAGAGAGGGAGAGAGGGAGAGAGGGAGAGAGGGAGAGTGAGGGAGGGAGAGGGGGAGAGAGGGAGAGAGGGAGAGAGGGAGAGAGGGAGAGAGGAGAGAGGGAGAGAGGGAGAGAGGGAGAGAGGAGAGAGAGGAGGAGAGAGGGGAGAGAGGGAGAGAGGGAGAGAGGGAGAGTGGGAGAGAGGGAGAGAGGGAGAGAGGGAGAGAGGGAGAGAGATCTTTCGAGACAGGCCTGCTCCGCGTGGATACCACCTCCAGGTCCTTGGGATTCGTTGGGGATTGTGTGGGATTCTGGGCTTCGGGACAAACCTCGGTCGTAGGGAGTTGAAAGCCAACGCTTCGACTGGCATCCGAAGGTGCCCGTACCGGCACGGCGCTCTACCCGCCCCGAATCCCCAACGAACGCTGGGGCCTCAGTTTGCAGCGCTGTCAAATGCACCGTAGCTGTCTTACGCTCCCGTGCTTTAGACGGATTTCCTTTTTGCAGACGTTGCAAATCTACCACGTGTTTCAACATGCTGACACTTCGCCAGAATCACACTTGCTTCATCTTACTTCAATGCGGTCATGGGATTCATCATGGGATGTGTGGTTGTGCCCTTTTTTGTGCCTTCAGGCGCAGTGCGTGGGTTGCGGGAGGCCGAGAGCCCTCACAGCCAGGACAGCTGATCTTTCCAAACTTATCATGCGAGCATTGTGATTGCAAGGGGGGGGGGGGGGGCGGGCGTGGCCCTGCGCTTTTCATCCGGCAGAATGCCCCCTGCCAGTTTAAGCCGAGAGTTGCTGCAAATATCCTATGAATCCCCACTACGTCATTGGAAAAACGATTCTGTTCTTGATCCTTTGCTCCTCAGAATCGCAAAGCTCTTTGATACTCAGTCGGCTGGCCTCGGATTTCTTGTGAAGTTGGACCCAGTCATATACTCAAACAAGATGACATCGAAAGCCTTCGCAACAAGACTTGAGAAAGCGTCACAACAGCCCGAGCCCGACCGCAGCGCATCAAGGCAACGATGTGCCCCATGTTCCCAGACTTGAATCATGCTCCAGCGGCTACATGTGGTTGCCCTTCCTTGACTCGTTAAATAGAAGGGCTCTGCTCCAAGTGGAGCCGTGAAGCCCCCGAAGTGCAGGACGGCTCCGTGCCGCGGGCTGCGCTTGCAACGCCGCTCACAGCTGTCAATGCCCTGCGACCCCAGGACGGAGGGTCCCTAAACCCTTAACTCATGAAGGGCCGTTCTGACTACCGCGTTCTCTGATTTATAAAGACTTTGGGACGTTCACATGGGTGATTCGCAACCTTGATGCCGAGCCTTTCAACTTGACGACTTGCTAAGTGGCGCGGTGTGAGCCTTGAGCTGGGTTTTTTTGGGACGGGGTGGGATGGGTGGGGGGGGGGGGGGGGGGTGGTGATATCTTGCAATTTTTTTGTGTGAGCGGGGTCACAGAGGATCAACAAGAGGTGTTGTGCTTGCCAGGGCCTCATGGCCACTCGAGGCATCGACGTCCTCCGTCAGCCCAGTCCAGTGGCAAAGAACCCCGCCTGGGCCGCAGCTGCAGCTTGTCAGGTCCAAGAGGTCAGGGAGTCGGAAGGAGATAGAAGGAGCTTCGAGTTCAAAACTGCGTAGAGAGTCACCTGTGCAAGCTGAAGGCATTTGCTTGGCTTTCACACGAAGCTAAGGGAACCAGTGGTTGTGGAGGAGCCAAGCCGCCCGTCAGGACGAACGGTGCACATCTACAGGCCCAGAAGTTGCCTGAAACATGTCAAATGCGATGCTGTCAATTCGCCCGAACATGTTGTAGTACACCCGACTTTCAAATCAAAGGTGCTGTAATAGCTCGAAATCACGTTCTTGAGTTTCATGGAGCAGCGGCTCCTGACAGTGAGACTGGTATGGGAGGTGTCCAGAGCACCCGGAAGAGCCAGCAACATACTTCTGCCAGAGCCTAAGAAACCGCTTCGCGGCCCTGCATGGCAGAGGCTCCTTGGTGTCTCGAAGCTAAGCGAATTTCCACCCGAAGCGGACTTTCTGTGGTGGCTCGATGGCTTGTGCGTTCGGCCTGCAGCCCAAAACGGACTTTCGTGCCCGTGCCCTCGTTCTTGCCGAGGAGCCCAATTTTTAGTGCGTGTAATCTCACTTCCCCGTTGAGAAGTTTCCCAGGTTCAGGACATTGGGGGGGGTGCAAGGTGCAGGGGATAAACTGCCCTATGGGATCTTCTGATGCCCGCGGCTGAGGCCGCGAGTCTAGCAGTGACACTTGAAGTCCGTACAGAACTGTTCTGAAGCTGAAGCGGCAGCTGATTTGTAGCGATGTGAGCATGTGTTTTTTCTTCAACGTCTGTAAGGTGCAACGTGCGAGTGCCCTTGCATTTGTGCAGCTTCTTGACTGCACTGGCCCTTCCGGTGGACCGCTGACATCAGCTGACTCCGGACTCTTAGATACCGAACTGGCTGGGCGTAACAGAGTAAAGTCAGCCTGCAGGCGGTAAAAGGAAACCAGAGAGGGGTGTAACGACAACTGCTCGTAACTGCCAAGAGGTGGGGGGGGTTTTAGGGTTTAGCGTTCAGAGGTTAGGGTTTCGGGTTTCGGGTTTCGGGTTTAGGGTTAAGACGTAACGCTAACCACTTAACCGTACACTTGGATGCCGAACCCGAACCCCGTTACGGTGGGGTATCTGGTTTCTATTGCACGCCTGCTGGTTGTTGTTACAGTTGTGCTTCTTCTCCTGTTCCACGGTTTCTGTTACGATCCTGGGCGGTTCCCGCTACGGCCCGCGCCCAGATACTCGATGACTAGAGATGAGCGCGTGTGCATGATCTGCGATTGGCGCATGTTGAATCCTTTCCTTTCCAAGCTCGATGGCCACAGCAGTCACCGCAGTCTTTACAGTCGTTGCAGCTGCCCATCTCCAGGAATGTGTGATTCAAAAGAATGGCCGGCACCGCGATCATGAGGTACGGCGAGTGTTCCCGCATGTAGGCATGTGACTGAGCTCCGGCAGTCAGTAGAACCGTCTTGCCAGATCATCCCAGATGACAAGTCCTTTTCGGCAGGTCTTGCGCGTGGGGCGAGCGCATGAGGCACAGTTCCCAGGACGAGCAGTGACACGCATGCAAGCACATGCAAGAATAGGTCCTGGGTTTGCAATCATCAAAGGGGTTAGGGAGGGAATGGGAGGATATGAATCGGATTTGACATGGTATGAATCGGATGAATTTCTGGTGCGAATGCGGGATGTATAGCAAAGCCACGACGGCACGGGGTAGCTTTCTGCAGTTTCTCCCAGAGTCCCACCAGAGTCCCAGAGTAACTCCCAGGTTCTGAAGTCCAGAGCCGGGGCGCTGCTTGATGAGGCGATCGCTCTCGAGGCCCCGTGAGATGTGCCAGGAATCTCCCTTGCCTCAACTGGTGGATACATTCGGATACTGACTTCCACATGTTCCACGAAGTGTCTGAGGATGATTTCTCCATGGTCGGAGACCGGCTCGCTTGGCGAAGAAAGGCCATCGGAAAAAGTACTAGCTTGGCTGTCTTGGTATGCCTCTGTACTGGGAGAAAAAGGGACAAGGCCTTCTTGTGAAGTGCTAGAGTGGGAAGAATTGCACAATCCGCAGAACAACGCTGGACTTGCCTCTGTCTTGTGAATGAAGACAACCTGCAACTTATAGTCTTTCCGAAAATCGCACCATCATGGCAGTTCATCCCAAATTCACAAGATTTCACAAGCCCGGTTTTTCTAGACGTGATGCTGCATCAACTCTCTTGCCCCATCCCACGCCTACACAAGCAAGATATGAAGCAACCCCGCATCCCTGAAGGACATCGAGCGCGCCGCAGCGCGTGGACGCGCGAGTGTGCGCAGTGCCTTTGCTCGAGCCCGGCACTTGAAAGGTGGGCTCAGAGTGGCTAAAGCTTCTGGTAAACAGTTTTTGATTGTCCGGCTTCTGGGCTTCCGGATATTTGTATCTTTGCCTTGGGGGTCGGGCGAGTCATGATCATGCGGGATTCTTATTTGCACCTCCTGTCGCTGCAGCGTTGTCGTACTCGAATCAAGATCTTCTGAAATATACGCTGGCGAACAAGACATACGCCACTAACGGCTTTCAAGCGTGCGCGGCTTTCGAAGAGCGCAAGCGACAACGCTTCCTCTGCAACACCACTCCCTGGGTCCGGGTCCATCAAGCTCCTCTTGGCTACGGCTCATCAACAAGCATGGTGCTGGAGTTCTCGCGGGGACGCCGAAGACCCCTGCAAGTGTCAGGGGGTCGCCCTATGGCCGCGTTGCGGATGTCGGGGTGGACGCATCCTCCATCGCCAGTTTTCGAACATAGGACTCTCAGCAAGGTCAGGCAGGACACGGGGGTATAGCTGTGCCGCGTTCGGGCGTCTTCACCAGTAACGTCGACCAATCATATCACTCAAGTCGAAGTCTGAAGCGTCTGAAGCGAGGTCCGAGCTCAGTTAAACGAAAGAGAAGCCGAACTCTTGGAGCCGCCTGCTCGGTGCGAAGCCTCGAGTTGTGAGAGTTTTTTTTTCTGATTCTCACATTTCATTCTCTCAACCTGTCTCTCGCTCGCTCTCTCTCTCTCTCTCTCTCTGTCTGTGTCCGTCTACAATGCTTGAGCTTTGTAGCGTTGACAAGGCTTGGAGGGTGTCCAGAGCGTGAGGGTGGGTGGTCAAGACGTGCCGCTTGCGGCGACTTAAGCCTTCACACCTTTTCTGAGGTCTCTGGATGCCTACGAGAGCGGCTCCCTTTCAAGCCTTGACACGGGACACTCATAGCTTCATATTTGGCTTTCACGGAGTGAAGTGAAAGCTACGAGCAGACCTTTTCATCAACGGGGTACTGTAGCACTGCCCTGTCACTTTAGACCTTAGAGTGTTCAGTGCACCGCATCCGTACTTCTTCTCAACAGGACACGCCGAATATGGCAGTCGGCTGAGTGAGCTTCGGAAGCTCCAGGCCCTTGCTATCCCTTGCTCAGCCTGCCGATGTTTCTGTGTTTCGCTCTTGACGCCGCGTCTGTACACATGCAGTCCGCTTTTGAGGAGAATCTCCGATCCCGCTGCCGCAACGATGGCGATGCTGTAGAGGCTGTCCCTTTAGGCGTTTTGTTGCTACCCAGTTTGTAGACTGAGAAAACTGCTTCTTCAAGTGTGAGAAGAGGCAGGCCAGGCAGATTTGACCGATCAGCGATGCTATGTAACTCATTTGGTATCAGCCCCCAAACAGGTTCATCTGGCAGTTCCTACATAGTTTAAAGAAAGGGTTTCCGTGACACACTTTTTATTTTTCTGAGAGAGCCTTGTCTCGACGCTGGATGCTCCGGCGTGTCTGAGACTTCTCTTTCACCTGCCTCCCATTTGTCTGCGTTTTAGTTTCCTACAGCCTATGAGATAGTAGACCCTGGATGCTGTTTCGCCCGTCTGGGATTGGTGTTTTTGTCGGCCTGTTATCCGAAGGATGAGAAGAAGTGGTCCTCAATGGCTGCTTCGGGCCAAGGCGAAACCAAAAGAGTCACAACAAGAGTCAAAACAGAGTCAACAAAAGAGGCAAAAAAAGAACCGAGCGATCTTCAGTGAATTTGATTGAACCAACCGCCCAGAGAGAGGCCTTCGAATAGCAGCGTTGACTTCGCGCCTTGCGCTTGTGCCGGGCTTTCTTGAGCCTCGCGGAGTCCCTGAGGCACTGAATACCTTCTCCGCTGCGAAGGCTGCAATCACAAGCCTGAGGGAGGCTTTTCGCCAGGTGCCGGGAGCTTGTGTCCTAAAGAGATCCACAGAGAAGGGAAAGGGGCTGCCACAGTTCAGCTTCGCAGTGCCCCCACGAAGCAAGCCAAGCAAGCTTCCGACAAAGACCGAAAACCATTGGAACACCTGCAAGGAGGAATACAACGCTGCATCTCCGCCAGACGAGTTTGTGGGGCTGGCGGGCAGGCGTGTGTATGAATCATATGCCATGCGAATCGGTGCACACCATAAGCCAAGACATTGCAGCTCTGCGTTGTCTTTCACTTCAAAGAAAGCCCATCACAGCCCTCTGCACTCCGTGGCCCTGCAACCATGAGAAGCCTGTAGTAGTGCTAAACCCGTCCAGTGCCCGGGCTGAGCTGGATCTCCATGCGGAGGGCCTCGCAAGCCTTGAAGAGGCCGATTCGCAAGAACAAACCATGCTTGTCGGTCAGTATGCGTGGGTTAGTTGCTTTAGTTCGCTCATGATGTTTAGGGTAATTTTCCGAACACGCGTAGAGGTTCGTAGGAGAGTCTTTCCGATTCAGAGCCGATCGCTGTTAGCTGTGATCCTCGAAGCAGTCGTGGTTGGGAAACATCGCTGTCTGCAACACCTGTCTCAGGGATCGTGCCTGTCGTGGGCTTTCCAGGAGCTTGTGTGACGGATGCTACAGTTTAGAGGTCGATGGTTTCGGACTTGGTTACGCATAAGTCAATGTCTGCAAACATGAGTTGACAGAGCGAGAAGCCTCTGAGCCCATGAAACATACCCCCTACTTTTTTTTTTTTTAACCTTAAACCGTGCTTTGTGCAGAAGATCATGCCATGAAGAGGACTTGCATTTCAACATGTACGAATCCTTTCCAAACCTGGGGTTTCACAGAGAAATTCTTGCAGTGAATTTGGCACGGCTGACCGTGCCGATCGTTTCTACCTGTGGGAGCTTGTAAATGAACCCCAGCACTGACCATGACTGGCTCACGCCGGCGCTCAGCCTGTAGACTTGAAACTGCGAGCCTTCTTACCAGCACCTGGCCATCCGGCATGCCCGAGCAACTTGCGTGCCTGGTCAGCATGGGAAGTGTGTTGCCAAACTGCAGTTAATCGCAGCCATGCGGCCAGTTGTTGAGGGTCATCTTAATGTTTTCCCGAGGTACCGCATGACCTTCATCTCCGTCCAGGATGCTCACTGCCTCCCGGAATTGCATCTTGAAGAAGGGAGAGTTGCGTAAAGACTCACTGACAGGACGATGACAAGGCCGATGGCGCAGGCCGCCGCACTCGAAGTGTGCCTTCGCGGCTGGAGTTCGATGAAGTGCCTTGGAGAGCTTTAAGCGCACGGCGTTGAAGAGCACGGCTTTTAAGACAGCGCTTTTAGGAGCACCGTAGATGCTGTCGCACGGGCCAAGGAGGAAGGGGCTGAGTCCCGCTATGTGCGCAACCTCCCACACAGGCGCGCCGCATCCTTCCCATCCGTAAATGATTTGGTGAGGGAGCCCTCGGAGAAGCGACCTGGTACGAACGACATGACCGATATGACCGACATGAGTGGCAAGAACAACATGAACGGCATCGGCCTGAACGATGGCAGTCTGGCTCACCCTGAGGCGAGCACCCTGCAAATCTAACCGATATTGGGTTACCCATGGTTACCCATAGTCTGCCCCCGCACGGTGTGCACAGTGTGGGTGTCTTGGTTGGGCCGGCGATTTACATATTTGAAGCCAGAAAGAGGTGTGCAAGCGGCCCTGCGTGCGCTTCCTGCACGGCAACTGCGAGTATGGCGCAGCGTGCGGCTTTTGTCACTTGGAACATGCCAGGCCCTGCGTTGAGGGGCTCCCCTTCATCCCCTTCACTCTCTCTGTCTTCCTCTGCTCTTAGGCAAATTTGCATTCTCGCAATCTCGCGAGGGCCAAGGGCAAGCTGGACAAGCGACAGCGCCAGTGCTTCGACAGCCTCAGCGAGCAGCAGGCCCTGCGAACCCTGATGCAACGAATGCAACGAGCACAGGAACAAAACAGAAAGATAATGGAAGATAGTGAAGGTACTGGCTCTTCTGCTTCCCTACATCACCTCACGCTCTGAGGACCAGGCGTGTGGGGGGGTGGCAGGCAGCCAAATGCAGCCAAAAAGCCAAATGCAGAGCATCATGCAGCATCTGGACCCTGTGCAGGGCATCGCCGAGCCGATGCGAGAGGTGGTGGCCCTGCTCCGCGAGAAGTTGTCGAAGGGCCCTGCAGAGTCCGTGCCGCGCAGCAAGAGTAACTTCCTTCGCATCATCTTGAAAAGGCAGTGACATACAGTGCAATCACTGGCTTTGATCACTAGGTCTGGAGATGTCTAGAGTTTAGGCCTGAGATCCACTCACCCCTGCCAGGCTCACGGTGGCCCGTCTGGTCGAGCTTCTGGGGCCGAGTCTGCAGGTGCTGGGCTCTGCCTGCAATCCCTAGCATGCCACAGCACATAGTGACAGGGTGACTTGAGCATGAGTTCTCACCGGTGTTTCATCTGTCTTCAATGTTTCATTCGTGGGTGCGCGTGCGACAGCAGCGCCAGGCAGATGCAGATTTCGTGCAGCAATTCGAAGAGGCGCTGGCACGTGCACGCGTTGCCGTGAATGCTGTGGCTTCGGGTTGAGTGCACGGTGAGAGGTCAGGGGGTGAGGATGTGGCCGTACAAGTATCGTGCATAGAAGGGCTGAATGGGCCAACTGCAAAAGTACTATAGAGAGTGTGGAGAACCATCCCCTCGGCGCAGAGTCGTAGAATGACGGGGCGATCAGCAAGGTAAGGCAAGTACAGGACCGCTGGCACTAAATAGGCGGTCTCGCCGAACTTGATGCCCCGCTCGAAATAAACTTTTACATGTTTCGTTTCTGATGACACGGCTGAGGAAATCCAAGCAAAAGGCACCGGGCTGTGCTTGAAGCACAGGGCGTTTTCCAATTCAGGGGGCACTGCGAGGTCCACCGCAACCTTTCCTGTTGCCTGCTTGGTTTCCCACCGCGAAATTCGCGAGACCTGGTCTCCGCGCTGCTGAGTATTGCCGACCGAACACGAGGTAACCATCAAGGACAAAGTGTAGCGTTCCATCAAGGTCCACATTGATCTCTATATTGCTTTATGTTAGGACAGCTGTGCATGTCAAGTGGAGCCAGTCCTTTTGCGGCATCTTGGCACATGAAGAGCAAGCACACAGCCGCAGCCAGCTGTACTCTGGTATGGAGCGTGTGTGTCTGGTCAAAAGTAAACTGGCCAGTTTCTTAGTTTGCAGTCTTCCAGACATCTTTGAGGCAGAACAAGTCCTCCCTAGATGTGGGATAGCAAGCCCTTTGAATCCTCGCGTCAACATATGTTAACGACGAGGTGTTTTGAGGCAGCAGGAACTGACAGGAGGCTTCTTGCTGGCTGCAAGAGCGTTTCGGTGGATGTTTCCTGTCAGTCCGAAGATGCCTAGCCGGGCCTAGCCCAGCTGCAGTCAGGATTGGAGATTCTGGCTGTGGCAATAAAGATACTTTCGACTCAGGACACCAAGCACTTGTGAAAGAAAGGCCTCGGCAAAAGCTCGCAGTGTTCTCAGAACACCAGAAGGGATGTATCTTGCTGACCTGCCTTTTTATCTACAGGGTTCTGCTTGTACGGGTCGTCTGCCCTTGATGTTGGTGCTTGCAGACTTGACGTTGAGTTTTGCACCGCACAGAATCCGTGTGCACGTTGCAGGAGTGGCTGGAGTGCTCTTGAATCTGGGAGTACAATCTCACGTGCCACTCCAGAGCGCCAGGCTGTGGCGAGTCTCTGTGAACGTGGGGTGGATCTGCCAAACAAGGCCCTCAGATGGGGCTCGCTGTTGCTGTTGGAGTTCTGAGATGTGCCGGTTCATCACAACCCTAGATGCTCCATCATTGCTGCTACATCCAAAGTCTTCAGGTTCGCGCAACGATCTTTAGTCCCGTCTTTAGAGATGACTTGGATCGTTGCAAGTGGTGAGATCAGATACTGCTTCCATGACCAGGGATGTAACCTAGTCACTAGTCTCTGAGGAGAAGAATGTTCATGAAGTGTTGCATACCTGCCAAGCGCAGCATGACGGCGACCGAACTGCAAGAACGTTTGGGAGCTCACCACATGGTTGGCACGGAGACGTTCCCCTGCCAGGCGTCTGCAACTGCTCCGGCCGTGAGGCGATTGGGGAGGGGAGTCGCAGTAAGGTCCGCATGCATAAGGGCCAAGGTCCTTTCTGTCTCTCTTCATCTCTCGCAGTCTGTGTCTCGCTCATTTCTTAGAAGAAGAGGTCCCAACTCGGGTCATGGAAGTCCAACGTTTGCAGGCCGCTTCCGGGCACCGTGCAACCACAGTTCTCCTTGCAGTCGCTCGGGCCGCACCGAGGAGAGCAAATGGTCCGGCAACCGCTAGGGTTTCAAGATGTTTCAAGGTCCTTGTACACCCCATCCAAACCTTGCCCTGAAGGCAACCCTTCACTGAACAATCCAAACTTGAGCTCCTAGCTCGGGCCCCCCTGAGCCTGTAAACTACAAGAAAAAAGAGAGCGAGAGGCAGAGAGAGCGCGTGAGAGAGAAAGAGTGAGAAAGAGAGCGAGAAAGAGAGTGAGAAAGATTAGGAGAGCGAGAAAGAGAGCGAGAAAGTGAGTAAGAATGAGCGAGAGAGCGAGATACCTTAGTTCGTGTAGGCGCTGTGTGGAAGAATTAGAAGCAGATGTTAGTTGCTAGGCCGAAGCCAGATAGAAGACCCAAGCCCCGGTTCGCGGAGGCCTCGATCTGGAAGTGTCGGATACCCATCGACCGTGAGACAGGGATGAATATGCATCTTTCACAGATGGCATCTGTTCCGCAAGCTCTTGAAGGCTGTCTTAGCATTGTTGCCTGTACTCGTGCTTGTTCGAGATGTGAGAGGCTTTTCAATGACTCTGCAATACCTCTCAGCGGGAATTTCCGCGTTGACTCTGCTTGATGCCATTTGCAGCTGAAATTCACTTGAGCACAATTCGTTTCCGTTTGGTGCGCATGTGCAGGCTTCCGCTCAATTGGCTCAATCCTTCGGAACTAAGAGGAACAAGGGGAACCAACAAAATGGGAATACAACCGGCAGGGTCCAAAGAAGAGAGATGTCACCACACACGCAGGCACGCAGGCACGCAGGCACGAAGGCACAGGGACGCAGGCACGCAGGCAGGCAGGCAGGCAGGCGGGCAAGCACGCAGGCACGCAGGCACACAGGCACGCAGGGCACGCAGGGCACGCAGGCACGCAGGCACGCAGGCACGGAGGCACGCAGACAGGCATGCCCGCACGCGCAACCACACACGCATACACAGAGGTATGGATAGTATCAACGAATTGTTGCAGGTTGGGTGTTGAGGGTTCCGAGTGGGCGCGCTCCTGGACCGGATGCTGCTCCGCTCATGCCTTTGCCCGACGCAGAGCTTCTATGCCTCTGCGTTGCTGCTGAAATCTCTGGTTTGCGTTGGTCATTTTCGGATCTCACCCCGCGGACAACCCTGTTGCTTCAGTTGCATGCAGCTATTCGGTAGGCACTGGGCCGAGCCCACGTCAATGTTGAGGTAGCTTTCTGAGCATCCGACAAGCAAAGGATTCTGGGATGCATCTCTGAATCCAACATCATTTTCAAGGTCTTGTGCCATTATCCCAGAACCCTTTGAGGCAAACTTCGGAAAATTGAAAAGTTGATGACTCGGCACGCTTGGACTTAGGCCTCGGGTCCTCATGATCGCTGCAGTTCCATCCGAATTGCTGCAGCTACGTGAAGTTCTCAAGTGAAGAGCAGAGACCTTGCCCCAAGAAATGAGCGAACATGAAGCCGCCACGACGCTGGCCTTGACTCTTGGGCCATAAAGCAAACACTTGTTGAATGAACCGACCTGTTAGTGTGGGTCTCTGGCAGCCTGGCCTTGCCAGGAGGGGCATTTCCAAGATGTACACGGTCAGAATGGTGCAATACTTCCTGGATGCCGCATGTGGAGACTTTGACCAGAAGCGATACAATTTTCTGTATTTGCCGCGTCGTGGACACTCTCATGCCGGCCTTGCCATAGTCAACTTCATCGACTCGCACAGCTGTGCGGTGTGCAAATCCCGCCTTCGCGTGCTGCAAAGCGCGATGAGTTGCATCAAATCTGTTGGCTTCTCCTACATCCAGGGCTTTGTGCCGTTCGGCCCTTAGCCCCAGTAGCCATTGCTGTGAAATTCCGCGATGTCCTGTGCTCGGTAGACCAGCAAGCAGATTCGGATCGTTTACCAGTAGCAGTAGCTCAAAATAGATCCATGAGAGAGGAGTTGAGGCCTTGACCCGACTAGCCACAGGAACTCCAAGTTTGTTGTCAAACGGAGCTCACCCGAGGGCACCCATTGTTCTTATTACGTCCCCAAGGGCTTGCAGATACTTCCCATCCCCGCCCAGGAACCTGGCATACTATGCAGCGCTTGTGAGCGAAGATGCCCGTGATGCCAGCCACGTGCTTGTGCTGGTGTTGGGCTTAGTGGCTCAGTGTAGTGCTACAGCATGCTTCAGTGGGGACCAGCTGGATTTTACTTCGGTAAACGCTACGGATGACTTGGATCTGTCGACGCGCTGATGCTACTGAGGAGAACGGACAGCCTGCGGACATCAACAGGATGATCCGGCTGTATGTCACCCCGGCAATGATGCAGTGGGCGATGCGGCGGCTTGCATGTGTTCTTCCATGTGTGGTTTCTTTCTCTGGATCAGCCTTCTTTTGCCAAGTCCCAAACCTAACAAACGCCGTAGCTGAACCAAAGCATCTGAGGCAGGCTGAGGCGGGTGGGGTTCAGAGCAGGGCGCTTCGAGAGGGCTTGCAGGTTGCCCAGCATGTGGAATATGTTGGTTATGAGGGTTTGCGGGTCAAGGTGATGATTCGGTGATGAAGTGAGTGGGATTCGTGATATGAGTGTGTGCAGTACAGGAACGTCCGTCGTTTGTACGTATTCAGCAGCGAGCTGCTATCTTGTTCAGGGGAAATCCTCGACCCAACCTTTCAGCTCTTAACTCCCGAGCCGCTCAAGCCGCTCAAGCCTTCGCCGGTAGAGGCTCTGTACCGAAGCGCGGACAAGGGTACGGACCAGGCCTGGTGGATTGTCATCTCGAGCAACGCAAGCCCCCCGCCACTTCAGCAGCACAACGAGCATCCTGCCACCTGGCCCTGCGTTGATGCGGAGTGCCCTCTGGCAGGACTTGAGAACACACGGCGAAGCCTCCGAGGAGCCTGCAACTGTGCTGAAGTTCGCTATTGAATATACTGAATCAATGGCAGTAGGTCTGGCTTTTGGATCATTGGGACACTCTTTGCTTGCTAAGTGGTTAGACCCTGAAGTTCAGTTGCATAGCGAATCTTGATGTTCCAGATGAACTTCGACGAAGCTGACAACTGGCCCCGACTAGTTACGTTGCAAGTATCACAGCATCAGCCTGCTTTGCGGCCTTCTTCTGTTTGCACCACACGTTGTTGTTTAAGGCTGGACCACGCAGTGCAACGAGCGCTGGGACGGCACTCACATGCGGAGGCGCAGTATTGGGATGAGCGTAGTGAAATTGGATTATTGCTTGTGCTTGTGCAGCTTGCGCAGCTTGCGCAGCTTGCGCAGCTTGCGCAGCTTGCGCAGCTTGCGCAGAACATGTGTGCCTTTCATGATTCAGAGTGTATCTACCATAGCTGCGAAGCCATCGAAGCCAAAATGCCACAAGCCAGACTGTAATAGCAGTTTTGCACTATGTTTTGGCGGGTGCCAGGGGTTCATGTAGGGCGCTTGCTTCTGAGCCTTGCAACAGAGGGCTTCTTGAATCAGCAGTTCAGACACGCACTTGCACAAGGTCTTCCACGTGCACGACTCGCATCTGATGAGGAGGCTGAACAGATCCGCCGCTACTTCCGTGTACAAACGGCCGACTTCCTCATTTTTTCATTGTAGTTTGCGAGTGCCGAGCCAGTACCTTCACGAACTCAGGGGTTGTAATGCCCGCCACTTCGCTTTTCATGTAATGAAGAACAGGAGATCAACACAAAACCATGCCATGAGAATACAAGGAGATGAGACTGATGAGGCGAGACTGCGGGAAATTGGATCCTTTTTCAACCCTTCTGAATTGTGAAGTGCGGCTTCACCTCAAGACATGCGGCATGCTGAGGGATGCGCGGTTGTCACATTTTCCAAGCAACGCCGGAACATACCGCTTGCTGTGCTTTGCGGTTCGTTTTGGCTCGCTTCTATTCGTCAACTGGTCAAATGGATCGGGTGGCAGCTTCCTCAGCGATTCTATGCACCGTTTTTTTGGTCTTGTTTCTCGAAGCATTTCCTACGGTGCAGTCCAGTAGCAGTAGCAGTGCGGGGTGTGGACGAGACTGTGTTGTTTTCTTTCTCCGTTCTTCATGCATCCCGAGAGAATGAGGTCAACAATTAGTCACATGTTTCATTTAGTCTTTGCTATAGGACAGTCTGCGCTGAGGGATGTTTGCCTACGTCCCGCATTGCTTGCAATTATTCTTAGACCGAGCGTGGCGGGGTGCATGTGTGCCAGAGTGTGCAATCGTGCGCTTAACGCCAGCTCCCTTTGTGAGAATCATTGTCCTTCTTTTCTTACCAAGTGCTTGCCGAAGTACTCAGAAGGCAGCCAGAAGGCAGCCGAAACTCATTTCAATCAAGTGGTGCTGGAATCATCTGAAGGCTGTTGCGTGCATCAGTCTTGTACTGCGTTCTTTAACTTTCTTTTGTGTTTCTTGGTGGGTTTGAGATGGTACGTTTGACGGCGAGCGGTGGCCTAACCCGACTCGCCGCAAGCAACTGCTTCATCTCACTCGCCAGGGAATAAAATGCATGGGTTGGTACCTGCAACAACTTCGACGTGCAAAGGTTTTCCATGCCGTCGGACACAGGAGGCCAGAGGAAAGATCATCACTGATTATCATGCCTACAGCTTCTTTTCCTGTCAGGTCCTGGAAGTAGGCTTTGTGGCAGAATAGCCATCACCCCAGTTTGCGCCAGACGCCTGGACCAGAGCTGCCCTGCCAAGGCGAAAGCACGTTGCAGCCTGCGAGAGAGATGTGTAAGAACTCTTTGAGGGGAGAGAAGCTGGAGATGCTATGGGTGCTGTGAGTGCTATGGCCATGTGCCTGTCTCAAGCTCTGCGGGAGCTGACAGCAAAGTTCATCAAAGTGAACACAAGCAGGAGACAGAGCAGAGCCGTACTGGCCACAGATGTAGATCTGTGGTCCTTAACTGTTGCCTCTTCGTTCAGGTTGCTAGTCTAGAAGCAGCAGGCTTTGTTCACTTCATCTGTTGTTGACCATGATTACGAAGATTTCGCGCACAGCGCTGCAGATGCTGGATCCTCCGCCGAAATCAAGCCTGCAGCAGCCTAATTGAGCGCATTTGGGAGCCATGCGTGGGCGCCTCGCTTGCATAGCTGAGACCTGTCAAATGCATCAAGTTCAAGATGCCGATGTCTCATCTGAAGAGTTTCAGGCATCAGCGTCCTTTCGTCTTTAAGACCTTAAGAGCCACATTTACCATCACATTTCAGCATGACTATTGTTCATGAAGACCAAACACAGAAAAGGTTGAGACTCAAGATGCTTGAGATCGCAACCGATGTCGGTTGCCGCGCTACTGGTCCATGCTTTCTTTCCTCTCCAACAGTCGGCGACACTGTGAGATCTGGCTTTGGGTTTTTGGGTAAGTTTCCAAAAAGTGCGTTATCGCTGTGAGCATCTGGTGGTCGTGTGTATTAGTTTGGATGCTTAGATTGGCGATTGGCAATAACTCATGGTTGACCGGTTTGCACGCTAATGTTGTGCCTGGTGTTTTATTGTCCGACCAGTTTTGTTGTGCACTCGTGCAAGCTTTCAGCAACAGAGGGTTGGGATGCTGCTTACATGGTGTAAGCAACAGCCTTGCTGGAGAATAAGTGTCTTAATTGGCATGGGTTTTGTGCCACCCGTGTCATTTGACCAAATCATGGATGCGACCAGGTACCAAAACCAAGCCTTTTTCACATTGCAATGTTTTGGGACCAATGTGCGTGCTATTGCACACGCGGCCCAAACTTCATGCTATTAACGAGTCTCTTCATTGGCCGCGGTGCCCTTGCAAGATGATTTAAAGCAGTGAACATGCGTGACGGACGAGTGTTTGCCAAGTCCGTTTCGGCTGTTCACTGGGCATCTCACATATATACTCCCAGCTCGCATCAAAGTCGCAGTCCCAAGCAAGCGTAATTGCAGTGAAGAACTCCCCCGTAGCATGTCGGCATCTTGCCGAGGTTTCGCCTCTTCGGACGTCGCGGGGTGCGATCTCATCGTGTTCAGCATCGCTTATCTCTGACTCGGGGCGCGCTGATGGCAGTGACAAGCTTGATCAGGTACGCTGGCAGCGACATGGCTTGGCAGTTGGATGCGTGGCAGTCGTTCTCCCAGTTCTGGAGTGAGGTAGCTATGAGGGGTGGTATGGCTGTTTAGTTCTGGAGTCTTGTGCTTAGCTTTAGCGCGGCCTATCTTGAGTTCCGCGAGAGGCTACGGTGCTTTGGTACTCCCCCGCACCCTGGAGAGGGAGCCGACACCAGGTGACATCACAACCACTTAGCAGTCTTCCTCGGCTGGTTCTGACAGCATGGCCTGGAGGGAAGCTGCGTACAGCTCCATATTGTCAGTACCCTCCTTGGAGACATTTATTCCCGACCCTTGGTGTGGGGTTGCTAGATCTTCACTCCTCTATTCCTCTCATCCAGGTCTCCCGTACTCAGAGAGAATTTCTCAGTGAACCCTGCGAAAATGCGAAAAACACCACAAGAGACTGCCTGGAGTGCCTCCAGAGAATCCTACACAGAATCCCTGGAACGCTCTCCCAGACAGAGGGTCCTGCAGAGTATCGCTGGAGTGCCCGCTACGGTGCCATAGTTTATGGGACACTTGGGGCATGATTTTGTGGAACCCGCTTAGGCGTTCACACTAGGCATCACTGTATACTTCACTACACTGCATTGATCCCAGAGCGCTTCACTGAGGTGAGCTCGCTCCGACACAGCACTTTGCATGCCGAGGAGACTCTGACTTTGCCGAGAGGGTTGAAGATCAGAACAGGTCTAGGTGTGCATCCGTTTCGAACTTGCTTTTGGCCTCGGTGGGGAGAAGGGAAAATTGCTGCTGAACACAAACTCCGCACTCCACAGCAACAGTTCAGTAGATATTCAAGCTGATGTCAGTCGATAACTTGGGATCACGTTGCCTTCACCTTGTACTTCCGACAGGTTCAGGTGTGTTGCCTGTTTGCCACGACCACGGATGCCTGCAGTCAGATTTGGCTCAGCTGCCGGCAGTGCTGGTAGTGCCAGTGCCGCTTGCGATGGTAGTGCCGTTGCGGTAGCAGGCCGGACAGCCCCGAAAGCACCCAGCGGCTCAATAGCTCAAAAGCCTCCCTTAGCTGCTCCCTTAGCTCTTCCCTTGGCTCTGCGCCCTCAGCTGCCACCTGCCAAGGGATGATGCCGCTGCGCTGCCACGGCCCGGGCCCGGGCCCAGGCTTGGGCCCGGGCTTGGGCCTCCACGGCGCCGTCCGCGGGCACACGGAGGCCAACCCTGAGCCCTGGCATTTTGCAAGCTGGGCAGTCCTGGGAGTGGGCAACAGCCTTGGCATCCTCTGTCCGGTCCCCCTGTAGAATCACAGCCCTGTCCTCATTTCTTGCATCTTCCTGATTACCCGCCGGCTCTCGCTTGCTTGGCATTCTTTCGCAACCGCGACTCTGTAGATTGTGTAGCTCTCTCATGTGTTCGTGAATTCGGCGGCCGCCTTGCTTCCAGTCAGCCACGCCCCAAAGCCAAGCTTGCGTGACCGAACGAACATTGTCGGAAATGCAGATAATGCAGGCGTTGCGCACAGAATGGCAATGAATGCCAGCAATGTGCGCCGCAGCTATGCTGTGACATACCAGCGTCTGTTTCAGTATTTCTCAGTGCACCCTTCCTCCTCTATTGGAACACGGATAAGAAGAAGTCGGCACTAAGTAATCGCCCTGGCGTTTCCTGGAGTGCCTTTGCTGGCCTTTTGGGGGTTGTGCTCTGCCCGTGACTCCTCAGGTGCGTTGCTCTGCACTTTTGCTGCACAGTTTGGGCTATGCTGTCAGGGCGCCCGTAGGCAAACAGAATGCAACAGCACGTGGTCGGGTGGCCACTTCCATCCCGTTCCTGCTTATTGCTACAAGAATCATTGTGATCAGACACGTTTCTGCCAACGAGACACGCGCCCCCTGTGCTTTCTTTACAGGTTTGTAAACAAAGTTCGCGCCTGAGCTCCACACCCATCCATGCCCATTGTCACAGAAGGCTCAGTGTGGTCGACACCTTTTTGCATTTGCAGGCGCCGTGCTGCAATGCCCAGAACCCCTTCTTGCAGCCAAGACATGTGGCCCCAAAAGAAGCTTTCAATAAAAGTGCACACATGGGAGTCATGAATTCTCCTGTCAGGGTCAGCAAGCCTGTACACTCTAGCGATGTTAATGACAGCCCTTGTCGTTTTTCTGGGTTCAAGACGGTCTTGCTAGGTTCCGAAAGGACCCTTGTGTCGCCGAAGCATCGTGATGTCAGTGGTATGTCCATGCCACGATCATTCTTGTTTGTTATTGTTTATCCACGATGCACTGATGATGCTCGGATGTAACAAGCTCTCACCTGGATCTGATGAACTGCGTTTTGATGCGTTCTCCTTCCAAAGTCCGTGTTCCAGGTGTCCATTGATGGCTGAACTCAGAGCCAAGTGCACGCCAATTCACAGACCTTGCCTGTCGGCGTTAGGGGGTGGGGATGGCTGGGCTTGCCATGGCTTGCTCAATGTTGTCATCTGAGGAGTATGTGGCACCTGAAACCGAGACGGATGACCAAGGCAGCTGCGTTGGGTCTCTGTTGAAATACTGCTATCTTGCTCACTATACCTCACTTCGAGTGTCTTTGTAAAGCCATCGTCAAATGTCTGGCCTAGGGCGGCAGGTTGGGCGACCCATGGCACTTTCTCAGTCAGCTTGCAGCAGGTAATGTGACAGTCAGCGCTTGGGCCAGCTTTCTACCGGCCGAGATGTGCCGGACTTGGAACTAGATGAGGGAAGGCTTCAGAAGGCTTCAGAAGGCTTCAGAAGGCTTCGGAGGGCTTCATCACAGTTTCTCCCTTCACTTCGCAGGCCTGTATCATCCTTGTTCACGGGGTGTGCCGTGGTTGGGTTCGTGTGTAAACATGTCCACGATCCAGGAGCGGTGAGCCTACGCGTCCTACACGTTTCTTTTGTTGTTGGTGCGGTGAGTTTCGTGTCGCAGGTCCGGCAGATTTGGGCAAGCCTCGGCCTGGCCTACAGAGGTTCTCTTGCCCAGAAACGGCAACTCGGAGCTTCAGAGTTTCTCGATTCTGTACTCTGACTATCTGAGAATTCCCTGAATCCTGAACCTTTCAGATCGAAGCGTAGCTGGCCGAAAAGCAGCTGTGTGCCTTGTGGGACACTTTCAGAAGGCCTATGCCTATGCTCGATAACAGGGAAAACCTTCAGCTAGCCGACTTGGTTGGTGGATTTTGGCAGGGGTGGCTGAGTGCTTGTGAGATGCGCAAAGGCTTTGGGCTTAGCAGTTCCTTGCAGTACATGTGGTGGTCATTGCAGGCCAGATTCAGATCTTGGAGGCTTGGCCCCGTGGCTGAATCCATGTTGTTGATGTTTTTCTCGGCGGGCCTCAGATCTCTGCAGTTTGACGCTATTCGCGGTTTTGGCGAAAGCTCCTTGTGAGGAGCCTTTTGTTGGGAAGTTAAGCATACGCTGAGAGCCCGCCGTGGGATCCAAACGTCGGGCCAGTGTTGAAGTGTTGAGCCTGCACAGCATGAGGGCAAAGAATGCAATGAGAAGCAAGGAGTAGCAAATGCGAGTCCACGTCGGCCTTTGCAAGTGCTCAGGTACGGCCACCCGTCGGACCCCGGTCGGCGTATCGACGTCGCTGCGCGTGTCAGAGAGTTCTTGCGTGGCCCTGGTGTCGGCGCTGGGCCGCTGGGCTTGTGCGTTGCATTGTATCGTAGGATGTGGCGACAGTTTACGTTGCGAGAGTAACGTCTATATGTGAGACTGTGCTGCATGCTTGTCCAAGGTTAGCGAATCTGGTTCGCGAAGGCTGCTACAGCTCCCCTGCTGAGTGATGGACTGCTTAGGCCTGCCTGACGCATACAGAACAGGATTCAACTACCTGACAGTAGCGGCAATGGAGCGACAAGGAGGAGGAAGTCGAAATGCCGCACTGTGATACCTTGAGTCAAGCTGAGCATCAAGCGGCAGCCGAGGAGGTGACCAGGTCAGGCTGGAAGCCTCTTCCAGTTTCTGGGGCCAGGACCGACCAAAAATCCGAAGCACCCCCGCGTTTTGTGTGTTTACTATTGGTGTGGCTTCCAAGCCCCTTTGCCGGTCAAATGCCGATTGCTTCATGCGAGTCTCGGCATGTTTTGGCTGGCTGCAGCCTCTATCATGCCACCACCTGCCTTTCTCCTCTTTTGGTCAGGACCCAGCACCCTTTGTCTGGAAGAAGCTCACAGTTCGGTACCGACCGCCACGGTGATCTGCCGACGCCGGTCCTCGATCATGTCCAGCAGCAAAGTGCCCTTATGCCCCTGGAGTTCTTGAAGGACCGGATGACCATCTGACCGTGGAGCAGCCTCCGGGGAATGTGCGCTCCGTTGCACTCCTGCAAATCGCGAGCTCACTTCCAGAGACAAGCTTTGCGTGCCTGCAAACGAGAAAAGCAACTCATTTGGGCAGCCTTTGCAGATTCCGAATTTGTTGGAATTCGTTTGTGCACATCATAATGATTGTTCTGCCTATGCGTGCATGTCCAAAGCATCTCTTCTTCCCAAACCCGAAGACTCGTTCAATTCGTTCAGCTCTTGTTCGAGGAGACCGGGCCGAGCTACGCGCATTCCTCAGAGAAGTGCTTCCATTGTTTCCCCAGAGCGTTGCCGCGGGTTGCCGCGGGTTGCCGCTTTGCCTCCCCCCCCCCCACCCATGAATGTCCAGAGCATCCCGAAGCTTAACACACTTCTCGCCCTGTGCAGCTATTCAGTTTGTGCCGATACTAGGAGCACAGATTGCAGCAGACGGTGTTTGTGAACTGGGGACATAGGAAGCACACCAAGCTCCCCAAAGCCAAGAGTCGGAGCTGTCGACACTTTGATTTCCCGTCCAGAGCGCCAGTCTTCGCAAGGTTCCACCGCCTCGCTGGCGGGGTACCTTCGCAAAACTGCCATCCCGACCTCCTGAGGGAGAGGCTTTCGACAACACTGACTTGGAGTTTTTTTTGTCTCCAGCTTGCATGTGACTACGGCAATGCAACAAGTCTGACAGGCTGGGCAGCTTGCATGGGCAGTGAAGCACATGGAGGCACATCCACTGGACGTACTAGAGTTGCACATGATGGCCGAGAGTGGGGTGTTCTTGTCAGGTGGAGAAGGTTCGAAGCATCCTGGAAAAATGGCCACATGGTGCTGCCAGGCCCTTACTCATCCCGTTTTGTGGATGAGCAACTGATGTTCTCACACTGCCCATGGCAAAGCCAATGGTGCCACTTGTGATGCTGTGAGTGCAAGGCTTTAATTGACGATGACAGCCCGCACCTCATGAGGACCCCTTGACCCTTGAGGGTAAGTATGGATGCGTTTGGCGAAGTGCAGAGTTGGGCCACGTCAGAATCGTTGACAGAGCTTGGCAAGCCCAGTAATTATGGCAAGCCGTGGAGCCCAGACTTGAAGCTTCTTAGAGTTACAGTCAAATCTACAAAGCTGTTCTCTGAAGAGAATGTCCGCACGCCAACATCGCACACGTCACCGGAGCTCGAAGCAAGCCTTGAAGAGCATCCAACGTCACGGCGACAGCTGAGATAACACGCTCTTCCACCTCGCAGCCGCGGAGCCTGGAAGAGCAGCGGCGCAGCCTGACAGGGCCAGTGAGGCGTACTGATTGGCGTACTGATTGGCGTATAGTGGAATAGGGGAACTCGCCCAGGTCTTTTGCCTTTGTCCGTCTTTGCTTCTGAGTCATGGGTTCCCTTTCAGCTTGGAGGCATGCAGCTGCGAGGGCTCAGTGTCAAGCATCCTGAAGGAACTCAAAGCCAGATCGCAGGAGGTGCATTCTTCAACCGTTGTCGTTTCACTGTTCCCAACTCGACCACTTCGAGTAACTTTAGCAACTCACTCTTTGTGTCGAGAGTTTCCGCAATGGACCTCTGCCCAGCGCCACGCATCGGCCACCTGCGGAGATGGACATCAGATCCACACTTGCAGGACATCTCTGGTCTCGTTTTTCTGCAGGTTCTGCTAAGCCTGTGATCTCTGAGCCTGAGCCTAGCAAGGGAGCTGTGGCGTCGGCGGCGCCGCGGGCGGCGCCACGGGCGGTGCCGCAGGCAGCGCCGCGACTTCGCAGCCACACCTGGCCAGGTCCCGGCGGATTTTGTGATGTTCCATGGGCCTTTTCATTTCTGCGTAGTGTCTCAGACGTTCCTCTCGTGTCACGCCGCCCTCGCCAGGATGGGCCTTGGTCGCCTTGGCCTGCCGCGCGCACGCCCGGCAGAGTCGGCGATCTCGCTTGAGTCTGAGCATGTCTGAGCTCTGCAAGTCCTGCATCGGTCAAAACCCCCCAAGTGCCCAAGCGGATCCCGCGAAGGGCTTCCTCGTGGCTCCGGGGACATCTCTGCGGAGGAGCTCATTGAGGGCTGGGTGGTCAAGTACCGTCAGTGCCGTGGCTTCAGCTCTGTGGGACTTGTTGATGTTAAACTTTCAGTCACCTGGCCGCAACGTGGAGGGAAGACAGAAGGAGTAGGGAAAGGAAAAGGAAAACGAACAAGACAAGGAAAAAGACAAGGAAAAAAGGAAAAGGAACAGGAAAAGGAAAAGTACAAGGAAAAGGAAAGGGAAGTAAAAGGAAAGGGAAGAGAAGGGAAGGGAAGGCAAGGAAGGAAGGAAGGCAGAAATAAAGAACGAAAGGACGAGAAAAACAGAGAAATAATGCAGCAGAATACAGCATTCAGTTCGTCGGACAACTTATGGTGTATTCGGGTGCACGACTGCATGGAAGGGGTTTCGGTTTTGGCATGTTATGACGTTCATACCCACGGGACAAGATCACAGTCGGCGTGCGCGCTGCACGGAGGGAAGGATGAGGGAAGGTCCTTGGACTTGATCTCCCGCAGCAAGAGATGTTGGCCCAGAAGCTTTTGACGTGCCCGCTTTTGACTCGCTGATAGGTGCTCGGCAGAGCTCCTTGGGCTCGCGGTGGTCGAGGCAGGCGTTCTTTTTTCTTTCTCGTAGACTTGCAGCCATTGGATGACCTGATGGCTGGCGTCTCCCACATCCACCCTGACGACGTTTATATTGAAGCCGTAAACTCGCCGTAGACGAGCGGGCTCAGGCTCCAATATCCACGGAGCCTCTGAGGTCTCATGGGATCGCCTAAGCATCACCTTGACCCAGGCAAACAAGAACCAGAAGGTGCTGCAGCCGCTCTGCACTTGGGAGGACCATGCTTGTCGGGACGCCATGGCTTCGTGCCGCTGCGATCCGTGCGTGGAATGTTATGGCATGACTATGTAGCAAGTGCCGGCTTGTGACAAGTCCAGGATGGCGAACGCACTTTCGTTGTAGATGATACTTGGCTGCAGTCTCTGGTCTATTGCTTGTGTTTTTGCCTTCAGCCTAAGGGTATTCAATCCGTTCCACGCGTGCTTCTGCTGTGCACATGCTGCTGGCTAATCTCGCCTTACTCTGCAGAGCGTGAGTACATGAAAATCACTGTCCCAGGATTCCAAAACGACCTAAACTAGCTCCAGGTGCATGTCGTTGAAAAACCAATATGACAGCGAGGACAGAGGACCAAAATGCCTGACACAAATTTCTGCGCACCCTCTGGAGCCCCCCCCCCACAGTCCTCCGTCTCCCTTGCCTACCTGCACCTCCTGCTCACAAGCCACGGCGCAGCTGCTCGCAAGTGCTCGGGGTCATTTACAACTACTTGCAGTTGCTGTGTGCAAGCTTGCCGAGCCGTGTTGACCTCGAGAAGTGAAGTCCCCTCATCCCGCCACCGAGACTCGGAGATGTCCTACGAGCAGAGCAAGTTGACGAAGCTTCGGCGTTCGGTAAAGCGGGGCAGCTATGACAAAGTGGTCGTCAGCGAGATTCTCGATGCAGCGCTGGTAGCACACGTCGCATATGTGGATGAAGAAGGCCAGGCGAAACTCAGCCCCATGATCTTCGGCAGAGAAGACGAATCACTCTTTCTCCACGGCCACGTTAGCGCCGGTGCGTTACGAAATGGCTCGATTGATGTCTGCTTCTGTGTTACCTTGGAGGATGGCCTTGTTTTGGCCAGGGCCAATATGCATGCCAGCATGAATTACCGCAGCGTCATCGTGCACGGGCAAGCCACAGAAATGCCCGAAGAGGATGCCAAGCGCCATGCCCTCGATGTCATCACCGACCACATGTGCCGAGGCCGCGCCAAGCAGGCCCGACCAATGACTGCCGCCGGGACTGAAAAAGGCAAGGAGGAGTCTCAGGGTACCCACACGATGGGCTCTGTTCGAGGGGCTTTTTGAATGGTTTAGAGGGTTTAGAGGGTTTAGAGGGTTTAGGATGGTTTTGGCATGTTTAGGTTTTGAGTCATGTTTAGGCGGTGAACAGTTTTTTCGGCGCAGAAACCTAGGCTGCGGAGGTGGCCTCCACTCGGGTCCTCAAGCTCAAGTTGGAGGATGGCAAGGCGGGATCCTGTGTGTCTTTCGGATTCCCCCCGTGAATGGCCCCGTAGGCTTTTTGAGCGGATGCTTTTCCTGGCAGTGGAAGGTGAGCGCCAAGATTCGTGCTGAAGGAGCGAACGATGACAAGGAGGACATCGAGCAGTATCCTCACATTTGGGCAGGCGTCATTCCCATCACGCGGGTCTATGGGCCGCCTGAGAACAACCATGACTCAAACGCGACGGCCCCCTCGAATGTCACAAACTACCCCAAGTTCAGGTCCGGTGGAAAGCTTCCGAGTGCTCTGCGGGAGTCTTGGCCCATGTGTTCGCAGCTTTTTCGGAGGCCCCTTTTCCTCTTTACCCTCTTTACTTCTTTTCTCGCTGAAGCGGCAACCGAAGGGGCAACCGAGGAGACCTGGAATGTCACTTCGATTGGGGTTGGGGTGGTGGCCTGCGGACTCGGAGTCCTGCTTGGATGTGCTTTGTCCAGGAGGACTGCCTAGGATGGTGGAGCCATTTACGCGTTGTGAGGTGCGCTTGGACGATGTCTTTTGCTTTGGCTTTCAGGCAAGTGCCTTGTACAGTGTACAGAACGCCCCGAGCTGCCATTGGAAGATTCTGTGACGGACCCTGGAAGCGCAGCTGGCGCTTCTTCGATGAGACTGTGCTTAGAAACGTTGCGTCTCTCCAGGCTTGACAGCTGGAAAAGGCACTAAGGCGGGTACGTAAGTGCACTGCTTTCAGTCTTTCCGAGGAAGATGCGGAGAGCCTTCCGCTGGATGATCGAGTCGTGCCAATCACTCAGATGCGGTCCGAGTCTGGAGCGCGTCCGTTGTTGATCTAAGTGCAAACTTGCACGCTCAGGTATATCCTGGATGATGTTTTTACAAGTCACCGACAAAAGCCGCGGCCAGAAAACCCGCATGGCGAAGAGACGGAGGAGCTGCAGCTTCTTGAGGTTTGGACTTTGACAAAGGTCCTTCCACTTGAGTACAGTATGTTGGGTTCAGGGATGTCTTGGGCTGATGGGGCTACATGCTTAGTGATGCTATAGGCTGTAGCGACTTTGGGCTGGAGCTTTCAAGCTGTAGGGGTTACTGACATCTGGGGTATGGGGCCAAAGAGGGTAGGGGTTGTCGGAGAACTGCGCACAGGTGCTGGTTCCTTATGAGATCCTTGTATGGCACATTGAAATCAGATGGCCTCCGTGGTAGCAGCAGCACTTGGTTACGGCTGCTTATCAAGCCACTCAGTCCCAGTGCCGGTACCTGGGGGACGTCTCCTTTTCCGGAAGTTTGTAGTTGTGAGGACACGTTTCTTCTGGGAGATTCCGAAGATCTTGACGATGTGGAGATCATAATCCGGCCAGAACGGGAGCCTCCGAGCATTTGAGGGCGCTCAGGGGTAGGATGGTAGGGTGGCGCAGGGTGCCGCAGACAGTTGGCAAGACACAGCACATGGAAAGAGTATTCAGAGTACCGGGTTATCGGGGGTAGTTACTTGGTTGAGAGCAGCTAGGATGTGAATGTGGTGATGCCAAAGGCAGAGCACAGGCATCGAGGCACACCGCCTCGCAAAGCGTCGGATTACACGGCCGCGGTTCTGTGGAATCGAGACCCAGAGCTTTCTTGCAAAAAGAGTTGTTAAAGTGGTGCTGCCCCAATGCTCAGCAGTTGAATTTTGTTCGTTTTCGCGGAGAGTTGTCCTAGCTTTGTTGGTTTGGGAGCGGCATTTTTTGGGTGTCTATGACGAGCTGGAAGTAGGGCTGCCTTTTTGGAATCTTCCACCAACCTATCCCATCACTGATCTTCAATGCAGGTCCTGTCCATGCTCCTCCAGAGGGGCTGGCAAGTGGTGGACTGCTCGTGAGTGCAAGCTGTGTGAGGACCCAGAAGTTCAGCGTAAGGACGTCGTAACATTGCGAGGACCAAAAGAATGAAGTTGGTGAACGAGCAGATGTCGTGGCCAACCGTGTGGACCCAAAAGGCCTGAGCGAGACAACGCCTTCTTGCGCAAAGAAGTTCACACGGGTCTCGTGTTGTCAACACCTGCGACCGCTCTCGAACCTCTCAAACCTGGATCCAGGTCTGGTTGGGCGGTTTCTCAGATCAAGGCACGTGACTTAAATGGCTGCAGCATTCAGATTCCCCTCTGACGGTCGGGTCTCTGTTTGTTCCATTTACCTCAGGTCCCTCAGCTTCCATGAGCCTTCCAGGGTCGAGGCATCAGGGCTTTTGCTTTCGGGTCTTTCGGGCCTTTCGGAGTATGTGGACCTGTTGTGCATCCTGCTGATCTTAAACACGTGGAGGCCGAAGGCTTTCAGAGGCGTTCTGAGGCGTTCAAAGGCTTTCAGCATTGCCGCTCTAGAGTTGAGGGCCGGATTCCCAAAGCTCGAGACTTCTGTAGTGCTAGTTGCATTCCAGGCTGTTGCCCTTTGCCCTTCCAGGCCCCGCTGCAACTGATTGGTGAAGCGTGGGCGTCTCAACAGCCTGGGCAGGGCTTTTTGTGTGTTCTCCAAGTACCTACAGTACGCTGGTAGCCCTAGAAGCCAAGGTCGCCGAAACCATGGACCTGGCAGTATCCGGTTCAGGTCCCCTCTCTGAGGGTGCATAAGGCGATTCGGTAAATTGGAGTCTGACCTTACGACCTTACCGTCCTTACTTCCTCCTGCAGTGAGCATGCCTGAGGGCTCGCACCGATTGTCCGACTTGTGTCTTTTCTCCTTGCGTCCCTCGCAAAAGGCTCGCGAGAAGAATGAGCAAAAGCACGCAGATGACATGAGTCCGACAAGTGATAAGTTAATTGAATGCATTCTTCGTGGTTACCAGTAACAGCTAGCCTGCCTCTTGCGAATTTTTATGTTACCGTGCACAACAGTAAAATTCAGCGTAATGTACCATGAGCCCGGCTACTCTTTGAAAGCGAGGCAGGCATGGGACACAACACAAATACACACTGTCACTGATGTGTGACGAATGCGACAAGAAAGGAGGTCTGCAGGGGAGTAGAGACTCTAAGTCGCATTGCCTGTAGTTTTGATGGAGCAGTCAGTGTCAAGGACATCAAGCAGAATAACAAGTCTGAAGAAGGATGCCGAACCTGCAACACATGCCAGGCAAAGGCCGTGCGATGTACCACAAAAACGATATAGACATGTGAGCATAGACATCTACACAAACAGCAGGAACCACATATAGAGAGAGCAAGACAAAGAAGCACACACACACACATTGAAGTATTTGCATGTGCTAATTGCAGCACCTGACAGGTTGAGTTAAACTTCCCATCGGTCAAGTAAACCTTTTTCAGCGGGTGAAGCTAACTTGGCCCAGCACGGATAGGTTGAGCCTTAACTCGGAAATGCTGACATGCAAATCCGGAGGTTGACGAAACAAGCTACCGCTAAATGGCACAACATGCTGCACCGTTGAGAAAGTGGATCCCTGCAAGCGGGATTTGGCCCTCCCACCCGCTGAAACATCACACTTCCCCATTCTTCCCGAAAATGCAAGCAAAAAGTACCGGGAGCCGAAGGTGGCATGACAATCCCGACCTCTCCATCATCTAGCTAACGCACGATTGACTATGTTCATCAACATAACTGGTAAGTATTTCTGAACAAGCCAACGGCCCATCCAAGTTGTTCTACATCAGGATCCCTGCACAGATCCTAGGTCCTAGATACCAATTAAAATCGGGTTCCTTGCGAAGAGTGGTTCCCCAAAGTGGACCTCAATGCAGAGCACCCCTCCCCCCCTCCCCCCGCGCAGGATGAGCAGCGGCGAAGCTTCGCAGGGGTGGCCGCCTCGACGTCGGCCTCCACACTCTATAGGAACTTTCTGCGTGCGCTCTGATGCCACAGGGCTCTGCCGTGGGGTTTGCTAGTTCTTTCGTCTGGGCCTTTGGGTTGCTGGCTCTGATAAACTGTAAAAGGGCTGGCAAGCGGGGATCCTTTGCTGTTTGAAACTCCTGCATTTCAGGGCCTCATGTTTTCAAGGTCAACTTCCGAGCTTTCTCGCAAGAGCAGTGCTCTCGGTGGATGAACTTGCTGCTGGAGGAGGCTGTGGCGGTCCAAGGGTCATGATGGGATTCTTTTGGGCCCCAGCCTCTATCCAGGTCAAGGGCTTCCAAGTTTTCATGGAATGTAGTGTGCCCCCTTGCCTAGACTTTCTTCTTGGCGAAGTGTAGCAATAGCTTGCTCGAAGCAGGATTGCTGGATTCAGCTTCCCGGCGTGCCCCGGAAGGTGATCTGGTATGTTTCAGAGGTCAGAGCGTCAGCCCTGCTCGGAACAGAATAAGTCGCATTGAAACGTGAGAGCCTGCGTTTCGAGGACTTTGCGGACGTTCCGTACCGCTATTCCGGACTGGAGTGGGAAGCCTCTGTGTTTTTAGAGAGCGCCATATGTGGCTCCTCGAGAGCGTAGTCTCAGCCAGACTCTGTTTGAGGTTTCCCGCCACGGTGTATCCGCCGTTTATGAGAGAGATCTGCAAGGATCGGTCAGTTTGCATATGCTGTTGGAATTGGACACCTCATGTCGGTGGTGATATAGCGGACCATCAGACCATCCTGTGTCAGTTGCATGACCTCTCGGGAGGAGCTCTGTGAGCTTTGTGGCATTCCTGAGGACAGGATTTGGTGGTTCCAAGGTTCTCGGTAGCGGCAGCAGGAGGAAGTGGTCAGTGACTAGTGGACTTAGTGACTTCGGGAGTACTTGATTGTAGTCACTTAGTCTGGGTCACTTGAAGTGGAAGTGGTTGTCGACTGCACGGGGGGCTCAAAGTGCCGTTCGATGTCAGAAAGAAACAGTGAGCATTCCACTGGAGCAATGTTTGGGGAAGCTTGTTGTGTACCGTGTACAGCTGGCTTGAGGCAGATCATGCGCACAAACTTCATGAAGCAGTTCAGTAGCTCGAGGGCTTGCATGCAGGTCCTGCACCGCTCGTCTACCCCCCCGTCCCCTCCCCCCCGCCACGGCTCCCCACCTGTCCCCCACAAGCCGTTTCCCCCACAGCGACAGTTCCGGTGACATGTGCACAGATGCAGATGCAGGGCCAAAAGCCCAACTCCTGCAACGTCAATGTCTACGACGATGGCAGTCAGGAGGCTCAAAAGCAGTCACAAGTCAATGGCTACCAGTGACCAAGATAGTTCCAGAGCGACCGGCGCAGGTCATATCCGCTAGCACCCAGTTCACGCTGAGCTCTGTATCCTATAGAGGTTGAGCTACAGGTAGAGGCAACGAGGCGAGACCGACTCTGCCCGAGTTAGACACGAGTCTGTTCCGCAGGTTGGCTGGCACAGTGATGATGAAGTCTTATTTCAGGGGCTGGCCTGCGACACCCGGAGTGGAACTCAGTTTGCATGCCGGTAACGACAGCAAAGGGCTTCCGCGAGCTGTGACGAGCAGAGTGGGTTCGTAGGTGCTGTTTCAATATGAGAGCGATCCCAGGGCGTCTTTCCTGTAGGATCCTGTCGCTCTCGCTGGGTTCGGCGCGAGACTTCAGCTGGAGATTTCAAGGCAGCAGCGTTTTCACTTCGCAGCATTCGCAGCTTAGCAACTCTGCCAACTCTCTGTCTCTTTGTCTGCACGTTCGTATCGCCCCTTCAAGCGCAGTGCGTCCCCCATGCCGCTCTCCGCAACTTAAGTGTTCGCACCAGGCACATCAGAAGTGCTGGGGACCGTTCCGCTCGGCGATGGCGATGTGGCCACGATGGAAGGTGTGGAATGATAGTGATTGAGTTATTGAACGTGCGTGACCGAAGTGAACCGATGTTCTCTAGGAGATATGCTGCGACGGCAGAACAGACAAGCGGGAACGAACCGAGCAAAGGCTTGAGGCTTTACTTCTTCATCAGTCATTTTATCAATAATGTGGGGTGTTTGAAGCTCGTATCTTGAAGCAGAACACGAGGCAAATGAGTGGAGGTGCACCAATTTAACAGAAACTCGGTGGAAGACCCAGACCTAACGTCATGGTAGGTGTTGGAAAGCGTCTTCGAAAGAGGGAGCAGTCAAGGATCTTGGGTGAACAGAGCTCTGAGCAGGTCTCTTTCAGAAGCACTACAAGCACGCCGTGTTGGTCTCAGATCTGGCTCAGAACGGCTCCAGCAGTCATCGTGCACTCTTGGCCATCTTGGCACCTGAAAGGTGCCTGCCACAAGTCAGCCCTGTGGAAAGCGGATAAACCTCACGTTCCGGTGGATCAAGGTTAAGGCTTGCACTATGCTTGCAGCCCGTTTGGGGCCCTCCATTAGGATGATGGACCATGCCTTCGCAGGCCGATGGGGTTGATGCAGGCGTGGCAGCCAAGTGATGCCGGTCTTCGTGTGCTAGAAGTCGAAGATCCCAAGCCCAGTGTGCAGCCCTCGTGGTACGCCGAAGCTAGGCTGGTGTTTCACCAGGCAGCAGTGCGGATTCCACGCAGCAACAGAAGCTGTGGCGGCATGCAGTCAACATGCCCTTACATGGCGGCTTAGCCTGTAGTTGGCGCAGGCACCTGCGCCGATGCCTATGCAGGCTCAGCAAAAAAACAAGCCTCCAATACTCCCCCTATTTCTCTTGCACTCTCATTCTCTCTCTCTCTCTCGCTCTCTTTCCTGTTTTTTGTTTTTTTTTTCTCTCTCTCTCTCTCTCTGCCTCTCTCTCTCTGTCGCTGTGGTCTCTCGCCTTGCTCAATAAATAACATGCCATGTCGGGCTGCCCTTCATGTTGTCAGAGCATTCGCAAGGGTTGATAACCTTCCAGTGATAGCTGTAGCGTACGCCACAACCTTCCTAAGCGTTGAAGTTTAAGAGACAGGCTCGCCCAGACTCAGGACGCCTCGTTTTGCACGTGTGGTTGGACAAGACATGGTTCCGCAATTGAGCGTCTGTAGATCGAATTTCTTTGAATGGTTTGCCTTCCGCCTTTGCTTCAGGCTCAAGTAGCCGTGGTCTCCCCAACTCTTGGGAGACCGAAACCTGTACAGATAGGTGGAGCATCTCCCCAAAACTGGGTGAGCGGACCTAGGCAGGTAGAGACTTCTGCTACTCCAGCCAAGCTCTAGACTCTACCGTCTCTAGAGGATTCACGACTTCACAGCTACCTCAGAACCAAGGAGCATTGTCCTTGACCATTGAGGAGTGCTCACAGCAACGATATTTCATTAACAGCACGTTTAGAGTCCTTTCACTTTGAGCACGCAGCCACCCACAGTTGCGCATGGAGCCATTGCCGGACAGCACACACCCTTTTGCTGAACACAGAGCCAGTACTTTCTCCAAACCCCAACTCAACACATGTCACAAAGGTGTCATAAGGTGCAAGACAAAACAGACACGGAGCCTTTACAATACTCGCTCGTCCAGTAGCTGCGCTGCGCAAAGGCGCCGACCAAGTCTCTTTGGTGCAGTCTTGCAGTGTTGCATGTCGGCAAGAAGGATGGATCAGTGCCTTTGGGCTCCAGACAAGTCAGCAAGTTACTTGCTAGTCTTCTCAGCGTTGGAATGATGAACCCGGTTAGCTCGAAGATGCCTCGGCGACAGTGTTCCTTAGCCTGGGGATGACATGTATCATTCTGACGGCCCTGCGGTTAAGGTACGAGCCTAGGTACAAGTCCCCAAGGATCCCTCGGTTCCACATCGGAGTCCCATACTTTTTTTGCTCCAGGCAGTGGCAGTGTGTAATCCTACGATCCGGACTGTTTGAAGCATCTTCTTCGGCCACTGACATCCGCCCGAAGCCTGGCTGTAGAGGCACGATGCAGTGCAAGATGCGGATGAGTTGAAGCAGGAGCAGTTGATTTGCTTGATCTTTGGACTCTCAAGGGCCCGAGAAAGACTGCCCCACCTGCCTCACAAGACGCTTAGGCCAGTGGCTTTCCGCATCTACAACACGGCTGTTTCACACCGGCATGGCGCGAGGGAGGGTGGGGTTGAAAGGCAGCCTGGGGTCTCGAAGTGAATCGAAGTGCAAAACTTTGCAAATCTTTTGCTAGCCTGAAAGTTTGATCGGGGTGAGGCCTCCTCTCGTAGAGATTGAGCTTCAGAGTATGTACAGTGCGGACGGCATGTGTCTCATCTACACGGAATTGCCACGCTTCAGAATGAGTTCTCGACTGCTGCCAGTCCCTACCCCTTGTGGGTGTGACCAGTGGCATCGACGCCACAGCCATAGGCCATCGACGATTCAGTGATTCCCAGTTCTTGATGTCGTTGAACGGGGTCAAGTGCTTCAGGGGAGAGTTGTGCTAAAGACGGGCGTTTTCACGCGTTTCGGGATGGTTCGGATGGGCTTTTCTTCTGCCCCACGTCCATTTTTGCTCTCAGAGGCGGCCCTGGCCTGACGCTGTCGCGACAGGAGATTCGAGAATGAGAGACATATGGCGAGACATGGAGAGACTCCAAAGCTTTTCAGAGGGGTTGCCCACCTGCCACATCTTGCCACATGAGTTCGGACTCTCCGCACCAAGCTGAAAAAGTTGATGACCGACATCTGCCGATCGAAATATTACAGTAGACCGCAAGGCGCAAGTGGTGTATTACACTTCACGGTTTGTGATGTCGAGGCTGGCAGAGTGTCGCACATATCAATTTGCGTCTTTTGCCGACTGAGTGCTGCATTTAAACATTGTAAGTCTTGTTGGGGCCCTTTCCCGCATCCTTTTCAGCATTCCTGCGAATTCTTCTTGTCTGGCTGCTTTCTCCGAGTTACAAAAGTCCCTGCTGTGTGATCAGGCCCTCAAATCCTGGCAGGAGCTGACTGCATGTTCTGGACCATGTTCTGGTGCCCTTGCTCTTCGTCGAGTGGTGCTGGCATCCGTTTTGTGACTTTAAAGATGTGCCCTCGAGGAAAGACCACCGCAGTTGGTTTCGGAGTGAGGTTGAAGGATATGAAGGATCTGGAAAGAGATACAGGCTTAGGCTTGAGGCTGTTGTACTGAGGGAAGAACATGGATTGCAATTGCAGCTTTTGTGGTGCAGGTTGGTGGGCCCTGTTCAGAGCATAGGCTTAGCACTTCGAAGACGCAGGGTCAGACCAGAATTTCAACCCTAAGCGCTTTAGAGTTCAAGCTGCAAAGGCGTCCGTTCAGGGCCCGCGAGAAGCCGCGGGCACCGCCCGATTGCTTGCGTCATTCTGAAAGCAAGTGGTGCTGGATCCTGCCCCCAGAGCAAGTCACAGCAAGATCGACTTTCTCTGAAGAGATGCTGTTGATGCACACTGAGAACTTCTTTTGCCAGGTGACGACCCTCTTGCAGGGTGCTAAACGAGCAGATGCACAAGGTTCGGCTCCAATGCTGTGTTCTCCACCAACATTGCGGACACAATTCATGAGTTTCATTGCAAGATGTAGCCGGCACCCCGCCATTCAGCTACAAAGCTACCAGATTTGAAAATTCAAACCTGCCCTGTTTTTTCACCTCATTTTTGGCTCGGGGGAAGGTGAACACCAGCAGGCCAAGGAGCTTTATTCAGAAGTGTGGGCCTCGGCATTCTGTGCACCGTGTTTCCTTGAAGCGCAGCCTGTGTATCTCAAGGTACTGAAGGTGCGGAATCCCTCCTCTTGCACCTCAGCATCCATGTGCAGCTGCAGATCTCACCAACTTCGAGCTGTCTAGCCGGACACGGGGATGTTCTACACAGGGCCCCAAGAGATTTGGGCTATCAATGCCTCTGACCCTGTCACAAGTACTTCAATGTCGTGCCTGACCGCCGCTCGCAGCCTTGCACTCAAGTTTCTACAGGTGTATGCAGATCACATGTCGTGAACATGACATCATCAGTAGGATGCAGGGTGTCTGCAGTGTGCCCTCATAATTCTGAGCCCAAGCCGAACTCGATGTTGCTGGCTACTGGAACATAGCTGATATCCCGTGCATGGAGCGTCCCTGAAGAAGAGTCCTCGAAGCATCTTCAGCATCAAACCTCCACTCTTTGCGGGTCCGCGCCATCGGACTTGCTGATTGCCTCAAGCAGGCACCCGGTCCACCCGGTCCCACGGTGCCACCCAGCATGCCTCACATAGCTTTCAGCTGCTCTGGGTTGGCCATACGAGTGCCTTGACAGGCCTCCCCTGTGAAATCGCAGTGTGGTGCCCGGGTGCGTTGTGATGGAGCGCAACAGCTGGACTGTTGACTATCTATTGACTATTGTTCACTGTCCCGGCTATAGCCGATCCTGTGGAAGCCTGAACCTGAACAGTTAGGTGCCAGTCATTCCCTTGTTGCAGCTTGCTGAGGCTAGAAGGTTTAGAAGCACAAGCCACCACCAGAATCCCCAAGCGCGCACCAGCAGCTTCAATAAACCCTCGCTGCAACCTCGAACTCGATTCTGAACCCCGTTCCACCTCCATTTCACCTCACAAAGCCCGCACTCCACTCGACTCAGCAGACTATGACCACGGCACATCCTATGGGTCTGAGAGACCTGCAGTCGGGCAAATGGGCATCCGCCATGGAAGTGGGACTCCTTTGTGACGTGCGCCTTCGCAGGCTGAGTCTGGTATAGTCTGGTGGTGTTCGGGATTGCACGCATCTCAGAGACAGGAGCATTCGCCAGGTCAATAGGCAGATGGCCCGCGGAAAGGCCGTGAAGGTTCACTCCAGGCGCCCTCACCACAACTTGTGTGGCGATCAGAGCATCTCTTGAACTTTGGCCCTGAAGGTTTTACCCGAAGCCGGTGTCGGTTTGGCACATTCAGGGTTCTGCGTTGCATCCCTGGCAGGTCTTCGTCATCACCTGCCAGGAAGCGCAAGTCGAGGCGTTCTTCCATTCTACCCTCATGTCCTCTATAAGCAGGACACGAAGCGTGGACCGTTTGGGCACAATAAATTATCAAACTCAGTGTTGCAACGGAACGACAGTGCATCACAGCAGCGGAAAGGCAGAGAGAAGCTGGGGTGATGTTCAGTCAGATATCGGCTTCATCAGCCTCGCAGAACACAATTGGCCCTAGAACTCAAAAGCGTTGGCGCAAGTTGGTTCACGCCGCTGTTTGTCTGTCTTGGTGCCGGTGACGGTCTGTAGTGCACCTGGAATGCTTGTTTGCTGCGCCGTTGCTTTGTTGGTGCGTGTGTGTTCCTGCTCGGTGCATTGTCGATTCATGCTTTCTGTCGTCGTTGGCTTGCACCAACCGACCTTTAACCCCAAGCCCCAAGCACTTCTGAGTTGCATCCTCGTGAGTCTGTTCACCCTCCGCCTTTGCGCAAGGTCCCGGAATCGTGACAAGACGAAGGTTGTCGGCTCAGGGATGATTCCGCGTATCAAGATACAAAGGAAGGTTGTTCGATTTGCAGAAACTAGGCTTCTGCAGGCAGGGTCGCAGTGGCATGGTCTTCCAACAGCTGACATGCCGTAAGTGAACGCCCTAGAAGTCCAAGGCAAAACGCCGAAAGAAGAAGCACAGGCCTGCACGGGGAAAAGGAACCCTTAAACAGGTCCACATTTCCGAGCGCAGGGTTTGGGGTTTCAGGCTTAGCAACTAGATTCTCAATTGGGGGGTTCTGGATCCCATGAAGTTTCACGCAAGACATCCATGTGGGCCTGCTGCGAAACCATACCAAGTTTCCAGGCTGAGGGCACTAGTGTCAGATACCAAGCTGCTCTCATTTGGCACCCAGCCGAATCCTTTTAGGAAGCACTGAATAGGATTCAGAGCGTCTAGCGCCAGGTCGACTTCGTCCAGTAGCAGGCGCTGTCCAGTTTTACCGTTTGCGGTTGGGGGAGGGCGGAAGCTTCTGGGTTCGTTTGGCCAGGAGCCCAGATTCCTCCAGTGTTGTGGAGGTAAAGGAGGCGAACGCTCTTGTCTCTCATGCTCGTGAGCGGAGCTGTGTGTGGATGCTGGGCTTCCCTGCTGCTTAGATTTCGTAGGACCCTGCACTGGAAGAAGCTCGCAAGCTGGAGGCGACCCCGGTTCCCTGCTGTAGACCGCGGAGCAAAGACCATCAAACAGTCCCAGCAGGCGCAGAAAGAGGAGAAGCTGATAGAAGAGGAGGCTCCCGGATTCTTCTCGGGCTCAGCTTTTGGTACCCCGTGCAGTACTGGTTTCTGACCTTCAACTTGGGTTTGGTTTGACTTGTGAAGACTTCGCGGGAAGGTTGCGACCTGAAATGGCTTCACGCTCTGTAGCCGATTCTAGAAGAGAGCCTCAGGGCACCAAGCGCCCAAACTGCCTAATCGATTGAAAGCCCTCAAACCTCAACGAACGTACTCAAAGGTGGCCCGCCGCTACGATGCGGAGCTGCAGCGGGCCCTTGACTTACAGAGCATGCCGAAAGAGGGCTTGAGCTCAAGGTCTCGCTGAGTCTCGCTTCGTCTCGCTTCTAGCCACAGCTCCATCACATCTTGGAAAACGGTGCTGATGCGCTGAGCTCTTCTCAGCTGTCTCTGGCAAAAACTTGTTTGAAGCCTCCTATTCGGAATGGCTGACGGCTGAAACGGCAGCCAGCATCACAGGAGCTCTGTCCAACTGCCCGGTCCCACTGCCCAGGGACATCTGATGCATGCCCGGGCTGCCCGGGGGCCTAGGTCTTCGAACTCCGCTTGGCGAGCATCGAGCACCGGGAGCTAGTCAGGAACCCAGGGAAACATTGATAAAGACATATGGAGACTCTGGCATGCCACATGAAGTGCTCTTTGAAATTGGCCTAGTGCAGATGGAAACGGGCTTCACCTGGAGCGCTTGCATTCAGCCTTTCGTTTGTGACTTCTCCTCCAGCATGCAAATCGTGACTCCTAGCCGCAACCTACAAAGCAACCTGCCCGCCCCTACTCAGCTCAAGACTTGGCCCGATTCAATTGTTAGACAAACCGATGTTGTTGGGAGCAGCCTGTTGGCGAGGAGGTTGCCAACGATTCTTTCTGTGAAGTCCCTGTAGTAGGGCTCTCGCAAAGGTGAAGGTGAAAGTGGAGGAGGCGCGAATCGATTGCTGGTTTGCATCTGCTACACACAGTTATCGACATTATGCTCGTCGTGAAATGCGCTTTCGTCTGGTGGTACAGAGATGTATCCTGGTATTTCCTGGATTGTTGTGCAGAACACAGGAGAAGACACGTCTGGAAGCGATCATGCTGAAGGAGGTGCCTCTGTGCAGGGACCCCCGATGACCCGGGCATTGAGCCGGCTGTACTGCAATCATTTCATTGCAGGTGGAAGAGACGAAAGCACAAATCTTGGAGGTTCCGTCACGTTCTCAAATTTTTAGGCTCTTGGCCTTGGGCAATCCTTTGCACCAGGAGATTGCTCACAAGAAGCAGGAGGAAGAAGAGAAGGAGCGCTGCGTGTTCCGAATATCTTCCGTGCACGTTGACACACGTTATCACACGTTCGATAGACTTGCCACGCCGCTGGCGCCCATCTGGCGTTGCTACAGCCATAGCGGTGGCATTGAGTTGGCATCCGTTCACAGGAGAAGGCAGTGGCCGAGGAGCGGAAGAAGGAGGCCTGGCTGTTGCAGGTAATGGCAGAGCTACGAGCTGCTAGTATGTACATCTATGTACTGCGCCCATGGCCCTTTGCTCATGTCAAAACCGCACATGCCAGGAGGAGGAGCGAGAAGTCGAGCAGCGACAGCTGCGCCCCCCTCAGCACCGCGGTCACTCAACTGGGCCTCAGACTCACATGGACTCTGGTTCGACCTTGTGCGGAGAGAGCTCTGCAGTGGCTCTGCAGGCTGGCGCTCCGGGCGAAGGTGGATGAGGAGCGGCTCAAGGCCCGCCATGCTTCCGAAAAGCTCGGTGGACCCTCTGCAGCCGGGGTAACCAGTAAGTCAACACACACACACACACGTATAAACGTACTAGCTGAGCTGTGAGCCCACTAGCAAGTTGAGATTGTTGTACATGTCTGCACTGGGATACGGCAATTCTTGATGACTTGAAAGTCCTGGACTCTGCAACTCGCAGCTGATGAAGCTTCAAGGCCTTGATAGGTTTGAAGTTACAACCTCAGTTGAGGTTGTTATGAAATGTTTCCATTGCTGGGGTCAAAAAGTAAGCCTTTCCCATCCAGAGACGCACCTTTGCGTGCTCAGCTGCTCACCGGTGATCGGCATACAGCCCCCATTGGCGAATCGATACACCCGACCCGGGTACCCGGATACCAGAGATAACGAAAGATCCCATGACGAACGCACATTGTAGCAAACCCACAATGCATTGCAACTAGGACCAGCCAGCCCTGATCACCAACCAAATGGTTTCGGCACTGCTGCTTATAGAAAAAAATGCACCTGCTTGGATGCCGATCGGGCCAATGACAGGCCGACTTGTGCAACACACCAACCGGAACAACTACCGATCGGCACATGGCCTGGGAAACCAGCCTGGACAGTAACCACCTGAACCAGACACCGACCACCACGCCGACCATGGCATGTTGACCAGGACGGCGACTGTACAGTCAGAGTCCGAAGTTTGCGCAGTTTCTTGTGATGCATGTGTGCAGAAGAAGGTGGTTGGGTATGGTCATGCGCCATTAAGGGCGAACAGTTCACGAATCTGCAGCAAGCTCCTAGTTGCTCAATATTTGCGCATCTTTGATTCACTGCTTCGTTGCCATGGATCAGCGAAATGCAATATGTGAGTGAACGAAGCAAAAGACGTTTGTTTTTTCACTGGCCTTTGTTCTTTTCGCCTGTGCACTTGTAATAAAATAAATGTGAGTGAGCGTAACAATTTGTGATGAAAAGGACGAAGTGAATGAAACCACAGAGTTCTTAAGCAATTGAACGAAATGTGAGTGCAGTGAATGTAGTGAATGAGTGAGCGCCTTTGCAAGCCCAAAAAATCATGAAAGGCGCGTGCCATTGCATTCCTTGCCGTTTAATACATGTTTTAGTATTCTCTTCACACACGACATGTCAGACCATAAACAAACAAGCAAACATAGTCTCATAGTTGTAAACGCTGCGCGTCACCGCGCGGCCCGGAGTCGAGCGTCGTAGTAGCGCGGACAGCGCGGACCGTGCGAAGAGGGCAACGGAGCGTTCATCAGTCGCCATTTGAGCGCCAAGTCGTTATTTCAGGCATCCCAAGGCATCCGGGGTACCCTGGAAGTTGTCCTCAGTTCTTGGGAGTTCTTCAAAGGATCCTGAGGGGGCTCTCGAATAGCCTTTAGTACACCTTCCAAGAGGGCAGCTGGCAAACTTTCGCTGCCTGGGAGTGCAAGATTCAGTAGAGAGGAAATGGCCATTGTAGGGGCGTGCAGGCTCACAGACTATGATTGTTTCGCCCGAAAACAGGGCTTTTCTCACCCTATCACGAGGAGCCCCGCTTGAGTGGAATAGGGGGCCCGAGGCCAATGCGAAGATTAATCGTGTGGTGTCGTGTGGCACATGTTGTAGTGGCTACAGCAATACACAGCGCATCATATTTCGTGAAACCAAGAAGCCTCTGTGTGCCAGGAGCTTGAGCACCGACAGGAGGCACAGCGAAAAGAGCGGCAGCAGAAAGCCCAGGAGGAACAAAAGAAGGCCATGGAGATACTTTGACTAGTTCTGATGTTGCACTGAGCGCTGGTCAAATGCTGGAGCTCTGGAAGTCGCAGTCCATTAAAGTTTTGCTGGCCCCCTTGTGGTGACCTCAGGCAGCTCAAAGTACAGTGCAGGGTGCTTCACAAGGGTTTGTAGGGGTTCACGGGTTGTAGGGGCTGTATGGGTCTAGCTTGCACACGGGCTTAGCAGTCATTGGGAAGCCTCTGCAGGCTGCAGAGACCTCCCGCCTTCTGAACACCAAAGGGCAGCGTACCGCGCAGTGCTCAGAGCGTAAGTGGTGCTATAGCAGGACATGCCGACCAGTGCTGTATGCCACCAACTAAACAAGCCGCTTAAACTCTAAAACAGCTTAACGAACACTTAAGCAGTCAAACGCAAGGCTGTGGGCTTCAAGCTGAAGCCGAGTGTCCTCTGAGCCGCGTGCACAACTGGTCGTTCGCGGAAATGAAAAAGCTTACCCAGGGCATGCTCTGGCGCTTCCCTTCTGTTGCTCTGCAAGAGTGAGGCGTGAAGAAGCATCTGAGCTTGCTCCAAACACCTTCAACGTTCGTAAACTTTGCTCACGTGCCACCCATAACCATGAACCGGGGCCTGACTCGCTGGCAAAGCTTAGACGCGGCTTAATTGCTTTGCTTCCTTGGTCTGAGGCCCGACGCTGCTGGTTCCGGGCAGGGTGTCCGCAGCACGCTTGGGTCATGGAATGTCGACCCAGAAAGCAGTGCTACTAGGTGGTACTAAGCTGCAAGCCGCTCAAAGAATTCAAGGTCAGGATCCTTGTGCAGTCGTCCTAAAGCCGACTAGCTTTTGAGGATTGCTGTTGAGGTTTTGAGCCACTGAGAGTTCTGACACAGCGGGTGGATGTTCATCATTGTGCCCAGCAGCGGCTTGTCTCGACTTGTCCTGATCCTAGTTGCGGCTAATTGCGGCTGTCGATACGGAGTTCTTGAGCTTCATTGCACGAATCGCAGCTCGCGGAGTGGATCAAGCTCAGAGAAGTGATCGAAGCCTCTCCGAGCATCCAGCTCTTGCAGCGTGCTCAGGTCAAGGGGGGGAGAGTAAGAAACAACTTCCTCACCGGAAATTTGTGAAGTTTCACCTGCTTTCGATGTTCGTCTTGCCGAGGTTTGGGCAACTCGGTCAAGTGACGAAGGCAGGATACGCGAGACGAAAGTCACTGATGTGGGTGCTGTCTGTGCTTATGGAGGCTCCTAGGTCGATCATGGCACAAGTACCTGCTACTGTACTTACTGTACTCGGTCTTGTAACGGGACTGTGGATGATCCGGTGCCGAAGCGCTAGGCAGGCTGCTGCAGCTGGCAGCTAGTTTCAATCCCCGCTTGTGTGTCGCATTTGCACAGGCACACAGAAGACATCTGTCGTAAGCTCAGACACGATGTTCATTGGTGTCTTTATGATTTCGTGTTGAAAGTTGAAGTTGCTAGCATGCACCCCCAGCGCATAATTCATTCCTGCTAGAACTAAGTCCTTCAGACATACGATTGGGGATGAATGACCTCATCCCACGTCGTCGTTCACGCGCGCATACCAATGCTGGCATTTGGGCGTTGTTCTTGGGGCAAGCAGTGCAATCTTGGAGGTTTGTTGCGTGTGGGCCAGTGATCGTGCAAAGTCGCGTAGCAATGTTTGTATTACGGTTTCCCGAGGAACGGCTCGGTTCGGCGACATACAATGACTCGCTTTTGTTTAAGAAGATACCCTGTTGGAAGTCTCAGAGGATGTGAACTGACACCCGTCCCAACTTCTTGGAAACCTGGCGTCTAATGGCGATCGCCAGCCCGCACAGGAAACTTTCATCCGAGACTTGGCCCGCCCAGACTTCAGAGACCCGACCCAGCCAGACGGACAGGGGACTTCTTCGGCTACTCGGGCTATTTTGCAAAGAAACGGGCTTGTCAGTGAGCCGGGCCGTCTCACCCGGGTAGTGTCGCGATACCACGAGATTCTCAGATCCTTCGTAAGCCTGACTGTGCTACTGCACCGAACCGAGGGGATTTCATCACATACGTTCCACGTCACCTTGCCACGGATTTGAGCTCGCCGCGTCGGGGACTCTTTGATGTTGCGTGATGTTTGTTGTCACAGTTGGAGTGTGGCCTTGGGTTGCACAATCCTAGTAGAGCTTTCGCCTTTCATGACGCCTTTCGCGGCAACCTTGTGGCAAGCGGTGCGGAGACAAACGCACTGGTCAATGCACAACACCTTCCATCCTTGCTGTTTCCGTATCAGGTGGTTTGCTGCTTCTTGTTTTTCTCTATGTCGGCATGCCTAGGCTCCCGGGTTTATATAGTCGGCCATGAGAGGCTTCGCAGACTACCAGGGCTCTGTGGGATGTTGTCAGACAGAGTCAGACAAATCTCAGGTGCACGCTGCAATGAGTCAGATGGAGTCCCGCCGCAAGGGCAGCAAAGGAGCCGAGGACCGATCCTCCGCACGGCAAAGATTTGATGCGGTTGATGTTGATGTGCATTTTTGGAATCTGAGACAATCTCAGACCCCAGCTGGAGAGGGTTCTGAGCTGGCAGGCTGGTGATGGCTCAGTCCGCGGTACGCTGAGCCCTCAGCGGTGTCCCTTCGGGCGATTGGGAATGCCAGGTCTTCCCCTTTGTATTGTTTTTTTAAGATAAGCACCGTTGCAGGAAGTAGTATATCACTCATGACGAAAAGGCGATACGAAGATCAGTTCTTCAAGACGAAGCTCTGCATGTTCTGGGAGAAGGCACTGCGCATGCTTGTCTTAGGTTGCAGATTCATGTATGTCTTTGGGGTGGCGGCCGCTGCACATGCTGCACTCACTGAATCGATAGATTGAGTTTAGAATGCGAGTGTCGAGACTCCTCTGTCCCCGCTCCACTTCAAGACCCAATGTTAAAGCTAGGAAATGAGAAGCGCGGCCCTATTGAACTGCTGGAACTCCATGGGGAGTCGCATCCTCCTGCTGCACTTCTTCCCTGAGTTGCATGTGTTGCAGGGAGCCTGCACGCGCGGTACGAACTGCAAGTACGCACACGGTGACAAGGCGTGGGCCACAGGGAGGAGTAGAAGAAGTCTCGAATCAGGGGCTTGAGACAGAGGAGTAATCGTCTGGTGAACCAGTGATGTTTTGAAGCGAGGAGCTGAATGAAATGCCGAACCTGACCAAGACGCCCGGGGCCTGGCACCAGGGGCTAGAGTCGAAGAATTGTTGTGCGGCCTTGCAGTTTTACTAGAGGGTTTGGCTTATGGTGGGGTTGGCTATAGCATGTTTGTCTTGAGTGCATCTCACATTTCCCCCCCCCCCCCCACCCATATCGCCCCAAAACTTGGTTTCTGTAACGGAGGGCAGGGAAAGGGCAGGGACACACTGAGGTGTTGTGGGGAGGGGATTTTCACAGACTGTGAAGCTTCGCTCGAGCTGTCTCAGGTCACTTTGCAAGGATCTACTGACTACTGGCACTTGCACAAGGCGACTGCAAGCTAGGACCTGTCACATGTTTCGTTGCTGTCGGCAAAGGCACGGAGATTGCACCCCTTAAGCCTGCAGGGATGGATGCCTCTTTGCGCACAGTGTGGAGGACCGGATCGTTACACATCGCAAGAGCCCCCAGTCCCCAAACTGATTCCTGGACTTAGGGTATCTTTGAGTGCCCTTAAAATTCATGGGATGAGTCGGGATTCGGAGCCTTGGTGGATGGGTGATGCCGGACGCAGGAGCTCAGGGCCACCAACAAATTTTACAAGACTTCGATGTGCAGCAGCTTGTCTGCACCAGCAGGGGAGATTTCAGTTGACGAGGGGTTTCAATGTGCCAGGGCTGCTTTCATTCATCCATGCAGAACCCGAAACCCTGCGAGAATTGTCCACAGCGAACGTGTCGCGCGCTCAGGCTTCCACCGGGTGGGCCAGTGCAAGCTTGGAACGGCTTGCGGGGCGCTCGATTCTTTGACACATTTTTTGACTCAAGTTTGGCCTTGCATCTTGGCCGGTGTGAGAAGCTCAAGTTGAAAGGAGCCTAGCTGCCAGCTATTTGCCCCTCTTTCCGAACTTGTCCCAAAGTGTTTTGGAGTGTTCTTGGCCGGGGCTTCAAGGTCTTCGCGAAAATCTGGGGGGGGGGAGAGGGGAGGGGCCTCACCTGCTCCGCTTATAGGCATCCTGCGGTTTGATTCGGTTTGACAGACCAAGGGCCATGCCAGGGGGCTGAAGACGGAGTATGTGAAATAGACTGCCAAAGCTGGGTCGGCGAGCTGATTCCTGACAGAGATGCAAACTCGCTGGGCTCTGACTGCACACGCTGTTGAACTGAGTGCAGTTCGTGATGTTTTGGGGGACTGACGGAGGGGGCGTGATGGGTTAGGTTGTTTGGGCATTTGGCTGAGGGCCCTGGGAAGCCATATGACAAGCAATGCTGGCACCCCTAGGCCCTAGGCCCTAAGCCGCTTAGTTGGGGTTTATCAGTCCTACCCTTAGAGCTTAGAGGGGAAAGAGAATGACGGTGTAACTGAACCAGGGCAGTTTGCCAACAGAAAGGAATAGGCACCTCTAGATGGGGCTCTGGTTTTAGGGTTTGCTTCCTCAATTTCGGAGCTGCTTAGGCCGCCATGCACACGACCCAGCTGAGCTCACGGAGATTTCGCGGGTGAAGGCTCTGACCATGGACGACACGGAGGTGGACGCGAATTCGTGATCGGGAACTCGCCCTAACCATGCCAAACCCCATTCTCCAAGCCTAGGTTTATGCTGGTCAACACTCAGGTTGCCAACAGCTGCTCTGCAGTCTCATGTTTTCAATATGATATTGCTTCAAGACCAGCCTGAAACCATTAGACGTTCTTTTTCAGGTGGGCGGAATGGGCCCATCTGGCCGAACAGCTGCTCGTCGTGGTCCTCGCCTAGGGCTCAGCTCTTCCACTTGCGCTCTTGGTAGCCCAATGGTGGGGCGCGTGCTCCTATCCATGTCTTTCCAATCCCCGCAGACCCGAGCTCAAGACACTAATCGAAAGTCCTTCTGCTTACCCCCCCTCAGGTACGAGCCATAAGCCGCTTTGCAGACACCACCGAAATCGAACCAAGACAGCTCAAGAAACCAGCTGCGAACATTCCGAACATCGTGCATCTGCCTGGCGGCTCAATGCAACGGCTTCGGTTCGAGATCGAGGTTCAACAAGAGTGTCAGGCTCTCTCTTGGAAAACCTTCTGAAAACTGTTGGTGCTATTCTTTTTAGAGATGCTTGCTTTGCCCGACATCGCCGCTCGGACCTCTCTGGGGATCCTGCTTCCAGTTCGATTTTTGTTGCATGTGTGTGTGTGTGTGTGTGTGTGTGTGTGTGTGTAAGGTGTGTGTTGGAAGAGCTTTGCAGGAAAGACACGTGCCGAGAAGAGCGCAAAGAAGATAGTGCTGAGCACCGAGGACGAGGAGGAGCACAAGTGATGTAGAGTTGTTCGGCAGTTTGGGCTCCAGGAGGATGACTCTTTTTGTGCGGTTTCCAATGTCGGGCCGATCCCGGTACCCTTTGCGGCCGTCCCCGCAAACCGAAACGAGTCATGCTGAGCTTTCAGTGCTCTTTCAAGATCCAAGACACAAAGACACAGCAGTCGTCCCCCAACCATCCCCAACCCGTCTTTGCTAGAGCTTTCTCGATGGAGGATGACGACTTCCCTGAGACACCGTCAGGGCCTCACGATTCGCTTCCTTTTACCGACACCTTGTAGCCCATGTAGCCGCACCTCCGCCAGAGGGGCTGAGCGTGACTGAGCCTCATGCCTCTCAGATCTTAAGTTGGAGGTGACGACGTGAAGCTTCTCTAAGCACAATCCAAGCATCCATGCCAATCTGCAGGACATGGGAAAGGGTGCCGGCCTGAGCGCTCCAACTCTAGGGGTCAAGTATTGACAGCTATCCGGACCAGATGATACCACATGCCTGTTCACTGCAACATCAAGATAGCACACGCACCTTGGGAATCGGCCCAGATGACAACTTCTCCAGCTACGTTGGGGTGGCTCCCAAACGCCGCTTTCCAGCCACTGTCGCCCGAGGGCGGGAGCCTCGGTATTCTCAAGCATTGGACAGACCGGCGTGAGAGCATGCGCAGCGCATGGTGTTCCACCCGGTGTTCAAACGGGGCACACGACGCTCCGGGATCTGCGAGGCAGGCGAAAGGCGTAAGCTGGTGGCCAACGGTTTCGGGTGACCTTGCAGCTCCGATTGCTGCCAGGATCTTCGGACTGTCAACATTTTGTGCGTGTATCCGACTACTGTAGTTGATTGAGCGGTATTGTAGTTGCAGAACTTATGCGCCCACAACGAACGCCCAAAGCAACCCAGCCACTACCAAGCACAATCGCTGTGAGAAGTGAACGACGCCATAAACTCTTGTGTGATGTCCCGCTTCCGTGTATGGTGCAGCCTGTGACTTCATATTCATGACATTTCATGACTCTCTTTGTGGCTTGTACGATTTGTGCAAATTGACGAACAAACAAGCAGAAGGAGCAGGATGCTGGTGAAATTCCCACAAAAGGGAAGCTACAACGCGACAAAGCAAAGTCCGCTGCCGACAAGGCTTCAATCAAGCACATTAGCGTAGAAGACGAGCTACCGGTGACTGTGCATGGTGCATGAAAGAAATGCCCAAGCAGAAGGTTGACGTAGGCCTCTCTGCGCGCAGGCGTCTGGACTTAGGAAGCAGTTTACATAGGGGCTGTTCCTGTCACTCTGCTGCATCTCTTCAGGTGTCTCAGCTCCCAGCGTCTCGTCCAACTCCACAGCGACTGGCGGGGCTGCGACTGCATCGCAGCACTCGGATGATCAGGAGCCTTTGTGTCGAGTGCTCTTTCCACGCCGTCAAGAGTCAGGAGGTGTAAGTAAGAACGTGCAGTCATGCACTGAGTTGGCAGTTGATGCACCTTGTCTTGCATTTGCAGGATGATGAACTGGACGATGTTGTGGACATGTGGGCAGCGAGCCAAGAGTCATAATCTGATGTGGATGTGGCTGATGGCAGATTGTGAGTCGAGGTATTTGGGTCCTGTCCCATTTTGCCTTCATCGCTACTGAGGCTCGGATGAAGACCGTGCCCGCCCCCACAGCTATTACAAGCTCTCCAATGGACAGCACCTCAGCACCTTACTTTGGTGTCAAGGCAACGGCCTAGGGAGAACTGGCGGTAAAATGCGGTAGAATCCTGAGAGGACACGTGCTTCAGTGCTTCTGAGGCACTTGGCTCACAGCTTTTCAGTCGCGGTAGATTTTCTGCCGAAAGCAAGCACTGGTACTGGACAAGCTCACCCCCTCCACCCCCCCGAAAAAGTATCTCCTGTTGACTCAGATGGGCCCAAAGTGGCACATGTCCGGCGCGCTGCTCTCCTTAGCCTGTGCTGAGGACATTCATGCCTGCCGGAATCCGCTGTTCGAGCAGCATTGGTTCAGCGCCGATGTCCGTGCGAGATCCTTCCGTGAGTTTCCTGAGTTGTCGGAAGAACTGAGACTTTGTCCAGCTTTCAATGGCCAAAAGAACTGTTGCCAGGGAAGCTTGGAACATGAGCAGGCGTTGTACTTTGCATACTGGAGGCAGATTTTCAAGAGCAAGATCACGCGGATTAGGCAGTCGCAGCTGTCAACCCTCGAAGTGCAGAGAGACCCGAAATTTAACAGTGACGATGGTGAGCGGGACCGCGAGCAGTTCTGGTCGGCCATTCAAAAGTACGAGAGGCTCCTTGACCCCAAGGCAGGCCACGCCCGCTGCCTGTCGACACTCCTGACTTACGTGGCGGGGATGATGTGCTTCGGCTGCAACGCAGATTGGAAGCACGAGGTTCACCTTGGGTCCACTGGAAAGCTGCTGAGAGTCCTAATCCCTGAAGGCGACTGCATCGAGCTTTGGACAGAGTGTGCAGAGTTTGGTGCGCAAGCACGTCAGTTGAGGGAAGCGATCTTGGACTCCAGTTTGGCGATGCGAGCGCGGCTGCCGTTTGAATACCTCCAGATGTTCGAGGACCAGCAGCAGCTCTGCGATTGGGCTCACGATGTCATTGCCATGCATCCCTTCACACGGCCCGGCGAAGTAGAGCGGGAAGGCACCCCGCCTGTCCGACAAATTGGCGGCAGACGGCTCGACAACAGCACCAGCTTCTCTGATGTGATCATGGAGTATGATGTCATGAAGCAGGGTCGATCCTCAGGCTTCGACACGTCGTGGGAAGGTATGCAGGCGCGGAGTGCGAGTGGCAGTCTTCATTTCTTTCTCTCAACCTCCTTTGTTGCCTTACTCACCACGTGTCGAAGATGGTAAGCTTGCCTTGTAAAGCAAGCGAGGCTTCGAGAAAAAGTCGCGTGCACACGCTTCGTCGGGGCAGTGGGGCTTAGGACATAGCGGACAGAGCGCCTTCGGCTCCGTACTGGTAGAATCGGATGCAGTAGCCCAGCTGTTGCGACACTCTCATGCCTCCGAGCCTTTAGCGTCAACGTTACCGTGTCAACTTGTCGGGTTGCCGCACATGGGCTGCAAGGTGGCGATGAACCGCGGAGCAATGATGATGGGCCTCGACCTTAATTCAATTTGATTGTCTGACAGGCTTTCAAGAAATGAATCAAGACGCCTTTCCCTTAGGTTCGTCAATGATTCGCAACGAGATGAGGGCCCGGGCCGAGCCTTTTGTGGGAATCTCCGGTGCGCAGCTGAGACATGCAAGCTGATGCTTGCCGTTCATGCAGGCAGTGCCCATGACCGCTGCTGGGCCGCTGCAAATGCCGGCTGCGTCTCCAAACATGTGGGAGACCCATTCTGGGAGCGTATGGGGAGATCACTTGGCGTACTTGTTAGAGTACTGCGCTGGTGCTGCCTCACCCAACTGATCCAACTCCCTCGAAAACGTTTCGTCCATGGTTGTCTCGACTTTCTGCTTGAGGTGGTCGAGGCAGACAAGCGGAGGCATGATCATTCAGCAGGCGCTCGGGAGTGGGCAGCGCCTGGTGTGTCGGGCGGTGTGGTGAGTAAGTCAAATGAACCCATCTCTTGATGGAAAGTGAGATGTTGAGTCTGAGACGCTTCTTAGACAAGTCGTTACAGTCTGCCTGGCGCCCTTGACAGGTTGACCAGCTACCCGGCGTCCAGCTGAACGCAGGACTCCATCAGTTTGAGCCAGTTTTCACGAATGCCACATGTTTCACAGGGTGCCATGCTGTGCATTGCAATGATGTCCTATATCCATACGCTGTCTGCTGTTCCAGGAGTTCGGGGTGACATGCAGCAGATGGTCATGGTGCAGGCAATGCCAACAGTTCAGGCTGTGCCGGCCGTTCAGGCCGTGCCGGCCGTTCAGGCCGTCCCGGCCGTTCAGGCTGTGCCAGCCGGTCAGGCTGTGCCGGCCGTTCAGGGTGTGCAAACGGTCCAGGCCATGCAAGGCGTGCAGGCCGTGCAGGGCGTGCAGGCTGTGCCAGGCGTGCAAGCTCTGCAAGTTACCTGACAGAAATAGCCACCGATAAACGGTGTTTGCTGCCAAAGTTGTTGCCCCCAGCTACTTTTTCTTGTCAAAGCCTACGGCTGCGCGTAGCTGAGCTGATGGGATCTGAGATGGGCAGATGCAGTGTGGTCATAGCTAGGCCGTTAAGGTTTGCAAGCCGATCCAAAACTCGGACGAATGCTGAAGTATGCTGAAGTATGCTGAAGTTTTCCTGAAGACTTCCAAGGTTCCTTGCGTCTTCATGCCAGTTCCGGTGCCACAACAGGTTCCCCAGAAAAGAGGCGGGGCCCAAGCTGTCCAGTCTCAGTGTCGCATGGCATCGCAACTTCCCAATGCTCTCTGCTGCCTAGCTCCAAGGCAGGCCCAGTGTGTCAGGAATAGGTATATTCAGGTATATTATCCCACAGCTCCATGCCGGGTAAAGGCTCTCTGACTTCCGGATGTGCAGTTGAGTTCATACGCGCTACGCGCTTCGGCTTTGTGTATGGCGCCGATTGCAACGAGCTGTACATGAACTCATGTTGTCAAGTTGTTCAATGCATTGTCGAGCAACTGGGTTCTCGGTGTCGGTGAGCCCAACGCAGCGCGGGAATCGGCAAACTCATGAGACCACTACACGTCAAGTCTGGCAAAAGCCATATAGGCAGGTTGGCAGGGCAACACAGCGCAGGGTCCTCTGCTCAGAAGCTTTGAGGCCCAAGAAGGGAGTTCAGCTGCTCCAACTTTTCTCATGACCTTAGCCCTTGAACCCTGCGCCATCCATTGCAGTTGTGGTAGCAGCTGTCATGTGCGTTCCACTTGAGCCGCAGGCGGCTATATGGACATGAATGCCGGCATTGCTGCACCTTGTGGCATGGACATCCACAAGGCGGGGGCCTTGCTCTTTCTCATTTAGAAAGATGCTCCTGACCCGCCGAACTTGTGCAATGGCATTGGCGCGCTGCCAACATGTCATAGGAACGATCATATCCCTGGATCTAAACTTGTTTGTCAGATGGCGCCCGAGATGGAGGCCAGGGACGGCCTGAGCACTTCTTCCGTCAGCTCTCATCATGAGTTGTAGCGCAGCAGCATAACTTGAAGCATAGCCCACTGGAGGATTGCAAGCACTCAGCAATCATTGGGAGGTGGTCAAGATCAAAACACACCGGTGTCGATATTCAATACGTATTCGGACGAGACTTTAACATGCCACAAGGCCTCTTGCAAACGAGCCTCGCACTGACTAGGGCCCTCCGTGGCCCAGCCCCAAACTCCAAGCACAAGCCTTCAGGCCCCGGGTAGATTCACGTTCATCACGTCGCCGTGGCCGTGGCTTACAGCAGACAGTGTGTAGACTTCCAGCTTTCAGCAGGTGATGCAAGTGGGGACACGGAGAAAGGATGTTCACCTAACTGACCGAACTTCCTGGCTTCGAGGGAGTCGGGGTTCCGAATCCTTCGAGGAAGGTTCTGGGCTTAAACGCCGTTCTTGGCAATGGGCCGGGAAGAGAGATTTCCCTCGACTGGGCGTGTGCCGGCCGGGGCCTGCTGGACCTGCGTCTTTGCGAGGGAAGTTGTCGACCATACCGGTGGTTTTATTGTTGTCAGCATCCTCCAATCTTTCCGAGTCGCCATTCGGATTGGTGGGGCGTCTAGAAGAGCAGAGTGTTCAGCCCAGTCTCTTGCAAACCTCTTAGGACCTTAGGATCTGCAACCGGATCTGCAACAATCCAGTACAAGGAGTCTGTTGGGTTAAGCATGTCAGCTATTGTCAGCTTCCAGGCTATGTGCTCGTGTCCGTGGGATGCTTTGGCACCATCCACTTGCAACTTTGTGCGACTCCATGGCATGATGGTTTGCTGGCCGCGCTCTGTACCACCTTTGTGGTCTTCTTCTTTTCCTTGGCTTTCCGAAACACCAGCGGCTTGGCTGATGCTGCCGTCGCGGTGTTTTTTTCATGGCTCTATGACTCTGCTGTGATGCAAAGTGCAAGATCTCAGGCGTCTATGACCCGTACTGGTGTTGGTTCCCATCGTGCGCTAGCATCTGCTGGATGACAGCAAACTTGCATCAGATTTCTGCGCGTGGCTTGTACACGCTTGCTCTCCTTGGCTGCTGGTTTGCACGGTACAGCTGGCAGTGGCCTTGGGAAGGACTGTCGTGTGGCAAGCTGAGAAGCCTTTGGACCACTCATGGATACTCATGGCGTTGTGGGCTTTAGTTGCGCCAGGATGGACCAAGGGACTCTCCACAGAGGACTGGCGATATCCTCTGATGGCCCGGAGCCTGGGCATTCATGATAGCTGTGGACCATTATACTGGCTTGTCGTGAGCCTACTTGGCTCGCACCTGGTGCCTACAATGCTGGTTTGGTGGGTCCTTGGACCTGTACACAAGATCTGGACAGGCGACTCAACACCTGCCTTGGGCGTCCTGGACGTCTTAGCCGTTTGCGTTTCTGTGGCAGGCATCGCCTTGCAGTTTCTGTCAGACGCTCGGAGCCTTAGAGTTCTTCCCTCAAGCCAGTCGGCAAACGATTCAACCTACCTGGAATTCTTCATCGAGTCCTGTGGCCTTGAGGACCGCACCTTGCACCAGTTCCGCCGCAAGCACGTGGATTTGACGAGCCACCGAGCCTTCGAGTCTCAAAGTTGCGAGGCAGGCATCCATTCAGCACCCTCAAGATCTCCCAGGTCCAGAATCCATGCCCTGCCCTCCCCGCAGTAGCTTGTGGCACTTGGATCATCCACATCCTGAATTTAGCACCGCAACTCAATCTGTAGGTTCGCTGCCATTGCATGACAACGGCTTGAGCTTTCCGTTGGTGCAAGTCATGGCGCACTGCGTGAGGGTTCGGCCCAGCGAATGCAACATTACTGTCTGTCTCCGGGGCTGAAAAGAAGATTAGGACATAAACCTACTTAGACTTCAACTTACATGCTTTCTCAGGCGGAGCGGGGTGTACTTTTGGGCACACAACTGGCCATCAAGTAAACGGGCCGTACGTCGGGATCCATGGCTGCCCGTTTGGCATCAGCGTGCTTTTGTTGAAGCCGCACTCCGGTACCCCCTACCCCCCCCCCCCTTCTCCCCCCAGAAACACCTCCTTTTTGGCTTCCAATAGCATCCTGGCACCGTTGCGTGCCTTTGTCGATGACGCGGATGTCTGTATGCTTTCTCGGCCAAGGCCATGTGTCGGGCCGTAGCAAAAGCATGTCGTTAGGTGGGGCAGCATCTTTTTGGGCATGTTCGGGTTTTGGGGCGACTTCAAACCCAGAACCAGAACCTTGCCGAAGTGCTCCAAGGTTTGCTTTAGTCGGTCGGTAGCTAAGAGTTCGGCATTCGGCAACCTTGATCCGATCGCTGTTGGGGAGCTTGACACCAAGGTTGCCCAGCCATCTGTTGCGAGGGCCCTTGGAGTTTCAGCCGCCACCCGAACTACGCTGGGGAGGTGCTATTCTGGGCAGGCAGACTGGATTTTGGGTAATTTGGCTTGTTCTGAAGACACACCCATTGCATCTTGCACAGGTCTTTACTGGGCTTTGGGTGTTGAATGGGTTGGCTCTTGGCAGTTGGCAGTCTACACTATGGATATGACGTGCTGTTTTTTCACTTTCGCAAGGACTACCCTTGTTTGGAACGGGAGGATGTTCAGTGTTCCATTGCATTCGAGCCATTGGGCCGTCTCGGGGGGGCAGTGGCCCGGCCCCAATTTGTTCAAATCAAAAACGATTTCCGGTGGTTGCCCAGCCAGGGATGAATCTGGCTACCATGGCAGATGACTCTTCTGACTGGCTCTGGTCGCTCGGGGGACTGCTCCACTATGCCACAGGCTTGAATTTTGTTTGGTTGCGACAAGACATCGTTAATGCGTTCCAATGTATTTCATGTAGTTTGCGTATCCTCGACCGCTGATAGTTGAGTGTTGAGGCAGTCCCCTTAGATGGACATTGGTTTCAAACCTCTTGTTAACAGCTACACCGGTACACAGCTGTCCACCTTCCCCCCACCCTCCCAAACACGATCCATCCTCTCCCAACCCAAACGTGTGCGTACCTGTTGGGCAGCTGCGTTGGCTCCTGGCCACATCAGCTCGTCAAGGGGCTAAACGAGGGACCCTTATAAGGGAGCTTAGGGGGCTACATTGGGACTACTTGGGTGTATAGGGACATTGGCGCTACTTGACGTAGGTATATACTGTGTAAGGTTGTGTCGGGGAATAAGCTTGAGGGTCCCTTGCCAGCTGCCTCAATCCGCTCTGCAGCCGAGGCATGCTTCTTCAGAGTCTCGGCGTCCTTAATGGACCAGAGGAGTCTGGCACATCGGCCCGGCTTTGAACAGGCTGCGCCGTACTATTCGGAAGGACTTTCGCGATTTGCCCTGGTTTTGCCAGGTTTTGCCTACAATCATGGTGTACGCTGCAATGAAAGGTCCGTTTGTATTTCCTTTTTCTGGTTTCGGTTGATGTCAACCTTGGCTTTTCTGCTTTCAAGCCAAATCTGTTCGACTTCGCATCAGTGCTGTCAGGTTATGTTGGAGGTAAATGCTCTGTTTCCAGCTCCTCTGGTCATTGACAGAGCCGTTGATCGGCTCCTTATTCCTACGATGCGCTCCAAATGCTCCTGACTGTCACGAGGCTTCTTCTGGCACACCCGACAGCACGACAGTCTTGTTCAGATCAGTCCTCTTTCAGATCATGCACTCCAGGACTCAATGGATCAAGCTTGCAGAATTACTTGGCTTTGGCTTCTGAGCGTACATGACGGCCACAAACGGAGACAGCGGAGGGTGATTTGCACCTGAGTCGTGAGGTGGAAGGGGTGCTTGCACAACGGCCGTGCTCAGATGAGGCGAATGAGTAGCAGCAGCCACTTCCAGGCCCAAATTGTAGGGCCAGGCCGGTCAGTCAGATTTGATTAGCAAGCGTGTATTGTTACAGTCGGACCGAAGCCCTTGGCGAGTGGCAACATGACGTGCCGCGATTTGCCGCATCCAGCTGAAAACATGTGTCTTGCGTTTCGCCTCAAGCAAGAATCAACTTGCAAACCTGGTGGTGCTGCACCGAGGTACTAGCTACTGTAGACACCAGTTGCCAGTTGCCTTTGCACAACCCATACTGTTTGCAAAGGGCCTTGTGTGCATCTACCCTCCGACATTCTCATCCGACCTCTGCAGGTGCGACTCCTTGAGAGTGCCATGCCAGAGGTGTATGAGGACTAGAGAGCCAATCAGGACTGAATCAGTGCCCTTGGCTGCAACGGCATAGGCGGTGCCAAGAAAATGAACATGCAGATGACCGTAAGAGAAAAAGCTGGTTCCAAGAATGGAGTTGACCTCGGCCCTTCATGTGAGTACACTGACAATACGTCACATTCGCTGCGACTGGCATCCAGAACATGCAGAACGTAGGGCTTGCTAAATGGCTGCCTTCTTCTTAGATGGAGCTGCGCCCAGGCCAGTTGCGTTGCACGTTGCGAAAAATTCCCAGCTTGCTGGCACCGTTGGCAACGTGAACATGCTCTGAGTCATGTGAATTTTCTCTTCGTCACTAGACCCTAAGACTGTCAACTTGCTGTGCTCGATGTACAGCAAGTTCCTGCATAGCTGTCTTTCTTCTGCCATGTACGTAGCAATTTTCAGCGGGCATGATGCCTGCGGTTCAGCAAGGGCGGCTGTGTTTGCAGGCGTTTGCTAGGAAAACACATTCGCATCAGTTTAAGTGGTGACCAACATAAAAGACGACAATGCCCCTCGTCAACGCATGGACAGCCGCCTTTGTCTTTAACAGTTCTTGTCGCCATACTTGCTTGCTGCGACCGCAAGATCGCAGTTGCAGGTGAAGCAGGGAACGATGGGCTCGGAAGTTTGGTTGTACGAGCTTGGTTGAGACTAAGATTCGGCACTGTCGCTGGTACATCTGAATCAATGTTTTGACAAAAGTCGTGGTTGCTGCTTGTAGCACATTGAAGGTCTCTTGATGGCTCCTTCTGAATCGACCGGAATCCCCAAACAAGTGCTAGCAAGTCGAAACAACGGAATAATGAATCGTGGCAGTGGCTTGTTAGTGTTTATGTCATTGTGTGGTATGGGCTGCAGACTCAAGCTCTTCAGTTCCACGGCCCTTCGACCGGCTTGCCTGAGTGATCTGCCTTCATCGACACAGATGTCAGCGAATCGCTCATCGATGGAACCTGCTTGCAGCTGCAGATGCTCACATAGCTTTTGGTCCAAGGATCCTTCTAGCCAAGCCACTCCAAACCAACCTAGAATTAATCCTTTGGTAGGACCGATGTGCAAGCTGACCATGCAGGAATCAGAATCATTCCAGTGTCGAAAGGCGATTTCTTTCCTGCCCGCACGGAAGCTGGAGAGCAGGGAACCAGCAATTCTTTGCAGAGTGAAAGCGGTCTTCGGGCCGGGAGGCAGCACACAGTCGAAGTGATTTACATACTTCATTTATTGTGAGGGCTTCCTTGATTCTCAACAGAGACGCCGCAAGTTTGCAGTGGCCCTTGTGAAAGCCACAGGAACGCCCGCATTCCCGGCCATCGTGATGTCACAGCTGTATCAGCTGCCACCGCTTCACTTGATTTAGAAGCAACGTTTGACTTAATCGTTCCTTGGGCGTAGAGTTTCGCAAGCTTGTGAAGTCCAAGCACACGTCAGGATCTGCAGTTAGCGTGAAGCAACACATGGGTTTGTATGTATGCAGCGACCCAGGGGAGAGGAGATCTTTCTACGAGTCTCACATGGACATCGTTGGCTTCTGCTAGCGCGGGCCTTAGCCGTCACCACCAAAGACTCATACAATCAAGCCCGTTGTGAAGCAAGTGCGGAGAAGAGCGCATCAATTCACGTCTTGAACTCTTGCCCGCGCAGGAGCAGAAAACCATCTATGCCGGCTATGGCGAGACCTGCCAACTGGCGCCTCAAGCGTGCCGACATGGGCGTTCACAAGACTTCGAAAATACGAAACATCAGACTGACAGTTCAAGAAAAAAACTCGAAGTTTCGAACGCTGTCGCCAACTTCAGATGACAGCAGAAACGTCATCCAGTTTCACCAAGCGTGGGCAAAGGCTTGCTACCTGTGTCTACATTCCGAAGCAGGATGAGCATGTTTGTCTTGTGTATGGGCTTCCGCCTACTTTGGTCAGCCAGCGCCCTGTTTACTTTACTCGTGCATTCTCAGGCCAAACTGTTTGACCAAATCCTTGGAGACTTGTCAAGCGCCTTGAGTAAGAAGCATGTACTGTCATATACATGGTATGTTTAGATTGTAAACGAATACATGCGCACATACAGACATACATACACATACATGTACGCATATATCTATCTCTACTATACATATATGGTGGAGATTCAGCAGCAATAGACCGTGAAGGACCGTTTGCTCCATTGGAAAAATACACTGGACACTTTCGCAGGCCTCTGGCCTCTCGAGGTACTCTAATCTCGTCATCTTTGCTTGGGGGAAGTGTGGTGAAAAACATTTTATTTTTAAACAGAGTTCCTATCCTGATGGTTAGAAGGTCATTGAGTATTGAAAGATGTTGGACTTGTTTCACTGGTGCACAGCCCTCATCGTTGATGTGCCATTCACTTTCCACAGACCTGTTGGGAGCCCATCTGCTCTCGCTAGAAGAAATATACATATAAAAAAGCATATATGCTCAGTTTTTCTCCGGAGGGGTGCAGCAGTTTCCAGCTGTCAAGTAATGGAGCGTAGGCCCAAAAAAAATGGAAGCCATGCTTAATTGAACTAACATGAATTTTGATTAGAGATGTTTCTTTAGAACCCGAAGAGAATTTTCAGGGTTATGCCTTGTACTAGCTACGCATTCGCCCCAAGTTCAAGAGCTGGGGAGGGCGACGCTGTGGACGCTTGTCTGTTTGGGAGTTGATCTTGAAGATTTATGTTTTCGATGCAAAGTGATGAGGGGTTCTCAGAAACAAGCTTCCACAGCGTCCTTTCTGAAAAGTGTAACAATTGATGTAAACTATGATTCGTGTAAAAGGCCGGGAATATCGAAAGAGAATAAATAGGAGCTTGCAATTTCCGTGTTTTTGATTAAGCTGCCGGCTATCGGCTAATCGTATAAGTAGCTTAGTACGTATCACGGACGTCCGCTTTTGCAAAGGAAATTGGCTAGCTTGGAAGATATTGGAGGACAGACAGCGACTGGGACAACCGATGTGCCAACAACAATAACCATTGTAATGGGGGCTAGCGGCAGGTAGCCTTTTGTTTAGAAATTAGGGCTAGCTACAATCGTTGAATTATAACAAGGGCTGGAAATTTTAAGCGACGACCTCGTTTTTAGAGGAACGTATAGGATTATACCGCTACTAGTTAGACATTGGTTCCCCATGTTAAATTTTTTGAACATGTGAACTTGGTTGGACAGTATACTCGGAGTCACTTTTACTTCCGAAAAAGCTTCTACTTAAACAGGTCCTGAATTTACAGTCCCCGAAGTTGAAATGCAAATAGTTCGGATAATTCGGTTGACATAGTTGGAGGTAAACCTTGAAATGGCTTTGAAATGGAAGAGGCTGAACCGAAGGACAGCTACTGAGACAAACGATGCGCCAACAGAAACGACTAGTAGAACCGAGGCGAGTTTTTCATTTTTTTCGGGCTAGTTATAATCCTTGAACACCTCTCTTCGACAGGCTAGTTGTTTTTTGATGGGGCTAGCTATATTCTCGGAAGTACAATAACAACGACAGCAATATTTCGGGCAACGAAGCTCAATTGACCATCGGTTGTCCCAATAGCTGTCCTTTAGCAATCAAAAACCTTCAGCCCAAAACGAATTCTGAGATTCTCCCTGGAGGTTTGGTTGTTCGGTTCTTGGCTTTGGGGCTGCTTGCAAACTCCGTTGCTTCGTCTTTCCCTCGAGCAGTCTTGGTTTTTTTTTTGGTTTTGGTCGAACGTGCCGAGGGCAAACTCCCGAGACGCAAAAAACAGCAAAAACGGGGATGGAACGCACAGCAAAGAGCTAAGCAACCAAACCCAATTCTGAGAGTTTTCTTACCATGATTCATGATGCAGTGACTCAGTCCATCCGCTGTAAAGCCGGTGCTATGTGCTGTTGACTGTTTACTGTGCAAATTTCCCACCTCTGCAGGTCATAGCTTGCTTCTGGTATATAGATATGAATTTTGTTCAGCGTTCTGCTAGAGTTGGTTCTCGAAGAAAGCGTGATTTGGTCATCCGGACCCTGGCCAGACTCACAGCGGCCACGAGGCTGTTGCAGCGTAGAACAAAAGGCTTCGCTCTTGATTTGAGGGAAGTAGAAGTGGATGGTTTCTGGGTTTTGCATCTAGCAACTTCATGAATTCCAGGGGGTCATCAGGAGGAGCGAATGGATTCGGGTGAGGAAACGTTCGATTCGGGCTGAGGATCGTCTCGAGTTTGTTGAAGACACTCACCATATGTTTCTCCACCTCATCTTTAGGTACTACCTCTTCTCGCTGTGGCTACTGAATTCTTTCTAATCACCACAGCAACAGTCCGAATGCCATTTAGAAAAATGCAAGTAGTTGTGGTTGTGCGTTCTGGGTACGCTGTTTCACTTGATTGCTGCCAGAAAGCCTCAACCGGTTCCACACTGCTTGAATCTCCATGGCAGAAGTACTGGTCGTAGATGACACAGTAAAGGGGGAAGGCGAAAGTGAGGCGCCAGGCGATGTTCTCTGTTTGGAGGGCATTCTTGTGGTCAGCGTTCATTCCCCATCTTCCAGTCTCCTTGCCTGCGTGTCTCTCCGAAGCCAGGTTCGCAACATGGCGTTTGCCCGAAGCTTCTGCCTGGTGACTGAGTCTTTGCCAATCTGGGGGCACCATGATATATTGTAACAGCCAGCACTGTGAGTATTTGTGCATCAGCAGTCTGCGCATGATTGCAAAAAGTGAGACAGCTTGGGGTGGTATCGTGATCGAGCTGGGCTTTCTGCAACTAACATGAAATGACTGCAGCCTCGCAAGTTGATGAAACGTGTCTGGAGCAGTGCGCCCCCCCCCGCAGGTGCAAAAAAGCCTTGCTCGAGCACCCATGGGTAGCTTCGGCAAATCCCTCAGGGATGTTGCCAACAATGTGGAGGCCCCAGGGCCTTGGTCTACTGACTGCTATTGGCCACATCCGTGTGGGATGCAGAAGACTGCTCATGGAAGTGAGGGTTCAACATGGCTTGCCAACCCGCGGCCCCTTGGCAAAAAGGGTCAGCTTGCAACCACCTGTATTCACCAGTTCACGTGAAGTCTTGGGTCATAGTGGTGTCATGTGGCAGGAACGCCTCACTCAGCTGAAGCAAGAGATCCAGGAGGACGAAGGTGGCTGCAGGTGCGAACTTCCAAGCCGGAGATGCTGAATCCCACAAAAGCCTGGGTCTGCCTCCGTGTTAGGGTCGAATTCCTCTTCAGGAACTTGTCTAGATGCACCAAGCTTACACCCAGCACATGCCACGTGCAAGGTAGGATTATGAAGGGCTGTTTGTCCTGGTGCAGGTGTGTGAGGGCTCTCCATGCTAGCACATCGACTACATCAGCCCATGCAAAATGATAGGCCTTGCCACAGCCAGCCACAGTAGAGGAAACTTCCATTGTTTTCAGAAGAAGAACATCGGCATCCAAACAAGCTTCAGCCCCATGTAAACTCAAGCCCCCCAGACGCGCCTTTCAACATCGTGCAGCTGTCAATCTCAAGATTTACCAGAACACAAGCCACAAAAGCGCCTGCTCTCCAGTTCCGGTGGCCCGGGGGCTTCTCTCACGCGGCCCACTGCACAACTGCCTGCAAGAGGAGGAGGTGGCTGCCTGCCAGGGAGTCGCCAGACCATGGCACAGCAATAGCAGCAGTGCGTTCCAGATGTCACCGGCCACTTCTTGTCCTTGCACAGAGCACCTAGCAGAGATGGTTCCATTGCTTACTTCAGCTGTTTCTGTACCCTCGTCAATTGTCTTCAGCTCATGTCTTCAACTGCCACGTAAGATGCCTCTCCTGGTTCAAGAGGGTTCAATGTTGTCGGAGTCGGGGACCTCTGCCCCGGCCGCGGTTAACGAAACATGGTGGTCGGGGCCCTGGGTCGGGCTTGCATTGGCAAAGTGTACTGTCAGCGAGGCTCCGTGAGGCTGCCAGGGCTTTGGGATGGATCCCTTTAAGGTGCGGCGCCTGACGGCCCGATTTGCAGCTGCCATGGAGTGGTGGGAGGAGCTGGACGAGGCAGAAAAGCGCCCGCGCCTCAGGTTTTAAAGGGTGATACTTTCAGCAGGGTTCAGAGATATGGGCCCATAGGAAGAAGTGGCGTGCCAAGATGGTACCTACACAGGCCTCCTTAAGTTGGTTGGATCCTGAACTCGCATCCAGTGTCAGGCGTTCCTTGAGTGAAGCCCCCCCCCCCCCCCTCTGCATCTCCTTGGACCTGAAACAGGCGCCAGTGCAGAGAACCACACGGCAAAGAACTTAAGCCTTCAAATCCGACAGAGAGGTCAAACGGCGTGCTTACCCGAGAACTTGCTGTTCCTCCGTGAACCGTCAACCTTTAAGCCACGCCATCTTGTCATCGAGTATCATCGTGTATCAGTCAAAAAGGTGAGCCTGGTGAGCTCTTACTTTCCCTTTGCCCAGTCCTGGCATGGATGGCCACTGGAATGTACTGGGGCACCTTCTATGGGACCTATGTCCGCCGCGGCAAGGCTTGGGGGGGGAGAGGAGAGTCTGGAGCTCTGTTACTCCTCTCTGCCAGACTGCGTAGTCGCTGCACTTGTGTTTTTTTTGCTTCGCGCTGCAGTTGGCAATCCCAGAGTCGGACTATCTTGCGCGAGCCTGAATCGACTTGCAAGCATGGGAAGCCTGAATCACTCGTTGGCAGAAGCTCGCAAGCTTCACAATTGTTGTTAAGTTTATGGATGCGATCCCTTCTCACAGGCACATCAGGTCAGGCAGGCTGCTGAGCTTGAGTTGTCTGCATCGGCCCAGTTGACGTCCATCTACGAGGTGCCCCAGGCGAAGAAGAAAGCTTTCGAGGCCCGACAAAACATTTGCACAGTCGAAAACAAGGTACCCAAGCACTGGTTGCAAGTGATAGCTCACCGGGCCTCGCATGCAGTTCTCAACTGCGCCGGCCAAGCCACCAAAGCAACCCTGCAAGGCACAGACAGGAGAAAAACACACACACACACACAGACACAGAGACAGACGCAGAGTTCCTCAAGCTCTTAGGGTAAGTAGCACAAGCAGGCCAACTGGAGCGACCAAGCGCGACTGGCTCAGCGGCAGCCAGGTTATGAGTGGACGCGAACCTATAAGGCGCGCATCTGCGTGTTTGATCGTGTTGGGGCAGGTCTGGCTGCAAGAAGTGTTTGGGAAGAAGTGCTATGCAGGCCATCGACTGGGCTGAAGCGCCCTTCCAGTACATCTCCTTCCGTATGTGGGACCAAGCAGGAAGCTACTACAGGCCAGGCCCTTGGAGACCAGCACAAGGGTCCATTTCGGAGTGGGGTTTGACAATTTGAGGCAATGAGATACTCATATCGTCAGTCTTCCCCTAACATTGCATCGCCGAACCGACCTTGATACATGGGCGCTCTCAGCGCGGGGAGGGCATACGCCTGGCCGCTTGACCATCATGCCGCGAAGACGAGGATGAGAGGGAGGGGGCCGGAGGGGGGGGAGGGGGAGGGGACAGGAGGGGGCGGGGGGAGGGGCCTGAATCGGCTCACATGGACTTTGGACTGCGGGTAAGCCTGCCGCGTTCGGCCTGACCCCTACGTCCGGCAGAGCAAGAATAGAGAAAGAAAGACAAAGAGAGAGCGAGAGAGAGAGAGAGAGAGAGAGAGAGAGAGAGAGAGAGAAAGAGAGAGAAAGAGAGAGACAGAGTCAACATCTCCGAGCTTTTCCTTCCCACTCCGAAAGCTGGGGCGAGGGGCAGACCCCCGAAAGAAAGAAAGAAAGAAAGGAAGGAAGAAGGAAGGGAGGAAAGAGAAGGGCAGCCAAGATCCAACCATGTCTTGCACAAGAGCGAGCCAAGATTTGGCATGAGCGGGGGGAAGTCCGCCATGTCGCCCTCTCCCCGTCTTGAGTCTCGACACCTCGCCATTCCATCAAAGGAAAGCCACTCGACTCCCAGTCCTTAGGAACCTTGGTTGACGCGCTGACGCGCTGACGCGCTGTGTACATCATAGCCGTCATAGCCTCATGGATATGTGCCTCGGATGCCCCACCCCGCTTCCTCTCACTCGTGATGCACCAAGTGGCTCTAGGATCCCCTCAGTTTTGTGGGGGTCTGGAATGGTGACCCTTGACACCCTTGAGGGTCAGGAACTCAGAGGTCTGAAATGGGGTTAGGGGACCATTTTAGACCCTTCCCAGCTTACCCATTTCACGTCAACCCCTCGCTGAAGGGTCTCACGACCTTTCCGTTGTGGTCTAGAGAACCAAACCATAGCCAATACCGACAAGTCCATAACCAACAAAGGGGTCTGAAATGGGCTTTTTCAAATTATACCCAGCTCCCGGGAAAAAAAACCACAGTTGGGGGTCTATAATGGGGCCCCAACCCCACCCCTCACAAACTGAGGGTGTGCTCTACGCTCTAGGTTCATGCAAGTGGCTTCCCATGCTTGCCACAAATATCTTTGTCACCCAGGATGGTCCAGTTTGACTCTACGTGGAAGGAGCTGACGAAGCGCGTGGCAGAGACCTGCGCCAGCCAGAAGGACCAATTGCTGCCGAAAATACTGCGTGAAGCTGTAGATGTTGGACAACTGCTAATCGCACTTTGAGCAGTGATTGCGAAGGACACTGTCTACAGAATACTGGTGGACGACTCTGTGAAGCGAATTATTGAATGACACAGTCTTCATCATTGCCCAGGTGTTGATGTTGTACAGCCCAGATGTTTCGTCATGGTGCAAGAATGTTACCATTGACAGCGCTCTGCTTACTGTGAGGGTCTTGCTCAGCTCCCGGTAGGTTGTGGCCACGGAGCCAAAGAGCTGGTTGTGTCAAGCAGAGCAGTTCACTGGAAAGTTCACTGTAAACAGAGCGGAGTTGCAATTTTCGACAGCGCCGGAGCATGCAATATTATGCCATGAAACCCCGTCTCTGGACGAAAGGAAAGACTTTACCTCAGCACCTTAACCCATTCCAACCTGAACCACTTTGACGAGTCGCTGGATCCACGCAGAAGCTGGCGTGATATTCGCCGATTAACCGCAGCAGCTGACTTGCATCATCGAATCATTGTGAGAAAGGCATGTGTAGCCTTGCAGATCGTCGCTTCTCACCCAACCATCGTGCCTCGTCTCGCACCCAACGCAGATAAAATGTATTCTGGCGTGCGTCGCTAAACTGTCTTTGCTGGAGCACCAAGCCTGAATAGTGCCTGAATTTTGTTAGCTCTGCAGGGGACGACACATCCTCCTCACTGAAGGCCCGGAGGGATCTGAGCACAGAAGTGAGTCGGTTTTAGGATGCCTGTGTTGTGTTTGTCTCCTAAAAGCTTTGCCAGTAGCACATATTTTAACAAGCGCAGCCCAAGCCCGAGCATGTCAGGCCACGGGCTCCAGAAACTGGGAAGCCGCTCTAAAATGCGTGGGGCCCAAGGGCAGCAAACAAGAAGGCGATCAGATTGGGTTCTGAGGTTTTCTCAAACTCATCCACGTGTGCTGTGTTGGCACAGTTTTTAATAACTGAGCAGAGTTGACGTCTCAGGCTGCCGTACTTGTTTTGGCGACTCGAGGCTTTCGTGGGATGTTTCGATACTTCGCACGATAACCCAATTCGACGGCACTGCTGTTGCCTTTTCGAATCACCTGATCACCCGTTGTCTCAACAATAAAAACGTTCACGTCGTAGACACCGAATCAGCAACGGAGTGAGGTCCACTGAGCGCAAGGGATGGCTACGATCGGCCCGCCACGCGAGATGGTGCGGGCCTTTGGGTTGAGCCAACCGCGACTCCACCTCGAGCCTATTTGGATTCTAAGTTCTGACTTAGGGAAATGTAGGGTTGTAGCTGGAGGGGCCTCAGCACCTTGTCAGAGTCACTGTGAGGCTTCCATCCTACACCTAAGTGTTCACCTTTGCTGTAAGCTGCAAGGTGTTCGGCCGTGCACACAGGATGGCGGCAGCAGATGGCGCGGGGCTTTGGGTGTCCAGCCGTCCTGCGGAAGCGCGGGCAGGTTAGTGCAGTTTGCTTCGTTCCTAGAACTGGGAAGTTCTTGGCGTGTGTACGCAGGGATGCGGGCCGTGGCGTCATGTACGTCCCAGAAGGGGTTGAAGCGGGGTATACGCTATGCTATCATACAGCTCTCTCAGGCGCGGCGGCAGCAATTTGGACAGCAGTCGCCCGGTGACTCGAGACGGTCCTGTATTGGAACACTCTCGACAAACACTGGACGGCCGTTGCCTTAGTCGGACGCAGGATGGCCTGCCTTGTTTGCTCGACAGTCATGTGCAGGCACTGAGGCATGTTTTCGTACATGCCCAGGTAGAGGATTATGTTGAAGCAGACACCCTGAGCTCCCTTTTTGTTACAAGGCGTTCGGCCTAGCACGAGAGATGGAGCGAGGCTGCAACAGGCCGCCTTTGCTCGAGGGTGGGTTTTGGCTGAACATGACTGGATGGGTTTATTCTAGGGCGACCATGACTGCCAGTTCGAGCACCTATTCACAGATCGACATGGCGTTCTTGCAGTACACGCTCTTAGCATGTGGCCGCGTACGGGCTTTGAAAGTTGTACTTTGCCGACAATGACGAATGGTTAAACAAGGGCATGGGAAAGTGCTCTGCCATCCTTTCTTAGTGTATCCTCGATCCTTCGCCAAAGCATCTGACAGATGATTGATGGGAATCGTCGATCAGCTGAAGCTGGAGCTCGACCTGGGACCAGGCCATGAACTGAAAGCACGGATTCGTGCTGATGAGCACTAAGTACTGATAAGTGTCTCCCAACTCCCAATGCATCCCCCAACCTCTGTCGCAGGGACGGGCGCGCCTCCAGGTCTCGCAGCCAAGTTGGGGATATTAGGGGGCCTCCCTCAAGTCTGGGAGGGTTTGAGGGTTGGGAACGTTGAACATGTCGGGCTTCAGCTTTCGGGCTTGGGGATGCTTGGGGATGCTTGAATCGCTTGTCGTGCTTCCACACAGCCTCCCCGAGCTTGACTGCTACATCTTCTTCGGAGTCGGCATCAACCCGACTTATTGTGTTTGCTTAATGCAATCACAAAGAAGAGGAATGGAAAGTCTTCAATGCCTCAGTAATGCATGTACCTGACTCTTCGCGGCAGACACCCTCTCTACAATTTCTAAGATGATCTGAGATGTGAGCCTTGGCAGGGGGGGTACTGCCGAACGCCGTGGCCATGACACATCCATGCGTCAGGACCCGGATTTTGCGCTGATGTCAAGATGTTGTTGGCGGGAGTTGCTGTGCTGAGTAGCTGGTTGTCCTGGAGTTTCGGCTCGGCTGTGGAGAGACTGTTACAGCTACCTGGAGAAGCGTGGTCAGAACTAGAATGCAAACATAAGATCCAAGCTGCTGCAATGAGAACTCGCAGGGGTGGTGCTTTCATTCCGCATGTGGAACGATCATGCAAGTGAATTCGGCTGTGAAAGATTTTGGGGTCCGGGGTCCAGAGTGTCAGGACTTCCGGGTAAGGGGATGGGGGGGGGGTGGGCGTGTTCCTGTGGGTTGCCGTGGCATCCGAGAACTTGCAGGCGACCGGCAGAAGCAAGAAGCGCCATCCCTCCCAGCACGTGTGGAGCTGAGGAAGCTGCGGCCCAATGTGACCCATAGGAAATCTTGGAGAGGGGCAACCCACTTTAGATCCAAAAACTCAACTTGTCCCTTCAGTCCCTGCTCGCTAGGGCTGCGAGGGTCGTGAGGGGTGCGATTGTTCTAGGAGCTCCTTCTCTTGGTTTCTTGGAAACTCTTCGAATCGCGGAAGCCGCTTAGGCTTTAGGAACCGGATGTCGGGAGAGCACTTTTCTCCATCCCAGGCGCCTGAGGTCTTAAGCCTGGACAACAACAGCTCCAGTCCCGAGGTGGGGTTCTGAAGTTCCACATGTGTTCCACATGTGTATGTTGGGATGCCATCTTGCCCATCTGTGCGGCCCGCCTGTAAAGGTGGCGTTTAAATGTCGCGCTCGCGACCCCTCTCTCAGATCTGAAGCTCGCAAGAATTTGCCAGGTTCAGATTCAACCTCAGCAATCTCAACCTCTACAGTTGCTTCTGATGGAAGACTCCCGGCAGAATCGCGCTCCTTTCGGCGTGCTGGCACCTGAGTGCCTCAGCCCCTGCATGGACGCCGACGAAAGTGCCGGGAACCTATCCGATGGACTCGAGCTGATTGGTTGTTCCATGTTGTTCCTTTGCCAGCATCTTCGTGTGGCAGCGCCACTTAGGCCGAGCTGCTTGAGTGACGTGGAGAACATTGATTTTTGCCATTGAGCTTGATGGCTGCCAAGACTGTGATGGCAGACGGTAGCAGTTGAAGAGTCTGAATCTTACATTGCCATGGCAGCTTGTCAAGCTGTGCCGCAGAGTTTATCTTCAAACACGGTCCGCGTTTCTACTTTTTGACCTCCAACGACGACGCTGTCATACTCCGTCTTTTTTTTCAAGTTTGCAGGGACGACTGCAAGTCATCCGGAGGTCCTGAGATGTGCTGCAGATGTGCTGCGGATGTGCAGTTCCGGATCGCAGACTCGGCGTACAAGGCGAGTTGTACCAACAAATCGCAGGAGAAGGGCCGAGGCCTTTGGGTGTGGGGCCTCCGCGGCTTCTTGCCGAACAGCGGCAACCGCCGTGGTGTATCGATCTTGTGAGGGATAGGTCGGATAAGTCATATGGCAGTACCCAGCATCTGTACTTGCCTCCACGCGAACAAGAAACCCAAGGGAAGAGCGGAGGCATCACAGCGCATACACACAGAACTGCCGTCCGCTCCTGCGTAATATTGTGTGACTGCGCTCGGCTCCATGTCAAACCGACAACTGGGCGGAGCGCATGCATGAGCACGATGGTTCAGGACGGGAAGAACCAAAGTGCGATCCGTTGTGTTAATAGTGCAGAGGCCAAATTAGGTGGAACGCTCTCCTTTGACAGGCAGCAGCGCCATGTGCGCGAATCTACCTCTGTCCTACTGTAAACACCCTTTTCCACCTTCTTTGCGGCGTTTTTTTGCAAGGCATGTTGCACCCCAATTCAACAACTTACCCTTTGGCGTTTCACTTCGTATTATTTTCAACACCATCTTTGCAGGCTCAGCCGTGGACGGTGCCAAGTGCAGAGAGCAAGTCAAACACCATTGACAAGCCAGAAAGTTTGGGCTCATCTTGTGTGGAGGTTTGGCAGGTTAGGCATCGCTCCAGCTGCCTTAGCCCTACTAGCTCGCTCTGTGACCTCAGGGTGTTCTCGCCCTCGCGTGGACAGGTTGTTGCTTGTCGCAGGCTGGGCCACGCCCAGACTTCAGGGCGAGCCACGCCAAGGTTTAAGGCAGAGGGTGTCGACCTTTGGGACTAGCACCGACTCGCATCATCATGCAGTAGCCTCCATGATGCAGGGCATGATTGTTCCAGCATAGGATTCGGGATTATGTTGCAGCACCTTCACCGAACAGAGAACTCTTGCAAGCACCTGACCGCGAACAGTGCCTGACAAAAAAGCCATGCCTGGATCGAAGGCTCAGGATGGGTCAGATTCGTCCCGGCCTCCAGACATGATAGTTTGTGCAGGACGGTGGCCTGTTGTCTGCGCTTGGGAAGACCCTTCCTTTCTGCCGTGCAACATTTGGACCTCAGTCAAGCGCTTAGATCTTAGATTTGGTGACTGCGTTTCCAGCCAATAGGCAACACATCGCCGCCAATTTTCTACACAAAACGAGCAGCTGATGACTATCGCAAGGCGCCCATCTAGTCAGCGAGCGGCAGCAACCTCCTACCTCTTCTCCAGCACACACAGCGCACAAGCCCTCAAGCAGACTGCCTCGTTTCTGAGCACTGGGACTGGCCGTCTTTCGACTCTGTCCCGGCCTTGGTGCTGCCAAGCTGTGTAAGCCGCATATGCTGTGTGGGGGAGTCCGCGGGGGATCCAGATCCCAAGTTGAGCTCCAAAAAGCGTGATTAAATGATTAGGTGATGGGCAAGACCAAAGGTTCGAAGTCCAAGAAGGACAAGGCGCCGAGCATGCCGAGCACGGAAATTCACGGTACGTCGACGAAAACCTGCCATGCGACCTGACAGGCCCAGAAACGGAGTAAGGACAATGAGGCGCGCACCAAGCCCCCGTTGTGTCCCTTCCATGTGTCTACGCAGAGCAATCTTCGGCCCAGATTGGGCCAGCCGAACCTTGGTTATGGAAATGTTTAGCAGCCTAAATCACAGTGGACTCGCAACTCAGAAGCTCTCCCACTCCGTTCTCAGCTCCCCTGAGCATGACCCCTGGCCTCAAAAAGAATTCTTCGTTGCAAATTCCGTTGAGGCCCTGGATGCCGAGATTGCGGGCCAGGCAACACACCGGGCCCAGAGGGGTTCTCAACATGTCGAGCTGTTGGGGGTTGTTAGCAGGGTTTGGGGTTTGTTGCTTTTTCGGGGATTTAGGGAGAGAGAGCTTTGGGTTTTGAACCCCTGGTTGTCAGGTCAAGGAAGTCGAAGAGCGACTGCAGGCGGTCCTGCGGTTTTCTGTGAGGTCACCTGAAGCTGAGATAAGCTGAGCTGTTGGGCCCAACCCGGTGCCAAATATTGTGGTACATGACTCGCAGTGTGGAGCGTCTCCCGCTTCAGACGAGGTTCTACTGAGTCTGTTGCAAGAGTCGAACGTAGACAAGGCCGATCCCTGCTAGGCGCTCACCGTCGAGATGAAGCAAGTGGAGGCACTGCAGTAGAGTCGGTAGAGAGCGACTTCCTGCGGCTTCCGACCCACACGACAAAAGCGTGCAACAACACTTCTCTGCGAGCCGCGCAATTTCTTGGAACTTGCAACATTGTTTACATGATATGACATGACTTTCCATGCTTTGCTCCCGCCGGCTCATCCGACTCTCACGACTGCCAGGGGAAGATCAAGCATTGTTTACTAGAGGCCAAGAGGGCTGAGCTGACTGAGAAGGCGCAGTTGTGCCAATTGCAGGGCATCCGTCCTGTTCTGAGCAGTACAACCATTCATCCGCACAAGGAGCTGCAGCCCCTGCCGGAAGACCTAAAAGTCTACAGACAGGCGCGGCCCATGCTGGACATGCCATTGAGAGTTCCTCTGCTGTTCTAGTTACTAGACGAGCTGCCTTGACCAGTTTCAACAGCTCGTGGTTGGGAATGATCGAGTAGGACCCGAGCAGTGCAGCGGCTCAAGAAGTCGGCGTGCGAAGGAGAGACACAAAAACTAGGACATGCACCCTTTTGAGGTATCTCTACTACAGGGCCGCATGGTTTCAGGAGGTACCCGTGATGGCCCCCCCTTGTAGTAACAACCAAGCACACTGGTGGATAATTCAAATCCTGACCCCGACCCCAGGATGATGTAGTTGCGTGCAGGTGGGCAAGATGTTCATCCTGCAGCCCAAGCCCGATCTGGCCAGGCCTGCTGCTCCGCGTAGTTTCTGGAATAGGGACGGGCTCTGCGACTCTGAAACTCCCCCTTCATCTTCATTCTGGATTTTTCTCCCTGTGACCCATCCAAGGCCAAGGCCAGAGGGGAGTGAACCGTGAAGCCGTGAGGTCTATCGAGAGAAAGCGGCAAGAACAGATAAGTCGTATGCAGCATTCTTCTGCTGAGCACATCTAGAGCTCGTCTGGATTCGAAAGAAGAAGGCTGCACGTACTTGCACCCCGTGGAATTGGTCATCGGTGAGATTCCTCCGAAGACTGGAAGAGGACAGTGTCCGGCCAGTCGGCCCATAGTCCCAGATTACAGAAAACCAAATTATCTTACGCAAAAAGAAAGGTCGTAAGAGCATCCGTGGAGAGGGACCCATCCACGCATCCCTCCCCGCCAGATCCCACAACAGATCACTCTCCACCTCAAAACGAAAGCCGAGTCTATTTCAGAGAGAGCCAACCCTAACAACGACAGCTCAATCAGCGTAAAGATCGGGTGAAACATATACCCCTCGAAAGAAGTCAGACAACCTCAACCTATCTTGCAATGCCACGGACGGTCTTTGGAACAGTATGCTTGCTTCAACCTTAAACAACGAAGTTATAAGAGCATCCACCACAGATGAAACTCATCTTCATGGTCTTAATGCTCTTAATGCTTTGAATGCTCTTGGTGTAGCAGTAGCATTCGCGGCAGTCGGGCCCCTTGCGCAGGTCCCTCAAGGCTCAAGTGGCAGTGAAAACTTTGGAGAGTCAGTCCTTGAAGCAGGCGTGGCTGGAAGCACCATGCCCCACTTTGTAGGGTTGGGGCTTGCTGTAGCGACGTTGTGAGTTCAGCTGTGTTTTTTCGGAGAGTTTGGGCTTTGTTCTGTGGTTCGGGGCTGTGCAGGTTGCGGGGTTGCGGAGTTGCGGAAGGGTGGCTGCTGGCCTTTGCAGAGAATGTTAGACAGCAAGCTCTCTTCTGCCATTCAAGTTGAGCGTTCAAGTTGAACGTGGCTCGTGGTCCTTCGCGGTCCCACACAGGCTCATCACAAGATCCAGGAGAAGGTCAAGAGCGAAGCTGGGGACTGAAAACTACTGCCAATTCGGTTTCTTGTCTTTTCCACCCTTTTCCACGGGTACCGTATTTTTTTTGTGATTTTTTCTGTTTTTTTTTTTCCTTTTGTTTTTTCCTGTTTTTTGTCAAATTTAAGGCACGAAAGAAAGGAAGGAAGGCAGGAAGGCAGGAAGGCAGGAAGACGGGAAGAAAGAAACAAAGAAAGACAGAAAGGAAGGAAGCAAGAGGAAGAAAAAATAAGGAAAGAAAGAAAGGCAGGAATAGAAAGAAAGACTGCAAGAAAGAAAGAAACACAGGCAGGAATAGAAAGAAAGATAGAAAGAAATACAGAAAGAAAGAAAGGCATGAATAAAAAGAAAGACAGAAAATCAAGAAAGAAAGAAAGGCAGGACTAGAAAGAAAGACAGAAAGAAAGAAAGAAATACAACAAATAAAGAAAGAGAGAAAGCAAACAGGAAAGGCAGGAATGGAGGAAGAAATAAATGAATAAAGAAAAACACAAGAAAGAAAGAGAGAAACAACGACAGCAAGAAAGCAAGAAAGAAAAAAACAAAGGAAGGAACAGAGGAATAAAGGAAAGAAAGAAACACAGCAAGACAGAATAATAAAATAAATAAAGAAATAAAGGAAGGAAGTGAGGAAGAAAGAAAGGTACAAAGAAAGAAAGAACGAGAGAAAGAAATAAAGAGAGCAAGAAAGCAATAAATACAGAAAAACACGAACGAAATACATAAAACAAAAAAAGAAAGAAAGGAAGAAAGGAAGGATGGAATGAATTTAGGGTTCCGCTCGCTTCGCAC